CGAGTAAATAGCAAACAGAATTCCAGTACTAAAAAAAAAGTTTGATATTCAAATAAAATAAAATTTGATACTTAAAATAATAATTTTTAAGCTTAATTAAATTAATGGTACATTTGGAAATACATTTCTGAGCTTATAATAGTATTTATAAATTTATATTTAAGTACTTTATTTTTTACTTCCAATGTAAATAAGAGTGCATGTGATTCAAATATAGTTCATATAAATATTTGTTCCTAAATTATTAATATCTCAATCATATATTTTAAAGCTTAGATAAATTTAATGTCAAATTCCTTACCATTAGTTTATGTCATTTATTTATAAATTTTAACAACAAATATAATTATGTTAAACTTTAATAAATTTCTCTGCTTGGGTATTCATATATTGAATTCTGTTTCAAATGAATTTACAGTAAAAAAAATATATTATTGGAAGTATAATATCTTGAATTATATAATTGTATCTTACTCTGTTTTATGCATTGAGATACTCACATTATACAGGATAGGTGCCTATAACAAAAAATTTAAAATATTTAAAATATGACACCTCTAGTATGATGGTCTGTTCAAATTATGTTATTCTAAATCAAAATAAGGAATTAAACTCAAATAAATGATTAAAAACCGTTATTAACCCGAGAATTACTTGAGAGTTTTCTAATGGTCATTTTAACCAACTGCATCTTGTGGTTTTGACTATAAAGTCATTATAAAGGAGTTCAAAAGTAGTATATTCTAGTACAGAATGATTTGTTCTACAAGAATATACTAATTTAAACATTATACATCATCATCTTCTATAAAATCCTGCATAAAATTTTCCCTTTGAAAATAATATATATTTAAAATCTATGTCAAGATGAAATGATACAATGATATGATGCATTTAGAATAGTCTTAAAATCCTCATAAGCACCAAAAAACATTATTGAAGATTATTTGTATACCTGTCAGTTACGGTCACCTTGAAAAATATATTAAGTAAATAAAGAGATATATATATATATAAATTAAAAATTATAAAACATTAATTAAAATAAAAAAGATTTTGATGGAAAATAAAATACATTAATTTACATAGGAGAAGAAAAGTGATTCATAATAAGACTTAAATATTATTGAAAGATTGCGATAACCTTATGGGAGAATATTTGGGTTTAATTGACAAAAATTGATTATCTGTATTTACTGTTAAGAAATTTTTGAGGAGATAGAATTACATCGTTGCTCATCTCACTCAATGTTTAAAAAAATTGATGAACATTAAAAAATTTGTAGGATAAAATAAGAAAATTTGGAATTATCAGTATGCTTTGAAAAAAAGAAAAGCAATTATTGGATAAATTGAACAGGAGCTACATCTAAATATATAATCATCTAAAAGTGTATTTTGAGGAAATTTTTATAGATTGTGGTATATTTGCCTAGTAAAAAGGAAAATAGAAATTTTATTATATAAGAACCACAACCAAGTTCTTTGAATATTTACTTAGAAATGATAAATAATTGATAGAAGAAGAAGATATTGTAAATTTTGTGAAGGTTGAAAAAAAATTAATGTTAATGCATTATTATAATACGCAAAGTAATAGTTGATTATGATCACTGATTAATAATTAAATGAAATTAGAGATTATCAATATATAAACGTACAGGTATAAAAATTGCAGTTAATAATGAATCAGATGAAGAGACTGAATAAGAAAATATTTATAGATTCATATAAGATATGATAAATTCTGGTTAAAATGATGTTGCAATCATAATGAATTTATAATTAGCCTTGAAAATTAGTCAGGAAGAAATATATCAAATGAAATTTTAGCATATTTACAAAGAAGGTAATAATTGCATTATAACATTGAATAATAAGAAGGAATTAGTATTAAATAATGAACATTTACTGCCAGAGTTATAATTGATCTTCAAGGTCAATATAGGAAGTAATATTTATGTAATTGGAGGAAAAGTGTCGAACAAAAGAAACAGAATAATTGAAGCCTTTAATCAGACGAGGAAGTTTAAGCTTAATCATTTAGGAAATTCAGAAAATGATAAGCAATATTAAAAGTTTTATATTAAAAAGTTTAAGTAAATATAAGATGATGGATAGGTCCAATTTAAGAACTTTTACCTTATTGGATAATTCTTTGTAAAATCTTTAATCGCAAAAGAAGGATAAAAAGGAAGAGAAGTTGCGCAAACATGAATATACATTGTATGATAAGGTATTCAAGAAGACAATGAGTGGTGATTTAATAGAAATATCAAATGATCAGAAAAGCCCAATAGAACAAATAGTTAAATTAGGTCTAGAATAATCAGAATGAAGGAAAATGATTATTATTAAGCACATAAAATATTCAAAACAAAATTTTTTATATTAAAATAGGTATTTTTATTTATTTTTATATATTACATCAAAAAATAAATAATTATTGAGTGAATTCTTAAAATATATAAATACGGGCTTATAAAGTAATCTGAAGTTTAATTAAGAAAATTAGATTTTCGATTCCCTAATTTATGGAAAATCCTCAACTTTTTATAAATCATATTAAACCCAAAAAATTTAGGATGATTTAAATGCTGAAAAAAACTTGAATTTAGAACAAAATAATAAGATCATATAGTATAAAACTAAGATTATAGATTTAAATTAATTCCATATTGATAATCTGGCGCCATTACTATTCACAGCCATATCTTAACTTCAAACTTGAAGTGATTTAATTGATGAATAATAACAAGGATCAGATAAAAGTTTCTACAAGCATAAGGAATTTAATAAAAGATGAATAAGGAGATGACAAAGAATAAATAATGAGCATATTTGAAAAGTTAATGGTGTAATTAAAATACACTAAAAAATCATTTTAAGAATAATAAGAAATATTATTAGAAATAGAACCCTTATATAATCATTTAATTTAGCAGTATTAAATTCCAAAAATGAATTGGAGAAATAAAACAAATATGTATAATTTTACTGTAAGAAAAGATTTTAATCTTAAGAAAAAAGAATAGCATACATTTCATTTTTATAAATTAAATTTACCTTAATTATTGACTAATTTTATTTAAAATACAACCTTATTTATTAATTTTTATTGTAATAATTTTTAAGCTAATTTATTTTCATCTTTATTTTATTCAGAACTTTTCAAAAAAATGAATACATTCATACTCAATTTAATATATTATATTCTAATTACCTTATAGCTAAAAAAAGTCTACTAATAATGATGCTTATATTTATCATCATTAATATTAATAGCAGGAAAGACTCTTATAAAAATAGTAAAATATTAGATTTATTTNTTACCTTATTGGATAATTCTTTGTAAAATCTTTAATCGCAAAAGAAGGATAAAAAGGAAGAGAAGTTGCGCAAACATGAATATACATTGTATGATAAGGTATTCAAGAAGACAATGAGTGGTGATTTAATAGAAATATCAAATGATCAGAAAAGCCCAATAGAACAAATAGTTAAATTAGGTCTAGAATAATCAGAATGAAGGAAAATGATTATTATTAAGCACATAAAATATTCAAAACAAAATTTTTTATATTAAAATAGGTATTTTTATTTATTTTTATATATTACATCAAAAAATAAATAATTATTGAGTGAATTCTTAAAATATATAAATACGGGCTTATAAAGTAATCTGAAGTTTAATTAAGAAAATTAGATTTTCGATTCCCTAATTTATGGAAAATCCTCAACTTTTTATAAATCATATTAAACCCAAAAAATTTAGGATGATTTAAATGCTGAAAAAAACTTGAATTTAGAACAAAATAATAAGATCATATAGTATAAAACTAAGATTATAGATTTAAATTAATTCCATATTGATAATCTGGCGCCATTACTATTCACAGCCATATCTTAACTTCAAACTTGAAGTGATTTAATTGATGAATAATAACAAGGATCAGATAAAAGTTTCTACAAGCATAAGGAATTTAATAAAAGATGAATAAGGAGATGACAAAGAATAAATAATGAGCATATTTGAAAAGTTAATGGTGTAATTAAAATACACTAAAAAATCATTTTAAGAATAATAAGAAATATTATTAGAAATAGAACCCTTATATAATCATTTAATTTAGCAGTATTAAATTCCAAAAATGAATTGGAGAAATAAAACAAATATGTATAATTTTACTGTAAGAAAAGATTTTAATCTTAAGAAAAAAGAATAGCATACATTTCATTTTTATAAATTAAATTTACCTTAATTATTGACTAATTTTATTTAAAATACAACCTTATTTATTAATTTTTATTGTAATAATTTTTAAGCTAATTTATTTTCATCTTTATTTTATTCAGAACTTTTCAAAAAAATGAATACATTCATACTCAATTTAATATATTATATTCTAATTACCTTATAGCTAAAAAAAGTCTACTAATAATGATGCTTATATTTATCATCATTAATATTAATAGCAGGAAAGACTCTTATAAAAATAGTAAAATATTAGATTTATTTAAAGGTTTCTGCATTTAATTGTCATAATTTAATATTTTGATTTGAATGAAATTAAGACAAATATTTATTATTGAGTATTACATTTAATATTCTAATGAAGATTCTTTCCATCATATTATGATCTCATTTACCAATTCAAGTATATTTTGCATTATATATTTATCTAATGAGTCTAAATTGAATTGATTATCACTACTAAATTAAAAATTCTTGTAGAAATACACCGACACTGCATCTAATTCGAAATAGATTATTGAATTTATTCACTATTTAAAATTACTTTAATAATTAAATTTTATTCCCAATAAAATATTCTCATTTTATGAAAAGTTCAATGAAAAATTCCAATGCTTCTTCAAATCTATTAATTTTACCTCTAGTTACATGATAGTTATTATAAAATAAAGTCAATGCTAAAAAGCATGTAAAATTAATTACACTTTTGTTATAATGAGTAGGATTATACAAAAGTAAAATCAAAGCTAAGTTAATTGTTTATAACTTTTATGCTCTGTAGTTAACTGTTAGTTTTTTATCTACATTTTAATTTATATTTTGCTTTAACATTATACCATCCCTATTCTTTTTATTGTTGAATAAATCTAGAAATTTTGTTAAATTTTAAATTCATTACTGATTATAATCAAAAAATGATAAAGAAATAAAGTATTAAGAATATGTTGATAATGAATTTTAATAAGTTATTAACTGCATCTTTAAATAGAATAATTATTAATTGCATACCAAATTAAATTTCTATTTTAATAGTATTCTGATTATATTATTTCTCTAATGAAACTTAATATAATTTTTTTGCAAAAGACTATTAATATTTTCAAATTATTTATCCTTAATAGTTAAATGAATTTAATAAAATCAAAATAATTTTAAATAGTCTATCTACAAACTTCATTCAATATCGTCTTCATCGAAAACTTCACAAGAATGGATTGCTCCATCTGTCATATCTTCATAATCTTTGCTAAGAGCAGCTAAATCTTCTCTGCACTCTGACATCTCCCCAGACTCACAACCTTCTCCTACGAACCAATGAACAAAGGCTCTTTTCGAATAGATTTTGTCATACTTCTTTCCAAGCTTATCAAAGTAATTGAACAAATTTGCATCATTTGAAAGTAATATGCCAGTTTACTTTAATTAAGCAAGCTCTGATATAGATGTGTAATTTTAAGATAAACATTGATACACATTAGGAATATTTTAATGTTTAATTCTCATCGTTTAAAGAGTTAAATCAGATTAACCAAAAAATTGATTATTATGTTTAGAACGATGTACTATGGATGCGCAAATGTGTTCAGGATTAATTTCTGATTGAAATAACCTTTAAGCAGGTTTTGTTATTAATGATATCAGTTATTTTTCATTTAATTCTTAATTGATTTAATCATTAATAGATGCCAAAGGTCCATATGAGGGAATTACATAATGAATTCTTGGATAGGGACAGAGTTCTGACAATAATTTCTTATTATCTATCTTACTAAATCTTCTTAGACCAGTGTAAGAACTAATTAATTATGATACTAAATTATTTAAGTGAGTATAATCAACATAATCCAAACCAATCTGTGAATCTATGGATTTATACATTGATTAATTATCCAACATTACTACACAGTCGCAATGTTCTATGGTCATATGAGTAGCTAAAACAGCATTAAAGGCATCCACTGTATTGTTAGACATTTCTTGAGAAGGATATATTAAAAATGCATTTTTTTCAACCTTTACTCCATAATCAACAGATAATCTTTCCAAAAGTAATGAAGAAAAACCTGATCCTGTTCCACCACTTAAAGCAGAAGTAATAATGAATTAATCTATTTTGTCAACACTTTCCACTTATTTTCTCACATAATCTAAGCATTTATCCATTATTTCTTTTCCAATTGTATAATGACCCCTACAATAGTTGTTTGCCGAATCCTCCTTCCCTGTAATAAAGGAGGTAGATTTATAATTTATTTATTTATTCTTTTTGACTTCATTTACCATACGATCATCTAAATCCATAAATAGAGCTAATGGAAAATAATTACTATCGTTTTCATTGTAATTATAAATTTTTGCATTTTTGTCTGTTTATTCTTTTTAATAAAGTTTCCATAGTTCATCACCTATCATAACTCCAGCTCCTCCTATATGAAGATGAATAGAAGAACACATTATAATTAATAAATAATGAATGATAATCTTATATAAAATACTATTAATAATATTTGAGGATGATGAATAAATTTGATATTTTACATGTTAATCAATTGTTAATTTTTTGAAGATACATCAAAGCGATCGAATTTCTATTTATAAATTTCTCTTAAGAATTTAATTAACTTTATATTAGTATGCTTAGGATTTTCAAATCTATAATTAAGCTTGGATTCTTTAATTTACTTTTCAGCTCTAGTAAAGTAATAACTAGTGAGGCAAGCTTTTGAAACTCTTTAAATTTATTCTTATAATATTGAGCTTAGTTTTTAAATTTCTTTTTTGAATGCCTAATCCAATAATCTACAACCCATGATCATCAAATTCGTTATTGGAGGAGGAACTAATTATTGTTTCATTTTTATTAATGTTGCCAATGCTATCAATCCTTTTGCATCATATTATTATTTTAAAAGCAAATCTTAAATTAATTCTTGATTAAATACAAATAATTTTGTTTATCCTCTAATAATGATCAATTGGATCAAATAATCTTAATGGAATAGTTTAGATTGCAGACAAATTAGCTCATATTCTAATTAATCTTAGATTTAAGTGAGATTTATGATCAACCAAGTTCTAAATTTTCAATATTTCTAAGTCCTTTTACAGATATCTCGGATGAGAAATTTCAAAATTTTATTGATCAAATCGTTTCAAATATTAAATATTAGAATTTATAAGATATTTTCAGACAATCTCATGCATTTTTAATTATAAAAGTCTATTAAGAATTAACATTTATATTTTGAAATTCTTTATTGCCTTTTTTCAATCTGATTATTTATTATTTTATCCAAATAAAGATTGATCTTTTATACCATATTTGGATTATTATTATTAGTTTGTTATATCAATATGAAGCTAATATATTTAAAAATCATTTATTTTTATATTTGTAATTGGAATTTATCAAATGAATGTTTGAAAAGGAGATGTGTATAAGAAATAATTTTATATTTCATTTTCTATATTACACTTACATATTTAGCATAAATCCATGTGAAACAATTGTTTTTCAATCAAAAACATTTATTATTGTCTAAATTTCTTTAAAAATACTTTCTTTTTTGAAATTAAAAATTCATCCTCCACCTTGGACATTAAAATAGTAAAAGTGTAAAGATCCATTCTTTTTTAATCCAACATCCTCGTAAAATATATCCTTTATGCCAACTTACACTTGAAACTAATTACTTAATTCAATCCATCTGTTAAATATTCACCATCATAAGTGACCTAACTGGAATTAAATTAATTTAATTAGTTTTAAATACATTGCTTAACTCAATCTACCTTTTCCTTAATTTTGGAGACTATCTGATCTTCTCTTTCCTTTTTCTATATGATCTCTAGATAATAAATTAATTTAAAAAAATTTCTTTTCAATCCCTTAGAATTCTTAAACTGTCAGAAATTAAATATAATTACATTTAAATATGCTTAAAATTTTTTTTTAGTTCTTGCAATCATATCTGCTATAAAGTAAAATAATTTATGTATATGAAGCAATGTTCATCAAAGTAATCAAAATTCAGAGAAGACATAAGGAAAATTGAGGAGAAGATAAAATTTGAGAAATTTAAAACAGTATTCATTGTTCTTCTTAAACAAATCTAACTCTAATAACTTGAAATTTTTTGGTCATCAAATCTATTTAAATCAAATATAGTTATAAATAATAATTAAAATTATTTTTTAGTTTTAATTAAATTTCTTAATATTAAGATGAAAGTAGATCTTCCAAAATACTCTCTTGTAGATTGGTCTGTATGACTGCTTTTAAGTTTAGAAATCCTTAAAAAAGTTAATAAGAATTCTACACATATACAGAAATGAGGATATATAAATAAAAGTCTCTATTAAGAGGATAGAAAAAGATGTGAAAGCATCAAACACTCAATACCTACACTTTAAAGAGTCCCTTATAACATAACCTAATAAGTTACAAACACCAAGATAAAATTAACAAAATGCACACCTGAGATTTAAAAAATAAAAATGTTTACTTAAGGGATGAAAACCCAAAAGAAAATATCTTTAGTCTATATTGGGAGAAATTAGAGAAAAAGTGATGAAGATGAGACTGCTCTCCCAAAAAATAGAAGGGAGAAACCTTAAATGAGATAACAAGAGCTTTTTAAATGAAATTCTATGAATATTAATAAATTTGAAATATCAACATCCAACACTCTAAATAAATTTCCTAAAAGAACTGACGATGCTTAAAATTTACTTGGATTATTTTTGGTCATCATATACATTTGACCAAAATCAATTTTTTTATCTTTTGTCCTCACAATATGTCAATTAGAAAGAATTTAAAGTTTAATATTGAATATAACAAGTTTTATAATTAGAACTTTAAATATTTAATTGTAATAATATATATTAGAAGATCAAAATCAGCAATTAATTCAATTTATTTGGTTATGTATAAAGGGAGGGGTATTAAATTTTAATACTTCTTTTCATTAATTAATTTAAATAAGCAGATTCACTAAGATATAACTTATCACCTGAATCAAAATAAATTAAAGTGTGAATAGTATAGAATAAATGTGATTATCTTAATAAGACACATCTAATTTATAAGTAAATATATTTATCAAAAATAAATAATATTTTAAAGTGAAGGCATTAGATCTATATTTTTAAAGTTTAGAACTTTAAATCAATGATATTAACAGTACAATTATAATCATAAATTTTCATCTTCTCTTATAAATTATAAAGTCTTAAATGAAAAATTTCAAGCGATTTCAATAAAAAATTTTTTTGCTTTTAAATGCATAAATTCACAGCTTTTAAATAAAAATTTTACAAATTTGACTTAAATTTAAACTATTATTACAAATTTTTTAAAATGTCTAAGCTTAACAAACTTACTCCTTGTTGAATTATATTATATACTAGAAAATCTAAAAATTTCATTTTTTTAATTATTCTTGCCCTCAAATGAATAATCAAACTAATAGATAATGATTTAACCAATTTCTAAAAATTTGTTTATTTGAAGAGGGTTAATATGAAAATAATAATTGAGATAGGCAAAATAATGATAAATAATAATAAATTCATTTGTTTTAACATTTATAGCATATATATTCTCCTTTTATATACTCCGTCTAAGAAGGCCAACTTTGGTAAGAAAACTCTGAAAAGCATTTGAAACAATATAAGTTTTAAAAAAATTAGCATGCTTCCTCACATAAGTATATTGATACTCCATTAGTTGCATTAACTTTTTACTTTACATTTCTTCTGGAACACTTTGATTTACAGTAATAACATTATTACTTTTTGTCGCACATTTCACAATAAGTAATTTGTTTTTATAAAATTTATGCACAATAATTGCATCTTTAATCTAAGCAATCTTTTTAACACTAATCACATATTTTTAAATCTAATGCTTATTTTAGTACTCTATTTAGATTAAATTTAAATTCATTTCCACAACATTCACAAATTTCAGTGAATTCATTAATTTCAAGACAACTTTTGCAAGTATAAGCAGTATCAATTTAACTTTTATAGTCTTCATATATAATTTAGAAAATATCACCACAAACATTACAAACAGCATTTACATTCTGAAGATTAAGTTATTTTATTTCTAAGAATGCTCTCTTTCCAGGAATAGGAATATTAAAATCATCACAATTCCTCTTTAATCCTAAACTCTTGCAAATATCATTACATTAACTATGTTATGTTTAAAAAAAGGTTTCAATTCCTAAAATCCCTTAATTTGTTTCATCCCGCAAATATCCAATAACTTATTTTGTATGTATGCATGGATCTGAAAGTACTCCTTATTTTCCTTAGAGATCAGTAATTACTAAACTTTTATTTGTGAAATGATATGTAAAATGACTAAAAGCTGAATAATTTTCCTTCTCCTTATCTATGTAATTAGTATTATTAGAAATCTTTTCCCAAGGACCATTAATATTTATATTAGTCTCTGCATAAAGATCTTTTAATCCCATAAATTCCTGACAAAGTGTATATTTTATAGGAGTTACATAAAAAATTGGAGGTGCTTTATCGTTTGACTTAGTTTGTAATCTGTATGCACAACTTAATTATTTTGCTATTATAGTTTAATTATATCTGACAAAAGATGCTTTTTAAGCATTTTAGATTAAATCTTCATCAATTTAGCCTTTCCTACATTGATACTAATCTACAACTTTTTTTGGAAGTTTTATAATAACTTTCAAATTATTTCTGATGTCAAATGCTTCAAAGACATAGGATACCATTCCTTAATCATTCTAACTCAATACTTTTTAATTCATTTCTATTTCTAAGATTGTATCACCTCCAACTTAGTTTTTACCCATTTAAGTTAAAAAATTCGAAAAGTAGTTTAATTCGTTTTTGCTATTGCATTCTACTGGCTCGATTGCTTTGTGCCAAATAAAGTGTGCCTAAAATCTTTATGTTTTTGATTGAATATCATTCATAAAAAATATTGATGATTTTTTATAAGATTTGATCATGGATATAGAAACATAATTTGCAAAATCTTATGTTTCTAATTAACTTATCTCTAAATTCTTGAAGTTTTATTTCATAATTTCAAACATCTTATTTGTAGTATCATTTATTTTACAACAAAAGAAATAATTATTAGGAACCTTTTTTTAATCTAAAACTTACATAAGTTTTTCCAAAGAACCATCTTTAATCTCGTCATTATGTTCATCTTCAACTTTATTATCATGGTATTATTTGCCATGTGTAGGAGCATCACTTATCAAAAATGTGCAAAGTATACTATCAGGATGTTTAGAAAAATTCAATTTTAAAACTTGCTCAATTCCACCTGCAACATCTTCTGCTTGATCATTACCTCCTGTAGCTTCGAGGGTACTGATAAATTACTTTATCAAGTCAACATCCGTTGTAAAATCATGATATTAAATATGTTTATCGTCTTTAAAATCCCTATAGCCAACAAAGGCTATTCTAATTAATGTTTATGATACAGTCTTGTTAAAAATATCAATTATTGATGATATACTTTCTCTAGCTGAATCTATCCAAATTTCCATACTACCTGTGCAATCCATTATAAATACAACATCCAAAATATTTCTTTCTTTAATATCATCTTATAATTTTTAGAGTTTTTATTTATCGAAGCGTAATTCTAACTTTTTATATGATTTGCTATCCATTCTTTGCAATTATGGTTTTAAACTATGAGTACATGGAATCAATTTTTTTCTTTCAAATTAATCAGCTGATACATTTCTAATATTTTCCCAATCTACATGAAATTTAGGGCATTATCCTTTGTAATCGCAAATACCTTTAAAATACTTTAGGCAATATTTTTCCAAAGAATCATATATTTTCTCTACATCTGTTATTGCTTCTGGGCTTATATTTTTATATTCATATTCTTTTAACACTTCTTATCTAAGTTCTTCCCAATCAAAATGTTTTTAATTGTTTTCACATTCTCCCTCACAATCATCACTATTTTTTAAATTTTTCATGCAAATATTTCTCTTTTTTATCCAATCTCTGTGTAGATAATAGCAATTATTGTTTTTACAATCAACTTTTGGACATAAATTAATAACAAAAACACCATTAATTGAAATCATTTAGAGCTTCTCTTTCAAATTACCCTTACCAATATGATTCAAATTTTGAGGGCAAGGTTTCTTACATTTTCCATTTAAATTATTAATACATACCCCTGCAAAACATCTTGGATGCATTAAATTACATTCTTTATTTTTACATTATATGTTTTCAGGGCATATTGAAGACGATTATTCAATTAATTTTGAAATCATTTAATAGATATTAATAGAAAAAATTATTATTTGACAAAATATAATATATATTTATCAAATGAATATTTATTAGAACTAAAATTATAATCTTTATTTATGATCTGTGATAATCTTGATTTTTGTGTAGATTTCATGAATTTTTTTTCCTTGTTACTCACAAAATGGAGAATTTTAAATATGAATTATTTTATTCTATTTCAAGAAAACTTCATTTCATCTGATTAAAATTTATTCTTAAAGTCTAATTTTAATAAATTTATTTCACTATAGCCTTGTAATTAAATCAAAGGAGATCTAGTAAAACTTTTATGAATATTTCTGATGTATACCTCTATGCAAAAAAGTGATCAAATAGAGGATTAAAAAATTTTACTTAAAAATGATATTACACCGTTTACATTTATCATCATTAATTTTAAAAGGTATACTTTTATTATATAACAGGCTAAATTCACTTAATTTCCATCTCTCAATTCATAAATTTATTATTAGCCTGGAATGAACCCTTTTTATCTTGTTCTGTAATTATAGAGGTCCAAATATTCTTTTAATTATTTTATTAAATATATGTTATCCTATAACATTAAAATGATATCAGTATGGACTTTAATTAATATTTCTTTTAATTAAAAAATATTAAATTTAGAATTTTTTAAAATACTTATTAATAAATTCTAAATTAAAAGCTACAACCTTATAATTATTGTTTTATTATATAAAAATAAAACTATAGGGAATTGCACTTTTATTAATTTTATTTTATTATTGTCTTTTTGAATTTCCCAATATATATAAAATAATTAAGAAAAATAGTAGATGAAAGTTTAATGATAATAAGCTTCTGATTTAATCTATAAATCGTGCTTTTTATCTTAAGTGTCTAAATATTTAAATAATTTTAATTAATTAATTCTTTTCTGAATATTTAATTATTTTCATCTCTCACCGAAGTATTTTTTTTTAACAATTATTTGAAATAATATAATGATATTATTTATGATTTTATCTTAAAATAAATTACAAAATTACATTTTTGTCAATTAATCAAGTATTATCCTATAAAGTCCGTACTTACCTCCTCTCTTTGTTTTTGCATTTTCCAAATATTAGTTTGATGCCATCGATTCTGCCCTTCTTAATTGGACTTAATTTTAGAAAATTAGAAATCAGCTCAATATGAGGTAAGTTTCCAATTTCTTACTTTTTAAATTTTCCTTTAAAAGGTGGGAAGAGGGTGGACTATTAAAGGATGACTGAATTATTTTTCTTTAGGAAAGTTAGCTTAAGTTTCTCAAAAATGAGGTTGACCTATTTGGATAACTTGGATTACAAGTATGAGCGATTAAACTATTTGTTTTTGAGGTAAGGAAATTTATGATTTAAAAATTGAAAGCTCAATTTCTTGAGAATTTTCAAATTCAAACTAGGAAAATTTTATAGTTTGCCATAATTGGATAATCTATCATGATTGCTGTTCTAATTTTAATTATATTATTAAGTAATATATTCGTTTTTAGATTGAAAAAAGGTTGGCTAAGGACGATTTTATGGAGATCAAAGTGGAGGGTTATGGAATACGATTAACCTTATTTTGGAGAATTAAGACCAGGATAGAGAGTATCTTTTGGGTTGGGCGAACTTGTAGAAGATGTTAAATGGTTGAAGATTGAAATCCTTTATTTTTTAATCGATTCCTTAATTTCGGCATCAATTCATGGGTTTTTTTTAATCTCTCTTTACTGTGTTCTAATAAAATATGGTATTATTTTAATTATTAACTCACTTATAATATATCATAAAAATTTATTCAATTATCTTTATCTTTTTGATTTTAAATTTATTATATTTTTTCATTCTCTTCTACTATTTCTTATAAGATTTCATCTAAATATTTACTATTGTTACTTTTTAATTCCATAATTATAGAACTCTCAGAATATAAACTAAGCAATTGCTCACATAGATCAATTGCTTCTTGATATTTATTAAATTGTTTTAAGCAAACAGCTTTTAGAAATAAAACCTGAAAATTCTCATGATCGATAGATAATACACAATTTAAGGCTATGAGAGCTTCATCAAATTTATTCTTTAAAATTAAAAATTCACCTTTCAAAATTAAAGGAAAAGCATCTTATGGATACTTCATTTTTAAATCTTCAAAAAATTAAATTGTTAAATCATGTCCTTTATCATTAAGGATCAAGGCTAAAGTTATTAATATATGTCACCTTTTTACCGAATGATTTGAAGAAAATTTGGGCTATATGCTAAGATTTAATCTATCAACTCCAAAGCTTCATTTTATTTTCCTCCTACTAATAAAATAGTCGCTTAGATTAATAATAATTATACCTTTTAAGTGTTAAATCATCCATAAAGTTGGATCAATTTCTATTAATTTTTCTAAAACTTTTTATGCTTCATCTTATTTTTCTTAAACACTTAAAATAATTCCTTAAGACAAATTCATATGTTACCTTTGAAATATAATGCTTTCCCATTCTCCGGAAAATATTTTATCATTTCCTCATAGATAATTGATGCTTCATCATAGTTCTCAGCGAGCATTGCTAATTAAACTTGAAATAGGCTGATTTAATATACTTTTGAAAATGAAAGCATCATAATTTTAAGGATATTTTTGTTATATTTAATCAATTAATATAAGTGCTTTATTTGTTTCAAGTTAGTGAATTAATAAATGGCCTAAACCATAAAAAATATAATACTCTAAGACAAAAGTGTGTCTATTTCATTTGAGTTATTTTCAATTACTTTGTTGAAACATTCTTTTGCTTCAGTAAATTTGAAAGTTGCATTTAGACATTAACCTAATATCTTTTGATATATTTACCCTTTTAAAACATTGCTCTATAATCATTTTGATTTATATTTAAAGCATGATCGTAGGCCTTCAAGGCAGAATTGAATTTAGCTAAATTAAATAAACATTCTCCTAAAAAATATTATTACTTTCTACCTTAATTTAAATAAGCTTAGGCATTATTTTCATTAATTGATAGTAATTTTTCATAGCATTCTAATGCCTAATTGAATTTTGATTTATGTCTTAAGCAATCACCTAAAATGTAATTTGATCTTACCCTTTCCTAATAAAGCTTATTCATTCTTAGGATTCAATTTTAAGCATTCTTCATAGTATAGTATTGCCTTCTATAAATCTTATTATTCCAATAAATAATTTGCTATTTTTATATTCTATCATTTACCAATCTTCAATATATTGTACTCATCTTTTTAAATGAATATGTTTATTTGGCAATTTTGATAAATGTCTTCTATCGATTTTTTCAACTTAAGTAATTATGGTTAGACGGTTTATTAGATTTTTTTTTATAATTAATTAAATAAGAATGAAATTGTCAGTGCTTCTTCAATTTCACTTAAATCTAAAAAATGGATAGACTCTAAACTAAAAACTCTATCTTCTAAACCTTTGATTAAATTTTAGTATTATTCCTTAGCCTAATTAAACTGATTTTTTGATATCGTAATAGTCTCTTTAAGTTTTCTCAATTATTAATTGATGAACCTCTCAGCATCTTCGATTATATTAACGAAGCGCATATGTTAGACATGCTATGTTTATTTCATACATTTAGAACAAAACATTCTATTATCATAGCAATCTTTCTTAAAGCAGAAGAATTAAATAAGTTCTTAAGGGTGCTACTTACAAGCGAAATTGAATTTCTATTATTAAAACATTAAAAAATTATTTAGAAGTCTATTAAAAAAAATTTAAGTCTTAAAAATGTTTTTGTTTATCAACAAAATTTATTTTAAATATTATAATAGGCCCAAAATAACTAGAAGTTAATTATATTGATTATTATAAATATTTGGTGGAGTGATATTTTGTCAAATACAAACATTGATCCTGAATAAACAATATCGACCTATTTTCTTTATGGTTTATAGTATAATATGTGTTAAGATTTGTTATTTAAGTTTAATCACCTTAAAAAGTAGATGAGATCAACTATAAATAATAAATGTTTGTTGGAATTATAAAATTGGGAAAATAAGCCTTGGTTATTAACTAAGAAAATGAATAGTATTATATTTATTATGAATTTGAATATCTCAATTTATTTTTAATAGTTTCTTTAAGTGTGTAGATTTTTGAAATATTTCTTAACATATTTAAATATTTTGTGATAATTATTATAATAATTAAAAGAAACTATTATTATAATTCTTAGAATTTAATATAATTTTTATAAGAATCCATCATTATTAAGAAATTTTAAATAGTAAATATAATCAAATGAATTCAAGTAGGGCTACATCTTTTTGTTATTCTAATCCATATCTACATAATGGACAACGAGGATCTCTTCCAAGCCATTATTTACAACATTCAGCATGAAAATAATGTTCTTTATGGCAAGGCAATTGAATTATACTATGTGATTCATTGATTTCCTAATAGCAAATAGGACTAAAATATTGATTTGAAAGATACCAATCGTTTTATTATATCGAAGGACGTTGTTCCATTAATTTTTTAAATTTAATTTTCTATAATTAATCATAAAATCTTATGATTAAATTTCTATTTTGTTGATAATGCAATTCTTGTCTAAGTACAATGAACCATAGCATAACAAATGGCCATATGAAACACATAAGTACAGGAATAAGCCAATAAATAATCAAAAGTATTATATAAATTTGTATAAGCAATGGTGTATCTGTAGTAATAAATAACATGATAATGAAAGTATAGACTGAGATAAAGTAGTACAATAATTTAATGGTAATACAATTAAAATAAAAGGATTTTTATTCAATAATTTCTATTATGAGAAGTCCATTTACAGGACGATAATAGCTAATGAACTCTTGAATAAGTATTTAAGTTATGGATGAATTCAAAGAGAGTAAATTGAGTTATCTATTAAAATTCTATATATCAATACCACCAATATATTAGGTTAAAATTCTAATTTATATTAAGATGTTTACCCTATAATTAGATAATGAAGGATATTAATCACATCATGGAAACCCATAACTAAAATAAGTATACTAAAAAGAGGTTCGTCTATTTATTGATATTACGATAAAGTAATAAATAGTTTGATTAGATAATAGAAACATAAAAATAAACAAAAAGCATTCCCTTCCTTAATTGCTCTGGGAAGCATTGGCATATAATCATCTGTAATTATGAGTCTTTCATCTAAATAAGAGTGTTCTGATCCAAAGTTGACTGTGTAGTCTTAATTCCAAAAGAAGTTGGCTTCATTTATCATACAATATTAATAAAAAAATAATTATTATGGAAGAAACTGAAGCTTTGATAAAATCATCTGAGCCTTAACATACTAGAAACGTCATTTAGGCACTAATAAATGAATATAAAATTATGTATGCTGGTCTATAAAATCAGTAATAAATTGTCTTAAAACCTAGAGAATACCTTGATTATTGTTTTGTAAAAGGAGCTTCTGGATAAACAGTCCCATTAGCACTTCTATTACCTGTAGGTTTGTTTTTGGGGATAGTAAATATATTGTCAAAAGCTACAACCAATATTATTGAAGGTTAATAATGATGTCAAATTTAGGTGATTATATCCTCACAAATTTGGTTTAAGTGATCCTTTAAATCTGTGGACTTTGCATAGTTCTATATTTATTACTTAAAGCATGTGAGGTGATACCAAAGAAGATTCAAAATCCACTTCTTTTTGGGAGAGTAACAACTTACGTTTTTATGTGTTTACTTATTGCAATGGGAATTTTGGTTGTAGAGAGGATAGTAGAAGGATAAGCTAGAACTTATCATACTTCTTAATTCTGGGTTGTTTTTGCCTTAATAATCTGGTAAAAAATCTTGGTCTTATTTATATATGATTATAAAGTTAGATTTGCAGCATTTTTCTTTTTATATACTTATTATGCTTTTAGAGTTTCAGGTTAAGAATTTAGATGGGCATACAATCTATTAAAAGCATCAGTTTATATAATTTTAGAGTTAGTGATGGTTATAGATAGAGAATTAAAGAATTATGCTGATTATTAACTGGAAAATAATGTAATTTTTAAATTTATATAGATTCAAACTAAATAAGTATTAGATGAAGTAGTACCTCCAATGAGAATGTTTTAATAACAATTCTTACTTGAATCTTATCTTAAAGTATTTCCTGTTGTTATTTTTGATTAAACAAAAGAATTGCTTAATATTTCATCTGAAACATTAAAATTATTAGGTCAAAATGATTTGTTTTAGGCTGAAAAATAATTAAGAAAATTAGAGATAATAGAAGTTTTTAATAGAAAGGAATAAGTGTCAGTTAAAGAATTGACTGTTAAATTGAGTAGATAAGCTAAATTTGGATCTACTTGTGGAGTAAATGAAAAAGGAGATTTATTACATTCTTTAATTAATGGTCCAGCCTTATAGCAATTAAGATAATAGTAATAAACTGACTAGCCAAGATTGTAAACTCAGGGTTAATTAGAATAGTTACTTAATGAATTAATAAAGGGAGATCAAGATTATTTAAAGGGATTATTAGTATTGAAATTAAGTAAGGAAAAGTAGTACTATTTTTCATTTCATTTGATTCGTAATAAAAAAATTTATCTATTTTTGGATGATGTTTCTGAAATAATGAAACTTTAATTGAAAAACAAGGATGAAAATTATGAGACAAAAGATAATAAAGATATTAATATTCTATTATCTTAGATTCGTTAGATTGCTACATTAAAAGGTTATCCTATACCAACTAAAATATAAAATATTGAGATGAAATCTTGTTATTTAGAATAGAATTAATTAAAAATTAATTATGACAAAATTAATTTTGATTAAATGGTGATAAATTTGTAAGAATATTATAAATAACGAATTCCAACAATTAAATATTAATTTAAAAATCTAGTAAAATTGAATACAAATTTCTTTACAGATGAAGAACGTGTAAGATAAATTATAGATATTATAATGGAGAATAGTATAGAATAAACAAAAGATGGATTTATTGGTATAACTTTTGAAAATGATGCAAGACCAAATTGTATTCAAGTATCTATACAAGACACAGGCACAGGGATAAATCTAGAATTAATTAAAGATGAAATGGGTACAAAATTATCTGGTCTTTTCATAGCTAATTATTTAACTAAAATATTAGGAGTTTCATTTTTTAATAAAAAAATTAATGGATAAATTGCAAGTAAAGGATTAAGAATTGTAACTACATAAGAGTATGGAACTAAAATTTCATTTACTCTTAGAAATATGTTATATGATTAGAATAATGTTTTCTTTCTTTTAGATGAGAATATAGATGAAGATGAATAGAATCAAGATGAAATTATTGAAAGATACTTAATTGAAGATTAAACTTTATATTTAAATAGATTAAAAAAGTATAAATATATATATTATTTAAATAGACCTATTAAATATATAGTGATGAAAAATGAAGAAAAAAAAGTTGTATAAATTTTAGAAGACAGAATAGTTAAAAGACCACAATTAAAAGGTATGATGAAACTTTAGGAATCAGGAAGATTGAAGTCTCTAACTAATCAAATAGAATAATTATAAATTCCATTAGAAAAATGTATATGTGAAACTCCTTTAATCATAAATAGTGATTTCTACTTTTCATCTACATTAAAAGACTTTAATTTTTAAATTGTAAATGAATATGAGGCTTTGAAAATAATTAATATAAAATTAAAAGAGAATCCTTGTATATAGAAAGGATGCATTGCTTATAATAAAATATTTATTAATTGCTCAAATCCTAAAGTAAATTATGATGAGTAATATATAAATTTAATTGTAGTTTGATTAAGAAATTGCTTCTATTAAATAAGTAACTTAATATTGTAGTCCTTTAATATCTTCCATGGGGAGAATAATAACCAAACATCACTTATTATTAAATGCCAACCAAATTAGATACAATATTTAAGTGATATAAATAAATTTCACTAATATAATAAAAAACTTCCTTTATACTCCAATTTATATAATCATTAATATTAAGAACAGTTTAGTATTTAAATGCTTCTTTGATTTCTTTTATTTAAGAGAAATTTGATTATTTTAGAATAATCTTATATTACTAAAATAAGATAGGATCTACATATTTTTATTTTTCCATATTCCAAATGTGATACAAATCTATATAATAATTTACTCTATTTAGATATTCTAATATAAACTATTTTCTAAATATCAATTTTATGATAACCATAGGCTATAAGGTAGATTTGTTTCTCATTTAATTTCTTTTAAATGGTATTTATATGTATGTCTATCTAAATTTAATAGATTAATATTCATATCTAAATTTATTAATTTTACTCATTTAATTAATATTATAAATAATGTTAATTCTATATGAATAAAATGATACTAATATAGTTTTATCACACCCTCAAAAATCAATTATCATAATTCTAAATGAAGGCTATTACTTAAATTCTTATATATATCTATATAGGAATCAATTAAATGTTATCTAAATTTTCAAGTATAAACACTTATATTAATATATTATGTATAAAAATATATGACAAAAATATTTTTGTTTTACTCAAATAAATCATATTTAACTTTAAATAATCACATATATAGTCTTTAATAAATGTTTTCTTTTTCTTTTTTAATACAAAATTGATATTTCTAATTTAGTTTAAAAATAAATGAAATAGAAGATAATATATAATAATCTAATTAGATTGAGAATAGAAAAGTAGATAGTATAACTATTTTTCATTATTATTATTCCTATTTCCTAATTTCAATTGAATCTAGTTAATTATTACTCATTTTTTATATATATCTAATTTCTACTTTAAATTTATTATATTGAATAAATATAGAATTCTTTCAGAATTAAACGAAAACTTGATATAAAAGCATTTTGAGTTTGTTAATATGTGATAAATAAAAATTTAATGGAAAAATCATATTTCAAAATTTAAACAATCATTTTGATAATTGGTCTATTTTCATATGTAAAAGGATCATAATTAGTAACATTTGAAGATATGTGTACTTGTGAACAATTAGTTTATGAAAACGAATGTTTGGCTAATAAAATATGTAACTTTTCTAACTAAGAATGCAAAACTATTCCTTGTGATCAATTATCAGCAGGAAATTGTCATAATAATCATAAATGTGCCTTAGTAAATAATTAATGTGTAGTTTTTAAATCATGTTCATCTCACAATGCTAAAACAGAAGAAGCTTGTGACAATTTAAATCATAGTTGTTATTTTGATGATAATGATTAAACTTGCCGAGAAATATAAAATATCAATTTAGGTTCCTGTTCAGAAGACTTATTTTCATTATGCTTGATAGCTAATGAAGGTCTTTGTATTAGAAAGGGTGGAGTATGCTAAGAAATGAAAATTTGTGAAGATTCTAAAAGTGATGACTTCTAGTGTTTTCTTGCTTTCCCAGCATGTGAACCAAAAATTGATAAGTGTTAATCTCATCTTAAATGCAGTGAATCAGAATGGCTTGATTGCAGAATTGCTAAGGAAAAGATTAATGGAGATAAATATTAACTTTGTATGAAGGGAAGTAATGGATGTGTAGATTTTGATCCAAGTGTACAAACAAAAGATACTTGTTGGAACTCATCCTCTCTTTTTTATCATTGGGATGGTAAAGAGTGTTCAAGGTGTTCTTGGGATTCAATAATCATTTCAGTATTATCAATTGCTCTTTTAATCTTGAGTATTTGAATATCAAGCACATAATAATATAAATTAATTTGATCTATATCTTTTATAAAATGAAATATATAGATTTATATAATACCTATCTATAATTAATATTCTGATTAATAATTGAATATTAATAAAAATTATGAAGTAATTTATATATAATTTATAAAACATCTTCTAAAATATTTTATATTAATTTCAAAATAATATTTTTAGATTTATAAATTAAAAATGGAATTTATAAGCAAGAAATATATAATAATTTATTTGTAATTAATACATTTTAAGGATTTTCCTTTATGAAAAATTGATAAAAGTATTACATTTTTATTAATCAATAAACAAAAATAAATAGTATATATTATAAATTTATATTTATCTGTATGGTTTATATTGTTTTATTTGATTATGATTTTATATATTTATGTAGAAATGTTGAATAAATTCAATTAACTAATCTGCGATAAAGTATATAAAATTATTATAATAATAGAGTAATTATATATCATTATAGTAATTCTTATTTATATATATATATAGATATTTTAAGTTAATATTCATATACATTTGAATGTTTTAATTGAAAAACATCATTGATTTTATATAAATTTTATCACATATTTATTAATGATTTGATTAATTAAAAAGATTTGTGAGTTTTCCAATCAGTCAAGTGTTTTAGATTTAATTAATTTAAATCTCATAATAATTATATAAAGCAAAGCATGAATAATGAGTTCTTGATTATTGAAACAACATTATTTTGTACTTCTGTGATTGCATTATTTATTTTTAAGGAGTGGGAGGGCAATCAAAAGATTATTAAATTACTGTTTTCTTTGTCAAACATTAGTATATTTTTTTTAGAAATAAAGCAAATAGGAGATTCAAATTGTAATTATATATTATTGAAAGTTTAGATGTTTTATTAGCTATATCTGGTTTTCTTATAAGTTTATATTATTATAAGAAGTTGAAGAAGTAGAAGAATGAGATCCCTTAGATTTAGGTCATAAATACATAGTTATCAGAAAGAAATAATAGAGTTGAATCAGAAATAGAATTGCCACAATAATTACCAGTGATTCATTCAATTCATGAAAGCAATTCAAGTATGAATCAACATTAGAATCCACCAACAACTGAAAATAATAGACGTTAAAGTAATCTTTCAGGAGAGAAAAACGATTATTAGAATTCTAAATAGGAATAAGGAATGAATTATTTGGGTGATCATAAAAGACCTTCAGTCTAATAGAAAAGTAATGGACCTGGGATTGTAATAACTCGTCAATAGAGTGTAGCTTAGATTTAACGTAATAGAAATTAACAATTATTTAATTATAGCTAACTTGAATGTGATTAAGTTTTAGGATGACTTTGGAGAGATTAAGTTTGGGATACTTAAAACCCTTAAATCAGTTGCATATGATTAATTAGGTAAGGAGGTAGAATGTATATTTCAAACGGATAGACCTTTTACAAAATTATTATCTACAGTTGAATAAACCAATTAACCTAGAATGTAAATTTTGTATGAGAGTTAAGTAAATAATTAATATGTTGATGATGCATTAAGAGGAGCAATTCAATTAGATGATATGGGATATAGTGGTGATAAGAAAGTAGAGAAGAAAATAACATGGTAAAAAATAATAAAAGCTTTAATTTTAATAATAATTTTAAATCTAAATTTAGTTATAATTGATAACTGGAATTTGCATTAATTGATATTATTTGTAATAATATTGTGGAGATAAATATTGCAATATAAAATATTGATAGCAAATTCATTAGAAATGAAATGTGAATCAAGAGAAATTCTGATTTGGATTGTATTAATCACTTTTCCAATGTTGACTGTGTTTTTTATCAATTTGATAATAAATAGAAGTATTGGGATATAAGTGTTATAAGTTGCAAGTTGGGTTACGTTGATAATATCTTCTAAGTATAATAAAAGTTGTGAGGAGTAAGTTTATATTAATAATATTAGATATCTTTATGTTTTTATATTGTATGTATTTTTATTGACAATAGTACTATGTTTCATTTGAATATGATATTATATTACTCAAAAATTGATTATTTAAATAATTTAATTTACATCTTAAATTTATAATGAATTAATACTATTTAAGGAAGAAATTAAAAATAAGAACATCTATTGATACTCCTCTTATTCCTAAGATAGCATCTTCAAAAAATGAGTAATCAGAATTATTGGAAACCAATAGAAAACGCTATATTAAAGGATTTAGTCCTTAACGATATCATTTACCCTAAATTATTTAACCTTAGTTAAGTTAGATAACACCATTACGATAAAGAGGCAAATCTGAAAGCATTAGAGAACATTCTTAAGGATTCTTAGGGCCAAATGATTTTGTTCGTTTGTTGCAGACTGATCAATAAATGGGATTGGAATTTTGTTATTTAAATAATTAAGGTAATCCCTATGAATGGAAAGTTGTCAATTATGAGAATAGAAAGATGAATTAATATATGACGATAAGTGGTAGAGGCATTGTAATTCATCATAGTAATTTTGAAGAGTTTGTATCCATAAAACAATTTGAAAATGATAGGAAATTATATTATAGATTACAAAAAATTGAGTTCTTTAGAAATTATTTAAAACAAAAGACATTTACTAGATGGAAAAAATTAAGTATTAAGAATAAAGCTTAATCAATTTCTAAGGAGTTAAAAATAAGTTTCTTGATATTGGATTCCTCTCTCAAGCAACCAATTGAAGAAGTTCATAAATACACTTAAATTATTAAGAGTTTAGTATTTTTTACACCTACTTAAATGAGTCCTGTAAATCAGAGTAAATTTATTAGGAAATTGTAAAGATTATTAATTGAATTCTAATAGGAATTAGCTAAGAATATTAATTCAATAATGAAGATAGTTATTGATGCATCTTAATAATCATTTAGTATTTTTAAAGAAGATCAAGAATATAGATAGAATTTGGAATCAATACGAAATTCTCAAATGGAATAAAAGCCTCTTGGTGTATTTATATTCTGTTTATATATAATTAGGATAATATAACATAGTCAATGTAATTCACAATGGAATCAAATTTAAGATAATTTTAATAGAAGTTAATCAAATTTACAAGAATGATCGATTATATATAATTTGAGAGTATGATTATGTTGATGTACAATTCTATAGTTAATTTCTTAATGGTAATTAAAAATACTAATAAACATCTTAAAGTTGGGTAATTATTATTGTTATTCAATAGAACAACTTAGTTTAGTTGGATAATTGTAGATATTCATTTGTAAGAGGGTGCCATGGTGTTTGTACCTTCTCTTTAAGGAATATAAGATATATTTGTTGAAACAATAGAAAAGGCTATAGATATAATTGAATAAAGTATTTAATCGACTCGGAAATAGCAAGAGTTATAGATTTATGGTATTGGTTCAAATACAACAGATTTGAGATAAGATTTGAGAGAATATGGTAGATATAATTTAAGATAATTTGATTATGTTAAAGAACTTAGGGAAGAGCTGTAATTTAGTTATAAATAGATTGAGCATTATATGGTAAAGATTAAGAATTTATTGGATGAATTTGAAAATAATTATGATAAATTTTTGAATGCAGAAATACTGAAGTTGTAATTCTAATTGATTTCAGAAATGTAATCTGAAATAGAGAATATAGAAAATATAGTGGATATTGGATTTTTGAGATTGAATATCCAACTCTTTAAATTATAAATGTAAACTTTCTTTAAGAATAAGATTTAAGTGATTAATCAGAAGGTAGATAAAGAACTTAGAGGTAGATGTAAAGTAATTTAAGAAACAATTTAAGATTGGTTGGAGAAATTGAAATTGAAACCAGTAACTTTGAAACAATATGTAATATATTAAGAGAATTATATGTTGATAAAATAAAATTATGAAGAAATTGATTAATAAATAGAAGAATTACATGTTTATAATAGAATTTATATTAATGAAGATTAAACTATTCCTATAAAGGATATTTGGGATAAGATAGTTAGTTAATATTAATTATTTTAATATAAATTTTATGATTTATAAAATCAATATGGATTAGTTTAAGATAAATTTGAAAAGGAGTTCAGAAAATTGACTCCATTTTTTCATTAGAAAGTATTATAATTTTGTGAATAATTTGAAAACAATAAAGACATAAATGAAATAAACTCTATTTCTTAATTATATAGTTAATTAATAACTTTAGAATTGGAATATGAAGATTTAAAGTAGTATTCACATTCTTTACAAATAGAATAATATCATAATGAGTAATTACATGAGATAAAAAATAAATATGTTTAATTTAAGTAATTGTAAATAGAAATTCATAAGATTCACAATTTACAATAAGAGTGGATGAGAGAACATTTTCTTGATTTAAATCTATTTTTTATAAAGAAAACTTATTAGAATTTATTAGATTAAATTGAAGATTGTAAAATATTTGTTTAAGGTTAATTGGCTGAAATAAAGTAAGAATTAATGAAAGAATTAAAATTATTTAATGTAATTGAAATTATTATAAAAATTAAAGATTATGATTAGAATATTGTAGCTTAAGTGTGTAAGAAAGATAAACAATAGGATAAAAATTTATTATAATTAATATTATAAATATGTAATAATCCATCACATCCAGTATTTACTACTTAATATTTATATTAATCAGATATTAATGAATAATAAGATAATTTATAATAATTATTAATCATTATTCAATATGAAAATTAAACAATGAATTCACTTATTAAATTAGAAGAGTTTTGGAAGAATCATAAATTAATTATTTAAAAGGTTAAAGGAACAAAAGATCAATATTCAATTACTAATTTAAATTAATTGAATGATTTATTAGATGAGAATATTTTGAATATCAATACTATTCTTGGTCAACCTAATATTGATGATCTAAGAAATAGAATTGATTTACAATTAAAGTATATAGTTTATTTGTAAGAATATATTAATTAATTGATTCTCTTACAAGATACATAATCTTATTTAAATAATTTATTATCAAACTAAATTAATCAAAAGAATTAAAGTAAGGAAATTAAATTATATTAAAATTAAGAAAAAAATTGGAAATAATTGATAAGATTATTATAATAATAAAAAAATTTAGAAATATGGATTAAAGATGAAAATGAAAAGAAGTATTTAACACAAATTCAATAAGATAATTATAATTGTAAGAGCATTATTTAATAATTGAATGAGTAATTTGAAAAGAAGAAGTATTTATTCCCAAGATTTAATTTTCTTACAAATTCTTAATTTAATAAAGTTATCACTGAAATTAAACATCCTACTGCTATATAACAATATCTAAGTTTATTTTTTCAAAATATCCATTAATTTGATTATGATTAGAATAAAGATTCTATTACATCTTTATATTCAATGGAAAATGATTAGATAACTATTAAGTATTGTCCAATGAAAGGAGAGATTGAGGATTGGTTCAAAAATATTGAGGAGGGAATGAAATAAGGATTAAGATAGATTATAAAGAATGCACTTAAACATGCTGATAATTATTAATAGATAGTGTAATATCCAATTTAAATAATTTATATATGTATGAATATAAATTATACTATGATGTTGGATGATATTTTATAGAATGATGAAAAGGATTGGAATGAATTAGTAGAATTTAAATAATATGAAATACAAGAATAAATAAAATAATTACATTCAATAAAATAATCAGTTAAGTAATAATTACGATAGATTGCAATTATAATGATATTGAATAATTAAAAAAATCTAATTTAAGAGATAAATTAATTTAAAATTAATAGTGATAAAGATTATTTCTATATTAAATAACTTAAATATTATTATGATGATGAAAATATAATAATTAATTTGTTAAATAATAAAATCTAATATTAATTTGAATTTTTTGGTGATTAATTTAATTATCATTCATGGAAATAATCTGAATAATCTATTTTATTTATGAATCAAGCATTTTAAATTAATAGATTACCACATTTGATAGGTCATAATAGTAAATATTATATTATTACACAATATTCATAAATGTTAGGAAGATATTATAAATAAATTTAAATTACTAATTAAGATTATGATTTCTAATATATATTATAATGCATATATGGATCAATATAATCAAATTCATTATTGATAATCTCTGGATATTAATATATATAATAAGATGATAAATTAATTTTGTAAACAATATTCAATTAGATTTGTAATGCTTTATGGTAATAACTTTAGATTTAAGATTTGGAAGGGAGATAAGTGAAAATATATAATAAACATTTTCTAACTCTAATATCAGATGTACATTATCCAATCTTATTGTTTAAGAATATTCATGTCTATTAACCAGATATTATGATCTTATGGTAAGCACTTATTTAAATGATATATAATAAGGACATAGTTGAGATATTGTTGAAATTAATATAAACATTAAATAATGTTTTTGGTACTGATTTGTTTAATTTTTAAAGATTTAATACATTTAATTAAGTAATAAAATCTTTATAAACAATTAAATTAAATGATTTTATGGAAGTATTACAATATTAGATGAATAATGATGATAGATAATTATTTAATTAAATAGTGAATGAATATATTCCAAACAGAGATGAAAATAGATATCATATGGAATAATTGAATTCATTATTAAATGATAATAATCTCATTTTAGTTTATGGTTAACCAAATAATGGAAAGAGTAAATTGATTTAGGAATTATTTCAATTTAAACTTGTAAAATAAAATATAAATTAAAATATTCTATTATCATCAACTAAATAAAATAATATTCTCTATCTTGAAATTGATGCTTATGATGATGAGGAATTGTTTATAATTTTGTAACATAGTTAACATTTCAATTTTTATCATTTTATAATAAATGATAAATAGAATAAAATCTATTACAGATAAGATAACTTTGTTTTATTCAATAGTTTAATTTATTAAAATAGAAATACAATATTTGAAAGTAATGATCTATCAACATAAGATCCTGGATCATTAACTAATTTTACACTCTTTTATTATGATAATAATATTTCAAATCATCAATTTCTCATTTAAGAATTAAAATAATTTATTCACAATTTTGAATTATAAACTTTATTGGCTCGTAATTTGATTAATCAAATAGAATAATACTATTAAAAATTTATTAACTTTCCATATTCAATATAATATTTATTACAATGTTCAGCTAAGATATTGAGTATCTATTATGATGAATAATAGTATAGTAAATTCACATAATTAGATGTAGATAATATTAGTACATATACAATATACATAATGTTCAGTTTAATATTGGATTAAGAAAATAAATCACTTGTAATTGATTCAATTTTAATGATCATTTAAGAAAGATAATTAGATTAACTTTTCAATTAGTAATCATCTTATAATAATACAATTTTATAATTTTATTTCAGTCAATAAGAATTATATGCCATATAAGAATTGTAGAGTCATATACTATTTTATGGTGATATTTCTTGTAATAAGAGTATTTTGGCTAAATTAAAATCATCAAACGGTTTATATTTTAGTCATCAAACTAAATCAATTGAATTTTAAGAGTTCATAGATAAAAAGTTAATGACATATAAAAAAGATAAGTAATTGTGTTTATCTCCACCTTTTGGTTAGATTTAACATTTTATAGTTGAGGATATCAATTTATCAAATTAATGTCGTATATTTATTAAATAATTAAATGAATGTAATTATATATTTGATAAGAAGAATAATTATTAATTGAAATATATTAGCAATTTTTATTTATTAGGAACTTCATAGGAACGATTAATTTATAAATATAATCAATTCAAACATTTTGTTTTCATTAATACTAACAGAATTCCATTAATTTAAAGTATCTATACTAAGATAATTATTGATAAGGTTAAAGATAAACTAAAGTAATATTTAGAATTAGATTATATAAATGATGGAATTTTGAATTTGTAACATAAATTCAAATAAAAATGGAATAACCATTGGTGTTATCAATATATATTTGATAATAATACTATTTGGCATAGAATCTTAAATCCATTAATTGTTCTAACTGATCCTCAATAATTTATTTATCAATTCTATTAAAATATCATGAGAGTAATAGGTGGAATATTGGATATTGTAGATTTGGAAAATTTGGATAGATTTGTGAAAGATCTAAATTTTGGTGATTATAGGATTGAGATTCCATATTAATAAACAATAGAGATTTATGATGAAATCAAATAGAAGAATTTTCAAAATCTATTTTTACATGAAAGTCATCTATAAAAAATTGTATATATAATGAGGGGATGGTAATATGATTAACATGTTGTAATTTAAGGTAAAATTGGAAGTGGTAGGAATTCCTTTATCAGATTAGCTTAACTTATTATGTAATATTAATAGAAATATAATGATATTGGATTAGATGATCTATTGTAAAATTGGGATTAGTAGAATCATATCATTTATATAACCGAAATAAATGAAAATGTGTATCAATTCATCTCTTATCCTATTTAATATTGTTACAACTAATGTATATTGAGAAATGATTCTATATCATTATTACATATTTGTTTATTGATTGAGGATATGAAATAATTAGATTAGTATAGGAGAATATTATATAAATGTTAGATTATCAGATTATTTGAGTGGCCTAAGATTTTTCAATAAGAGGTAGCTATTTAGATTCTTAATGATAGATCTATTGATAATAAACTATTTTGCAAGGTCTTTGAATAATCTTAAGGATATATTCAATAATTCATTGATCATCTATAATTATTCCAAACATAGTATTAACAATCGAAATCTGAAAATTAGAGATTAATTATAATCTATTAAAAGGTTTTAAATAAAATAGAAGAGGCAAATACTGAATTCATTACAATAACAGAATAGTACAATTAGTACAATTAAGAACATTAGGATGTAAGTAATTAAATTAAAATATTAAATAATGAGATATCTAAGGATAAATTAGAGTTGGGAGATATTAATTAATAAATTAATAAATTGAATGAGAATATTAATAAATGTGAATAGAAAATTAATAAATAATAATTATAATTAAATTAATAATTCCAATAATATAGTAAATAAAGATTGCAACAATTTCACATTATTTAAGAATTCCCTTTTTTATAACCATTATAAATGGAATTAATACATTTAGTTGATTTACCATAATTGGAATAATATTAGATTGAATAAATTATATTGAAATATCCAAAATCTTCATAATAAATCTAAACTATCTATTAGATTGCTATAAATATTTGTAAATATTAGTAAATTTTGATTTAATTATAAAATAATCTTCATAATGATAAAGTAGCAGTTGAGGAGATGAATAATAAACAAGAATTGAGAATAGCAATGATATAAAAATAGGAATAATAAATTGATATTTATCAATCTAAATTACGTATTTTGACAGATGAATTGGAAAAGATATCTAAGATTTTTGAGGCAACAAAGAAATGTCTGAAATATTTGAATCCTTATAAAGTTTAATGGTAATAGAATATTTTTAATTTATAATAATAATAAATCTAATTAATGGATATCAATTTTGTACAAAGTATTTGTCAAAGTTATAATCAATAAATAACATAGAAATTAATTGATAATTTAAACTTATAATATAAATTAGATTATGAGAATATGTAATTACTATTAAATTTGAAATTTTAGAATCAAAAGAATATTATATTAATTATTGATCCTGAAAATTTGTCTTAAGAATATCTTCAATAATATTATCCAACAGCCTATGTGATTACATTCAATAATAATAATATTACTGAAATCAAAAATAATTAATAAACTCAATAATGTTTTATCATAAAAGATGTAATTATTAATGATATATTAAAATCTTAATAATGGAGATCATTTATTTATTAGTAATATCAATAATAATAAGAGATTAAAATATATTTAATTTCTTATTAAATAAGAAAAGAGATTAGAGCTTAATCTTTATTGAGAACCATTTATTATAAAAAGTAAGATAAGGAAATTGAATCATATGCATTACTAAATATACTTCAAAAAGATAATCCTGATACATTTGATAGATTAATATAATAATATGATGAAGAGAATCTATCTTTGATAAATTTGGGATACCTTTTGGATAATGATCGTCCAATAATGGATTCTCACTATGAATAACAATTGAGTTTGTTAATATCCTCTTAATTTAATAGTATAATTAATTTAGATGTTATTAATCAAATTCAATATCTAATTGATTAATAGGAATAATTGAAATAACATAATGGACAATTCAATTTTGAAATTTATCATCCTTTAATGGTGAGATTCTTATTAATTTATTAAAGTCTATAATAATCTTATGTTTTCGATCGTCGTTATTATATAACAATGTAGTAACTATTGGATAAATTAATGTAAGTTATGGATTCAATTAAAGTTGATAGTCCTGAACGATATTGGATAATAAGTAATTATTTCACATTGTAGACTATTAATTTGATAGAAAATTAATTTAAAATAGAACATCATTTATTAATAAAATTCATTTTATTTACTTAAATAGATCTAAGTAATAGAATTATATCTTAAGATTAATACTAATATATAATAGGTTAATAATTACAAAAGGATTTAAGTAAATACCCTAAATCCTTAAATGTATCATTCATTAAACAAGAATAATGGGAGGAAATTAAATATATTATGAGTTTGTCATCATCATTCGATGATTTGTACACTTAAATCTAAAGATATCCTAAAGATTGGTAGAAATGGTTGGATGATACATTATCAATGCCAAATGAATATGAAGAGAAGTTATCAATATTTGAGAAACTCATTTTAATCAAAGCATTTAAACCAAAAGATCTTAGAAAATTTATCAATGAATATGTAAAGGACAGATCAACAAAATACTTAAAATTAATCAAAACTAATAATAATTAATAGACTAGTATAAAATAAATCATATATGTTTAATCATAATTAAATAAATTGATTGAAGATATCAATATACCTATTTACAAAGGTTAACAAGAACTTAATCAATAATATTTATTTATTAATCTATCACATTATCCTATGGAATTGTAGGAATAAATTATTCAGAGTAAATACCCACATTATATAATTGAAAATTTAGACGAAGATATTTTACTTGATAAAACATTGTTAAATTGTTAAAAGTCATTTCTACAATATAATTAATAAATAAGTTAGAATATCAGAAAATACATTCCTAAAGTTGATAATAATAATACAAGCGAAATGAAAAAACTTACTTATAGTCTATGTTATATGCATTTTTTTATTATTTAAAGGAATCTTCTATTAAATTTAAGAACTGAATCTTATACATTATAAGATTTAAATTTAATTTTGAAATATAATTTGCCATACTTCATTAACACTAACATTAATAGTATGTTTAAAGTTATAACTGATGGGATATATAATGTTCCTCCTTAAGATATATAGACTATAGAAAGTATAATTTATAAACATTGTAATTAATAAATAAATACTAAAAATTATTAATACTTACATTTTCATACACTTCCTATTGGAAATGATGTATGGTTGGATGAGATAATTAATCTTATTCCAGATACTTATGATACTTATAGTATTGGATATGGATATAATAATTTTACTATTAATAATGATTAAAATTAATAGATAATTTAGTAGTTTTCATTATTAACTAATAGTACTGAGATTAATGTATATAATCCTTAAATCAAATAGATTAAATTAGTGGAACCTCTTAGTTTAATTAAATTAGAATAGAAATTATCTAGAAAGTATTCATTTTAAAAAAATGATTCAAAACCATTTTCTTAATATTATCGAAAAACAGCACTTAATATCATGAATAAAAATAAATAAAACATTTAATATATTGATGCACTTGATTAATACATTAATATTCAGATATAAAAGTATAATATACTATTATAAGTATTGAACCAATATCTCAACAGAATTTAAGATAAATAAGTTATGTATTTTTCAGAAGAACTCTATTAATATTTGTGGTTCAAACCAAAATCTAAATTGATCATTTATAATTTAGTAGAAATGGTGAATTAAAATATTAATCAATTAAGGATATTAAAAGATTAACAAAATAGAAGATATTTTGATTTGAGTTATCTTTTTATTCCATAAGCATTATTGGAATACTTTAAATTACAATTTAGTCGCAAAAATGGTCTCAATCCTTGGAATCTCAATATTTATACAGATATATCAAAATGTACTGATATAAATAATGTATAACAATTATAATTGAATGATGGGTCTTATCTACTTGGAGGATTAGAATGCCAAAATTGTTAATGGAATTTAGAGAAACATAAATTAATAGAAGTTGGCAATTCATTCTCTACATCTATTCCATTTATTCTCATTTCAACTTTGGAAGGTGAACAACCAAAAAATTTATAAATTCCTATAATTGATGATAATCTGACATTAATGACAATAGATTTATAATCTGATCTAGATTAGGATACTATAAATATAAGATAAGCCAGAATAATAATAAAAGGCAGATGATATTTATATCTATTTAATGATTATATAAACACATATAAATATAAGTGAATTTGATTTACTTGTATATATTTTTTAATTTCTAATCTATATAATAATCTGAAATTATTATTTCTCTATAATAAATATCTCTTCATTTAAATATTCTTTTAATGGTTTCTTAAGAGATAAATTTGACTATTTAAATCAATTTTATAGGAAATAATTTATGATATTAGAAGTTCTTTAATAATCAATAAAATTTTATATCAATTCCATTAATAATAATTGTTTAATATTGCAGCCATTTCCTTATCAGTGAGTTCTTTCTCTAATTATGAATGTCAATAATATTCACTTGTTTAACAATTTTAAAGTTAATAATTATTTCTTACTCAATCTCATACTTGTATATCCAATTACCTTATGTAAATTAATACTCTATAAACATTATGATAAATGAGTATCAACTATTGCTTATTTAAGGAGAATTAAATACAAAAACTCTAGTTATTGTTATGTAAGGCTGATGGCATATCAGATCTATAGATATAACATTTTTTTAGCTTTTTGTTTTCTTGAAAACTTAAGTAATTTATCTTTATGTATGAAGTATTCTATTATTTAGAATGTTAGTTTGTGAATTGTTTAAATTTATTGTTTATGCAAAAGCTTTGAGAATTAGCAGATATTCATTTTAATTATTTTAATGGATTAAGATGAATTTGGAGAAATAGAAAATGATGACCTTAATAATGAAGAATTCAATTATGAGGAAGATCTAATGGGAGGAGATGATTAACAAATACCCAACAATTAATTACTAAAAAAAGAATAGGACAAAAATCCAATTTCAAATTAGATAACTCATACACCTTAACCACCTGAGGAGGAGGAAGAAGGTGAAGTCTATGAATATGAAGATTAGAGTGAGGGTTTAGTTGAAGATAATAACAATGAAGAAGATGTAGAATAAGAAGTAAATGAAGAAGTCCCTGAAGATAATGATGATTAATATAACGAGGAGGAAAATGAAGAAGAATAATATAATGAAGATTATGAGTAAAATGAATATTAGCAGAATGATGATGAATCTGATAAAGAGTAAGTAGTTGATATTTCAAATAATAACTAATAAAACAAAGAAATTAAAGATAATAAGAATAATCAATCCAATTAACCAACTTCTATTATGGAACCTCCAAAATAAAAGAAGAGACCTCCTTTGCCAACTCAACCTATTAAATAGAAGCCCACATATTAAGAGAAATATGCTGAACTTATGGCTTAGTAAGATTACTCAAATTGGAAACCAAAACAATTGCATGATGAAAATAAATAGCTCAGATAAAAACTTAAAGAAATCTCTGATGAAGTTTCCAAATTAGTTGAACAAAATGCTTAACGTCTACCTCCACAACCATAACCATAACCATCAATGAAGAGGTAAAAGACAGCTTAATCTCAAGTTTCTGGTGGAACTGTTATTGATAAGGAGATTGAAATTAACCAAAAAAAATTAGAGTAATAAGAAGAAGAGATTAATAAATTAAATAATAGAATATAATAGATATAATAAATCAATTACATAATGAAATTAGATGAGGAGATTAAGAAATTTGAAGAGGAAATGAAGAAATTAGAATAAAGAAAAAAGTAAGAGTTTTTGTAACAGAAACAGCGAGGCAAGGATCTTGATAAATATGAGAATTAAGATGGTTTTGACAAGTTGAATAAAGAGAGGAACAGTTTAAATTAAGAGATGGTTAATTTAAGAAGGAAAATTAAGGAATAATAAGAATAATTGAATAAATAAAAGGAGAACATAAAAAATACTTAAGAGGTTGAACTTCCAAAAATTAATAAGGAATTGAAACTTTTAGAAGAAGAAGCTGAAAAGTATAAAATTGATATAAGTGGTGATAAACCATTTAGTAAATTAAAAGAATAATATATTGCACTTTTGGCTTAGAAGGATAATTTATTAAAACATAATCTTATAATGGAAAAGAAGGATAAATAATTAGAAATGATAGAAAAAGAAATTAAGGAATTGAAAAAAGAAAAAGAGCGGTTTGATTAATAAATTAATGCAAATGAAATGATTTTAATTGATTAAAGAAGATAAAAAGAAGAATTAAAAGTTAAAGTACCATCTGATGTATTTAAATCAATTCCTGCAACAATGACTTAAGAAAATATTTCTGAAGCATTATAATAAGAAAAGAAAACATAAGAAAATTAACGAAAATTATAAAGTGCAAAACCCCCTATTTCTAAATAATAGTAAGATTAAAGTAGTCATAAAGAATTAAAATTACCAGTTAAGTAAGATGAAAAACCATAATAATTAACATCAAAGAATGAAGTAGAAGAGGAAATTATATGTGAAGATGAAACTGAATAATAAAAATAACCAATAAAGTAGGAAGAAAAAAAATAAATTCAAATATCATAATCTACTCCAATTAAATAAGATATTTAAATTATATAATAATAATTATAATCTCCTAATCAACAAAATAAATTAAATTCAAAACCTTTTAATAATATAAGAAAATCTGTTGATTAATAACCTACTACTGATTTAGGTCTCAATAATGAAAGTAATCAATAAAATAATATTAATGATGTTTAAATAGAATATACAGGTCCTTCTAGAATAATAAGAATGATGAGGAAACCATAACAAAATTAATAAGAAGATACTCCTCAATTCATAATTAACCCATCTAAACCAGTTGAATAACCTAGAGATCAACATAAAGAAATTAATGAATAAAATAACAATAAACCTATTGAACAACCTACTTAATTTGAATAGCCTAAACCTATTGAAGATTATCAACCTACTTTTCCAACTAGAAGAACAACCAATAGACCTAGAGGATTAGATCATAATACAAATGAATAATAATAAACTATAGAATAGCCAATCTAAATTAATTAGAAATAGGATTAAACTTAATAATCTGAATATCCTACTAGAAGAAGAATGAGAGTAGGTTAGGATGAACAATAAGAATAATAAAATAACAATTAATAATAATAATAATCATAATAATAATCTATTTCATCATAATAATAATCCTTAACCTCTTAATAATAATCCTATTAACCATCTGATGATGGAAATAAATAAAGAAGAATTAAAATATTTACTGATGAAAAACAACCTGAAGCTCCAAAAACTGAAGAACCAACTAATGAATTTTAAACAAAGCAAGAACCAAATAAATAATAAGGAAGAAGAAATAGAGGCAATAACAAATTAAATATTTGGGAAGATTAACCTGTTTAGAAAGAGAATATTGAAGAGATTTAAGAAATTAAAGATATAAAATAAGTACCAGAAGTTCAACATAAAGAAGATAGAGAATTAACTTTAGATGAAATATTAGGAGCTCCAAAACATTAAGAAGAGTATAGACCAAATCAACAAAAAAGAAAATTTGAAGTCCCTAAAGATGATAGTGAAACTTATGAACCTGGATTTGGAGGTGGTGGAAATAAAAGAGGATTAGGAAATCAATAAAAAATAGATAAGGTATTATTATAAATAATTATAAATTAGTAAAAAGAATTGGCTTAGAAGGCTGAAAAAGGAGACTTATTAGATGATTTTGACTTTTGATTTGAAATATATATATTTATAAAATATTGGCTTTCTATTACTTTTAATTAATTCATTTTTTGTAATTCAACTTTAAGATTAAAAAAATTGTTCTTCAATTATCTTAATTTGATTATTCAAAATATTTGCATCTTGCTATCTAAAGAATTCTTATTCTAAATAATAGGGATTATCAAAATTAGATATATTTTGAGCTCTTTTTACTTAAATGAAAATAACTTCCCTAATTATTGGTGAAAATATTGATGAAATTCCCATACAAATAATGAATTTTAATTGTAATAAAGTAAGTTATAATTTGTTATCACAATCTTATTAACAACTATTTTTTATGGAATGATAAAGTTTTCTCAAAGATTTTCTATATGGTAATTTAAAATTATTGGAATTTTATTCTTATTCAGGCATATTAATAATTGATTTAATTGAATTAAATATATTTTCATCTTCACTACTAAGTTTTTTAAAGTTACAAAGTTAATAATTATCATTTATAATAGATAAATCTGCATTAAGTTAATTTTAAAGATCTTTAAAAAACTTTTTTGCTTATATACTAGTTTTGAAATTCTTCCATAGCTCATTATCAAAATTCAAAAACTTATTATTCCATTAACTGACAAACTCTTATCTCATGAGTACGGCCATTTTTAGTAAACAATATACTGTAAATGTTTCAACAGGACTTTTAATTTCTTATAATTCAATATGTTGCTTTAAAGAATTCATCAAATACCATTTATAGGATTCAAAATGTAATTCAATCCAAATATCTTTAAATTTAATAAAATCCTATATAATAAATCTTATTATTTACATTTTAATCTCTGCATCTATAAGGTAAAAAACCTAAATCAGGATATTACATTAATTGCTAAGGACTTTAATCTATTGGATCAATTAGTGGATTCTCAATTGGTCGATTCTAAATTGGTGGATCCTCAATTGGTAGATCCTAAATTGGTGGATCATCTATTGATAGATCCTCAAAAGGTGGAGAAGGTTATATTGGTTAAGAGTAATAATCTGTTGTATTAGCTATTCTTGGATAAGGAGCAAGATTTTCTTATATTTGTGGATTAGGATTAGGATTAGGACGTTGAATTCTATAACGAAAAGGATTCAGTACTTTTGGTAACTCCATTTATTTCGTAAATTCTTTAGGCTATAATATTTAAATAAGAATTTAGATACCACTGCCCATTCTATATAATTATCATCAATTAATTCTCTCATTTTTATTAATGAAGAGTAATTCTAAGTTAAAAAAATATTTTTATAAAATTCTTTAATACCCTCTTAATAACTATTAGAAATTTCATGATGAATGTGCATCTAGAAGAATGTACATCTCTAAGCTTCTGTTGGATGAAGCATTTTCATTAGACGATTCTTCCAATCCTCATCTATTCTTAATGATTAAATTTAATTATAAAATGTCAGATATTCTTTTAATGTCTTAAAACTATTCAAAACTTAACCAGTAAACAACTAATATATAATACAACCAACCAACCAAACATCAATACTCTAACTATATATTCTATTTTAACTTTATTCTCCCCTTACTAAGAATTCAGGAGGTATCAGCTATAAATTAGGATAAAACCCAAAAGCAGCCATTTATATTGAATTATTATGGTAATAAATATTACCAACATGAAAACATCTTCCTAGACTATATTTGGTATGAATTTGATGTAATGCCTATAACAATTATTTGTAAATCTCTTCGATTTGAATCCTTGATAATCTACCATTCTAATTGATCAATTGCAACAATGTTATGCCCTCTGGAATCATAAATAAATATTATTTTCTGCCTATCACCTTACTTTAACTTCTTATGTATGAGCCTGTGATTTAACTTTCATATTCCAAAAATGCATCTAAATCATCACAGAGAGCATCCACTAAAACTTACTTTGGAGATTGTTAAGCCATCCTCTTCTCTAAAATAGCTCTATTTCTGTATAAACTTTCAATTTCTTCTATCATACTAGACCAATAAGTGTAAAATAAATAATGAATTCACATTTAAAATAAGACTTATTCTATTTACATCATTAATGTAATAACATTAAATAAATATAAATAAAGTAATTTTTACTATTTTAATAGAGATGTTCAATCTATTTATTATTTATTAAGATTTATTATTTTCTAATGTTTGATCGATCTAAGAATGTTTTTTCTAGAATTGCCAATTCAACTATCGATACTTTCGATATTTTTGGATAATTACCGACCTTCAGGGTCCTTGACAAAAGTAAGTACACTTCTGTGGTTGGGTGTTGTATGACCTTCCTAATAGGAACAGCTACGTTAATTTACTTAGTGACTGAAATAACAGCTCTATTACACAAAGCTGAACCTAAAGTTGTTACATCTGAGCTTCAGATATTTGACTCAACAGTAATTATCAATCCTATTTAAGTCTTTCCCACTTTTTAATGATAATTTCACTCTTGCTGTTACAATTGCAACTAAAAATTCAGAACCCATTAAAGGGTAAATGAAATATTACAACTTATCGATGAGTCATTGTGTGAGAGAAAGACTATTAAATGAAACAACCGGTAAGGTTTAAGTTTCACTAAAGTAAAAATAAAAGGTATTTAGTTGCTCCCCATTGCCTATTGCCCCTTGTGTTGCTGAAGATTTTGATAATGAGTTATAGAAAGAATTTTTCAAAAATACTAGATTAGGTGTTGTCTAATGTATCAATCGAACTAGACTTAGGAATAACCCTCCTGTAAAATTTTTATGTTAATTTAAGGTTTTGTAAGGTCAAATCTCAGGGTATAAGTATTAGTACTTAGTAATTGAATTAAGCATTTGCAAAAATACTACAGAATATTAAGGTTGTGCACCAATAGATGAAATCAAGAAAGTTTTATCTGCTGGCCATTATTCTGTTTATGCAAGTGATTATTTGATGCAATTGAATCATCCTGATACACCATACTCCCAACTTATTAATTTAGACATAAATAGTTTCTCCATCTCAACCTCTAAAATGTTATAATGGACTTATAGAATATCAGAAACTCATACAGATAATGGATTCCTATTTAGCACAGACTAAGTAGATTTAAATTTAAAAAAATAAGACAGAAGAGAATATACTGAGTTATATAATGATGATTATCTTGTTTACCATTACATCTAATTAGATTACAAAGAAACTATCTATTAGAGATCGTACATTAAGATATAAACAATATTAAGTAAAATTGGAGGAATTTGGTAATTATTTATGGTAATGGCTGCCTTAATTATAAATCCATTAATAAATAATCTGATGACCATTTCAATAGCAAATGAATTATATAGATTTCCTAATTCTGAAAATTAAAGACCATAAAATATAGAGATAATTAATTTATAATAAAGTGATTAAGTTATAGATGTCTAAGAATAAATTAGAAGAACTAGAGAAATTAATACTGAAGAAAAATTGTCAACAAGTATTTATGAATCTCTTCTTATTCTATTTGGTTGTCATAAAAAGAAAAAAAAAATGTTTGCTCAAGTTAAATAAGAAATACTTTCATAAATGGATGTGGTGAAAATCATTTAAAAGCTACATGAAGTTGATCTACTGAAATTCATTTTATTAAATGATGAATAGTATAAATTGTTTGATCTTCTACCTAAACCTATCTTATAAGATGAAAAATTGTAAATGGAAGATATGGGTAATGATTTAATATCTGAAGCTGGGTTTTAAAAAAGTTTTAGAGCTATTAATAATAATAAAAAATTGTAATCTAAGAATCTTAAAGATTATTATTGTTCTTTCTCTTCATTATAATAAGATAAAAGAAGAAGTAGTGTTGATGATAAACTATTATCTATGATTGATAGAAATATAGTTTAATTTTTTGAATAGATTTAAATGTCCTAATAACGTCAAGGAAACTTAAGTCCATTAGATCCATTTTTTAGATCTAGAATAGAAGAATCAATCATAGAGCCTAAGATTTAAAGACCTAAATGAAGTTTTCATTATTTTTTAATTTAACCTATTTTATAAGATTTACAAAATCATTAAAATCACACGAATTCATAAAAAAGATATTTTAAATGATTAAAAAAAATATATACATTATTTGTCTTTAAATATTGAAATCTTTTTAATTAAACCTATAAATATTTTTAATTAAAATTAATTTCACAGAAATATTTCATTTTTTAAAAACTCTCTATTTAACATTAAATATGAATCATAGAGCCTACGCCAAGCTTTAAGAATTTTGATGAACATATAATCTCTTCAGAAATATTATTATATTTTAATTAATTTTATTAACCAAAATATTGTTTTTTTCTTAAATAGTTTAATCCTAATTTCAAATTTAATGCAACAAATAATTATTAAACGAGTTTCTTCAATTAACTAATTATCTTCAATTCTTTATAAATTTCATTTTCCCATTAAATAGTAATATCCTATTATTGTGTGATACTCAGATTATATATCAATGTTTATTAAAATAAAAAAATTCATTTAATTAATTTAATGAAAAAATTATATATTGTTCGTTTTTTATTTGATAATGGTAGTTTGGTCACAAAAAGTTGAAAAACAAGAAGATATAATAGCTAGTCATAGAGAGGATTATATTAAAAAAGAAAGTAATCACGATTCAAAGTTTGAAGGATAAAAAAAGGTTAGGATAAGATGTATAAAGTGCTGTCATTTAAGAAGTTAGTGGAGAAATAAAAATCATTGAACAAAGATTAAACTAAAACAAAATATAAGCCAAGAAGAGAAAATATAGAAGTAGTAATAAAATAAGACAATTATGGGGATGACCTTGTTGAAATTATCGATGATCATTAATTTAGTTTATTGATTGATTTACCAAGATAAAATATCGTATTTTATTTTATTAAAATTCTTTTCTATCAAAAATTAATATTTTTACCTTAAATAGTTTTAATTTGCTGTGCACTTTCATTTTTGTTATTGATTCAATAATTTTTATAAACTCAAACATCTTTATTTATAATTAGAGTCTAAATTAAAAATAATAAGAGTTTCTCAATAATTCTATTTCATTAGATATAAAGTAAATTTATGTTTCTGATATTAATTTGAATTTTTAATTCTTATTGTATTTAAATCAGTAAATTAGTTGATAAATCAAAACTTTATTCGCAACTGATCTTTCTTTAAATCAAATACTTTTATTCCATGATAATTAAATATTCTTAACAAATGCTATAAATTATAGTTTTTGAACTCATTTACTGTATTTTTTTAGTGATATAGAATTTAACATCATTTTATAAATGTGTAGATTTCAAATTCTATATTTTATTTTTTACTTTTATTTAAAAACTCTTATATTCTATAATATACTAGGTAAGAAAATCTAATATTTAGTTATAATTTTTTAATTTAAATGCTCATAAATCTATATAATTCACTTTTTTAAGATTAATATTGTGTAATTACAAAATGAAGTTTATGCATGATTTATTTCTAAATACTTAAAAAAACCTTCAATTTATTACTTTTCAAGAACAAAAACTAATCGTTTCTTGCAAAGAACTTTATAAATTAAAATTTACCAATCCAGAAACTTACCTCTACATAAAGAAGTACGCTTGATACCTTATCTGAATATGATCTTCTATATTTAAATATACAGAGACCTTAAATGGAAAAGCAAAATTGCTTTTTCAACTAGCTCCGATTGCCAAGTCTTTAAAACTAAGGCATCCTAAAAATTTAATGGTTTCGCTTGCTTCTATCATTTTGAAATTATAAAAATGAGTAAACACTAAGTGATCTAAACAATCAAGAAAAAAGCTTTCCTTCATAAATTAAAAGTAAAAATAGGAAAAAGATTTCTTTGAAAATTTAAACTGAACCTACTAAATAGACAAATCAAGATTTTACGAATTCATTACAAAAAGCAGCAATAAACGAATGGAAGAAAGGATTTTAGGTTATACTCTTACTATATAGATTAGAATGATGAAACAAATTTTGGAGATAGCACATTAATTAATTATTTTTTTCGATTAACTCGATAAAATACAAAAAAATATTAATTTTTCCCCTCCTTACTGCCAACACTACAGCTTCTAAAATATATTGATACATATGAGTTATAAGAGTTAATATCCTTGAAAAAGGCTATCAGCTATGATGGAATTTCGTATAATATTATCCAGCAATCATCATTTTTGAATGATATATGAGTATGTTCAGCTAGGTTAATCCCATTAAACAAAGTATTTCCTACAATTCCATCTAAAACGGAATTTCGTCCACTAACAATTCTAAGTCACATATATAAATTCGTAAAATAAGATTCCTACCTAACTCAAAAACTACATGATCGGATGGCTCAGTCAAGAGTAAGCAGGATTTGTACTACAATCAATCGGTCAGATTAATATACTAACTCTTATCAATCGTATAACCGCATACTCAAAAAGACAACATGAACTGTATATTTATTGATTTCAAAAATTTGTTTTTAATACTGTTAAAAGGCGAATACTAGATCAGATTCTTAAATAAAAAGAAATTCTAGATATAAATAAAGATGATTTCCTATAAGTGCCGTTCGGAAATGGTGTTATTCAAGGATCGCCTTTGCCATCTCTGCTATTCAATATTTAACTTGAGGAAATTCTCTCTATACTCAAGTCACAGATTTAGCCAGGTTATTCATGTCATCGCTAGCTGTGATTAAATAACAAAACTCGATAATTTTTAAATCTCTATGGATAAATATGCAAAAATAATTCGCTATAAATAAATAAAAAAGAAATCTGGAATTAAGCTCATAAATAATCAAAGTAAAATTAAATCTGAGGACCTCTTTTGACACTCTTTAGTAGAGTAATACAAGTATAAGTATCTGGCCATAAAATTAAATTGTTTCTGGAAAATATTACCATAAATAACAAAAGTAAAAAAAGTATATATATACTGAAATAAAAGTTGCTATGGATCTCAAAAGGATTCAGCTTGAAATTTCGGATGTAAATAAGGATTTGATAAGTTCTAAGATAAGAAGAAAAGCAAAAAAACAAATAAGAAGAGAGCTATTGAACTCAATTTAAGAAAACAGTAAAACCAAATGAATTTAAAAGAATTATATATGTTTTAATGTTAATAATAAAGTAACAATTATAAGTGTTATATATAAATTTAAGAATGAAATGAGAGTAATTCAAAATCTTGAATACAATTAAAGAAAAATATTCTGAAAAAACTTTAAGTATTGCTCAAAATCATTGATCAATACATTTTTAGAAAAGGATTGGGAGCCAAAGGGTTTGCTCTTCTATAAATAAGGCTTCTTTGAGACATTTATTTAAGCCTTGCTCTCTATAAACTCAGTAGCTTTCATTACTCAAATAAAGAGCATATGGTTTTGATGAAGGAAGAGAGTGTAGAAGTGCTCAAGTCTCAAATTTACTAAAGTATGATAAAGAAAGGAAGAAATAAATTTTTAGGTTGAAATATTTTGTTTATGTCTTACTTTTTGATTTTTAATATCTAATATAAAAATACAAATAAATGTTAGAAATCAAATTTATTAATTGCTCTTTTTGATTCATTATTAATAATCAAAAAGTATTAATGTTGTTGATTTTGCTCGGGCTTACTAAATTTCTTATTTTTCACATTAATTTCAAAATTTTTTTTTTTGCAATTTAACCAAAATACAATATGATTAACTAAATATGAAAGTATACTTATATAAATACAATAGCAATTTATAGTATTATGGTTCATCAATTTTCTTTAGATTAATCTAATTCATCTTGTAAAATTCTTATTAAGGAAGTTAATTTTTCATTATAATTGTATAGCTTTTAAATAACAAAAATAATATTTAGAATGACAAAGATATTTTAATATAATTTTTATATGAATATCAATATTTAAAAATTATTATACTTAGACAAATAATTAATTAAAAATAAAATTCTTATAGTGATAAATCAAGTATTTTGGATTAACATTTGATCAATAATTTGGTTAGAACTTGTTTAATAAAAAAAAATATGTTGAGATCAGTTAACAATCGATAATATAATATATTAATCTATATTTGCTTACTATTAGTTTTAAAAAATTTCAAATTTGATATCCATTCTAAAATAAACTTCTATGTGAGCATTATATGATAGCATAGTCTTTATTTTTATCTTTTCGCAATTATCGAACTATATAAGTAATTAGCTTAGGCACAATCTGAAATAACTTATTAGAGATAATTATTATAATAATTGTTTATTAATTTTTTTTGAAAAATAAATTGTTTACTTAAACAAGAATAACAATTAAGAATCTTTGTCATTATTTAATAAAGAAAAATATACACAAATGATGAAAAAATAATATTTACTTCATCTTGATTGATACATGAAACTCTATCTTTTTAAAAAATACTTTCAGAACTATTTTTACAATAACAATTTATTAATGAATCAGATTTTACTTAATCAATTGTAATTATTAAAGTACTTTAAATTAGCTTAATTTATCAAAAAAAGTAGATAAGTACAATATTTTATTTGAAATATTTTTAGTTTAAAAGACCTGAAATAGAGTTTTTGCAATAATTTTAGAATTTATAATATTAGTTGCGGCTTCTTAAAGAACATTTAAAATTATGTAATAAATTATCCATAGTTGTGTTTTATAATAATCTAAATTATTTTATGGAACATAAAATTAGTACTTTGAAAAAAGAAAATACAACATTAAATTAGTATTTTTAATAAAAAACTGAGTGTTTTGGGAGGATATGATATAGTAGAGAAAAAAATAATTAATAAAAAAAATTTGATATGAAGAAAATTTGAAATAAAAAATTAGAGTTGTCATCAACTTTGAGCTAAGAAAAGCTTAAAACAAATAGAATACTATCTGATGTATAAAAGCCTTTATTGTTAAGATTCAAAGTTGCTTATATAAGTAGAAAAAATAAAATCATATTTTAGAATAATGTTAATAAAAAGTATAATTTATAGAAAATTAATAGTTGTTTGAGATGAAAATGACAAAAAAAACGATAAAAATTTTGAAATTGAAAATTGCATTAAAAAAATTGTTAAATCAGAAGATTAAGAATTAACGAGAAAATTAAAAAATTTAAGATACAAATCGTTAAAAGTTAGAAAAAAATTTAAATAATATTTTTAATGAAAAAAAATTTAATATTGTTCGTTTTTTGTATCATGACAATAGTTATGTCTCAAGAGTTATAAATGGCTTAGGGAACAAATGAATAGCAAAATGAAGGAGTACTATCAGATAGGAAGGAGATTTAAACAGAAGGTTAAGATGGTAATACATCTGAAAGAATGACTGTTAAAAGAGAAGGTGAAGATACAACATCTGAAAGAGTTGCTGTTAAAAGAGAAGGTGAAGCTGAAAGAACTGCTGTTAAAAGAGAAGGTGAAGCTGAAAGAACTGCTGTTAAGAGAGAAGGTGAAGCTGAAAGAACTGCTGTTAAAAGAGAAGGTGAAGCTGAAAGAACTGCTGTTAAGAGAGAAGGTGAAGCTGAAAGAACTGCTGTTAAAAGAGAAGGTGAAGCTGAAAGAACTGCTGTTAAGAGAGAAGGTGAAGCTGAAAGAACTGCTGTTAAAAGAGAAGGTGAAGCTGAAAGAACTGCTGTTAAGAGAGAAGGTGAAGCTGAAAGAACTGCTGTTAAAAGAGAAGGTGAAGCTGAAAGAACTGCTGTTAAGAGAGAAGGTGAAGCTGAAAGAACTGCTGTTAAAAGAGAAGGTGAAGCTGAAAGAACTGCTGTTAAGAGAGAAGGTGAAGCTGAAAGAACTGCTGTTAAAAGAGAAGGTGAAGCTGAAAGAACTGCTGTTAAGAGAGAAGGTGAAGCTGAAAGAACTGCTGTTAAAAGAGAAGGTGAAGCTGAAAGAACTGCTGTTAAGAGAGAAGGTGAAGCTGAAAGAACTGCTGTTAAAAGAGAAGGTGAAGCTGAAAGAACTGCTGTTAAGAGAGAAGGTGAAGCTGAAAGAACTGCTGTTAAAAGAGAAGGTGAAGCTGAAAGAACTGCTGTTAAGAGAGAAGGTGAAGCTGAAAGAACTGCTGTTAAAAGAGAAGGTGAAGCTGAAAGAACTGCTGTTAAGAGAGAAGGTGAAGCTGAAAGAACTGCTGTTAAAAGAGAAGGTGAAGCTGAAAGAACTGCTGTTAAGAGAGAAGGTGAAGCTGAAAGAACTGCTGTTAAAAGAGAAGGTGAAGCTGAAAGAACTGCTGTTAAGAGAGAAGGTGAAGCTGAAAGAACTGCTGTTAAGAGAGAAGGTGAAGCTGAAAGAACTGCTGTTAAGAGAGAAGGTGAAGCTGAAAGAACTGCTGTTAAAAGAGAAGGTGAAGCTGAAAGAACTGCTGTTAAGAGAGAAGGTGAAGCTGAAAGAACTGCTGTTAAAAGAGAAGGTGAAGCTGAAAGAACTGCTGTTAAGAGAGAAGGTGAAGCTGAAAGAACTGCTGTTAAAAGAGAAGGTGAAGCTGAAAGAACTGCTGTTAAGAGAGAAGGTGAAGCTGAAAGAACTGCTGTTAAAAGAGAAGGTGAAGCTGAAAGAACTGCTGTTAAGAGAGAAGGTGAAGCTGAAAGAACTGCTGTTAAAAGAGAAGGTGAAGCTGAAAGAACTGCTGTTAAGAGAGAAGGTGAAGCTGAAAGAACTGCTGTTAAAAGAGAAGGTGAAGCTGAAAGAACTGCTGTTAAGAGAGAAGGTGAAGCTGAAAGAACTGCTGTTAAAAGAGAAGGTGAAGCTGAAAGAACTGCTGTTAAGAGAGAAGGTGAAGCTGAAAGAACTGCTGTTAAAAGAGAAGGTGAAGCTGAAAGAACTGCTGTTAAGAGAGAAGGTGAAGCTGAAAGAACTGCTGTTAAAAGAGAAGGTGAAGCTGAAAGAACTGCTGTTAAGAGAGAAGGTGAAGCTGAAAGAACTGCTGTTAAAAGAGAAGGTGAAGCTGAAAGAACTGCTGTTAAGAGAGAAGGTGAAGCTGAAAGAACTGCTGTTAAAAGAGAAGGTGAAGCTGAAAGAACTGCTGTTAAGAGAGAAGGTGAAGCTGAAAGAACTGCTGTTAAAAGAGAAGGTGAAGCTGAAAGAACTGCTGTTAAGAGAGAAGGTGAAGCTGAAAGAACTGCTGTTAAAAGAGAAGGTGAAGCTGAAAGAACTGCTGTTAAGAGAGAAGGTGAAGCTGAAAGAACTGCTGTTAAAAGAGAAGGTGAAGCTGAAAGAACTGCTGTTAAGAGAGAAGGTGAAGCTGAAAGAACTGCTGTTAAAAGAGAAGGTGAAGCTGAAAGAACTGCTGTTAAGAGAGAAGGTGAAGCTGAAAGAACTTCTGTTAAGAGAGAAGGTGAAGCTGAAAGAACTGCTGTTAAAAGAGAAGATGAAGATAATGCTTAATCAAGTAAAACTGAAACCAATGAACAAGAATCAAATCAAACATTACATGCTGAAGCAACAAACCAAAAAAGAGAAAATTTAGAATTAGAAATTAATAGTGAAACAGAAGTCTTAAAAAATTAAGATAGTTATTCAATAGTCTTGCTTTCATTTTCAATGATTATTATGTTATTAGAATGATTGATTTATACGTATAACCAAATATATTATTAAATAAATTTCTTTATTGGTGATATAAGTTTTAATTAATTACAGATTTGAATGAAATTTCAGAATAATTAATTTAAAACTATCAAAATTTCACTTTTTAAGAGATTCATATATATATATAATAAATTTTAATATTAAAAAACCTATTAATCTGTTTGACATGTTTGCTTGGTGATTGCAATATTTGTTTATCCTAAAGGTATTTTTTATGTAATTTTAATATATACTTGATAATAACATATTTTAACCTATTCTGGTACTAGTAAAAATCAAAAATATAAACTCCTACTACATTACTATATTAATGGGCTATTTTTAAAGTACTTTTTATTGTATAATCCATTCGCTTGCAGTTTCTTCCTTTTTTATTTAAGTTACTTCGATCAAATTATTACTCATTTTTAATAACTAATATCCAACTTAAGCACTTCCTCTGGCGAATTTACAAAACTATTTGAAATGTACTTCGTTAATTTATGATACTTACTTAAAAGTATTTTGATATATTATAAATAAGTAGAATATTAAATATAAATATTTCAGCTAATTACTTTTAAGTAATTTTTCTTCGTTATTCAAACTTGATGCGCTATTTATAGAAGATTGAAATCTAGAAAATAAAGTTCCTTTGATAATTTTTTAGGATAAAAAATTTCCAATCAATCTTCAAAGAAAATTTATTATAAATAATGATAAAGTAGTTTAAAATTGATAAAATACTTGAAGCTTAGCTAATTATATATATGTAAATTGTGTTTTTAATTCAAATGAACCATTTTTTTTGATAAAAATTTTACCTATAAATTGAGAACCATTTGTTGTTTGGGAATCATTAATAATAATAATAATGATATAGCGAAATAAAAAATCTATAATATATCAAGGTTATTTAGATTTTATACAATACTAGCTTTATTAAATATACTTAGTTTAAATTAAACAATTAAATTTGCATTTTCCAATTAAGAAGAAATATGATTTTTTATAATTTTGACTTTTTCAACATAAAACTTGTTTATTTACAAATTGCTTATTAGTTGGAGGATAAAAAAAAATAATTTTAATCTTTTTAGAATATAAATATGATGAATTATTGCATGATTTTTTATTAATTTATAGTAGTAATCTTAAATAAAAAATAAATTTAGATTCATTGATGAATATGAATCAATTTTTTTAATTGTTCAAAATATTAAATACATCTAGTATTCGTTTTTTTAATAAAAGAAAGATATTAAAGCTTCCTAACAATTAAGAATACCTGTTTATTATTAACTATAGATGATATTATATATATATTTTCAATTTTTGGTATTTAACATTCCTAACATATAACTAGGTTATGAAGTATGATTCTTTTTAAATTCTACTTTATTTTCATTATTGCAATCAGAATATTATTCAGTCTAAAATATATAAAAATAATTTGATACTTTCAATGTTGAAGTTCTTTTATTTTTTAAAGAATCTAATTCTGCTTAAGCTAAAATAAGTAATTCTTAGTTTTTATGAAATTCTCTATTTTAAGTTATAAATTATGTCTTCCAAGAATCTAATTCTTATATTAAGACCTAAATTTTTTCATTATATAGATAAGATTCATCTAGTTTCTATTTTCTTTTAGATTAATCTAATTCATCTTGTAAAGTTCTTATTAAGGAAGTTAATTTTTCATTATCATTGTACATTTATGTAAATTTAGAGGATTAATCTCTTACTTTTGCCAACTCTTATTTATATTATTCTGATTCATTAATTTTGACTCTTACTAAATTACTTAATCTATCAATTTCATTTGAATAGACAACATTTTTCTATTCTAATTCCTTAAGTCTTGATGATTCGTTATATTAAAATTAATTGAAATTGCTTCTATTTTTTTCTAATTCTTCACTTTTACTTCTAAGTTGTGCATTGAGCCTATCAATTTCACTGTTAAGGACTGCTATTTATTAGTCATTTTGTGATGATTAAAATGAGTAAAGTTCTTATCTTAATTTGTCATTTTCATCCATCCTACTTTTTAAACTTTAGTGTAATCTTTCTATTTCTTAACTCAATAAAGCAATTTTATTTTCATAATCATTTGATTTATATTTATCACTAATTGTTAATTGTAATTTTGAAATGCAAGATCTTAGATTATCATTTTCTTCTATTTTCATTCTTAAAGTATTGTGAATCCTGTCGTATTCTTATTAAATACTTCTATATCTAGATTCAAAATCAACATATTTAGAGTATTCCTATAATTAAAGATTGTATTAATGTAATTGCAATTTACATTTATCAATTTCATCCTATTTTATTCTCATTTTTTAATTGAGCAATTAAATTTCTTCACTTTATAATTTAGATCTATGTTCATATTCTTAAAATTTAGAAGTATCTTGGAATGTCAATTATAATGTTTGAGTAACAGAAGTCAATCTAGCAATTTCATCATTTTTGGATCTGATATCATTATTGTATCTATCACTTAGATCTTAGTATTCTTTATTTAATCTTTCAAATTATTATTAGATTGAATATTCTCTTTATTTTAATTCTTTATTTTCTCTATCGAAATCCTTAAGTCTTAATGATTAAATTTCTAAGTCTTTTATAAACTATAATTTTGTAGTTTCAAATTCTTCTTGTTTGATCTTCAATACCTAGGTACATCTTTCCAACTCATTAGTTAAAGTTGTTTGAGTTTATTAAAGTTAGATGTACAATTATTCATATTTCTTTGAATCTATTAGAGTGGCTTATAAAGATTATAATTAAGTTTAGCTCTATTAGACAAGTATATTTAATCTTTAGATTTCATTTTAATAATATTGTTCACTATCAATTTAAGTTTTCTTTAATTTATCAAAATCACTGTGTTATTATTAAAAATAAACCAATTAAGATGTAATTTAAGTATTCTTAATCTTGAGAGTTTCGATTTCAAAGTTTGTTTCTTTCAATTAAGCAGTTATTTTATTAATTTCAGTTTGGTAAATATGTAATTATCTTTCCAATTCAGCTACTTTATGTGAATCTTCAACATAAGTGATTTTTTCCTAGATTGTAGGATTAGATCTCAATCTAGTAACTTCAATGTTGAGTTCACTGATTTATTTTTCATATATTAGACATTTACTTTTATAAAATTCAACTTCTTCTCTATTATCAACTACCTAAACTTTTTGTACTTATTAAATAATAGGTTTGACAAAGGTTTCAGTTCTGATAGGTGCTTGAGTAGTTGTTATGATTTATTATGGTTATCTTTTGACATAGACTATATTTTATTTAGGTGATAAGACTTGTATAGTATCTTTACTTTAAGATTTAGCTCTGCTTGTTAATCTTTCAGAAACAACACATTCTATAGTTTGAAAATGCTACTAATGTTATTGATCCATTTTGAAAATCGTTAATTTTATATTTAATTAAACATTTAGAAATAAATATAAGTTAAATATATATATACATAATTCTTACCAAATCTAAATATTATACATTAGTTTCATCAGATTTATATTTTAGATTATCATATTCAATTAAATCTTTCACTAATTCTTATATAAAAATAAGAGTAGGATTAACTCAAAAAATGCTTGTAGATTTGATATAACCTATAATATTTCTATAATATCCTGAGATAATCAAAACCACAACATTAATTGTCTTTTTGGTTAATCTATAATTATACAATTTTAGCTAATTAGAGATGTATTATATGAATATTAATATAGAAATCCCATAATAATATTCATATCAAACATAAATAATAATAATGTGTTTAATTGATATGAAATTTAGAGCAAGCATCGTATGTGTACTTAGATGATATTTATATCAACCTAGGATAGGAATACGATGAAAATTAAGATCATACTCCAGCCTCGGGGAGCATTTATTAGCTCTTTGAACTCCATCGTATGGTAACATTATAAATTTTTAAATATAAATTACAATTTAGTGATCTATTCTATAATTCAATTATTGCTTTAATAAACTACAATTGTCTAATTTCATAAATGAATCAGGGTTTTATTAAGTAATTCTAATATTTATGCTTACACTATATTTATAGAATTATCTCCATCAATTTCAATTAATTTATTAAGATTTCGATAATGATCTATTATTTTTTATGTATCATTTTAATAAGTAATGAATCTCTTTTCCAAAATTTATAAATTATCATCTGATCTTCCACTTGTTTTTGATCTTTCCTATATTCTTAAGATCATATTTTGCTGAATTATATACAACAAATTGTAATACTCTTGAACAATGAATATAAATAACACTCTTAAAATTAATTTTATGATCCATCAAATCTATCCAACTTTACATATTTTCATAATTTCTTGGGAATCCATCTATTAGAAATGTATCGAAACTTAAATTATCAAAAATTGCTTTATCCAATAAATTGATTGTTACATGACTCTAAAAAACATCAATTAGGATAAATTACAGGAACAATAACTCCATTATTTATGCAATTTTCAATAGTAATCTTGTGCTTAGAATTACTTGTAATCTAAAATTATAATTTCGAATAATTACAGCATCTCTCAGTAATTGTCCAGCAGAAAGATGTACAAATTTTAAATTTTTACTTAACAATTCACATTAAGTACCTTTACCTGAGCCAGGTCCTTTTATATAATTTGATTAGTACCTCCTAATATAAAATAGACAGAAGGTTTTCTTAGACTTGAAAATTTATACATATTTGAATGACCAATAATATAATTTAATTAACATAACATTTATAGATAGTGTAAGGGTTATTCATTAAAAAATAAATATATCATTTTGATTTATAAACACATAGATATTTTGAGATCATTCTAACTGTTTTTGAGCTTTGCAAAAAATCAAGTATACATATAGATAGCTTGAAGATCATTAATGCCAAGAAACCAATGATTGATATAATGTAAATGAATGGGAATATTATTACAAAGGTTATAATGGCAAAAGTGTATTAGTAAGTAGTGTATTGAAATCTTTCTATTGTTTTAATCATTTTTTTTAAAAAGAAACTACATGCAAAGCAAGGAATTAATAAAGATATAAAAAAGGAAATTAGAAAGCTAGGTGTTCCAAATGATTCATTCTTATTTTCTTCACAGGTTTGACATAATTTATTTTGAGAGAATAATTCTAAAGGGTTTTCACAATATATGCAATATTACGCATTGCACAAGGTACAAATCTTAGATTCCTTATCATTATTATGTATGTAGATTTAACATTTTGAACATTAGAATCCTTGATGCATAAACAACCAGCAATGTTCACAAATGTCATTTTCTATATTGTAGCATATATGATCATCTGAAAATGGAACTTATTAGATGTTGTGTTCCTCAAACTTTTTCATTAATCTTTAATAGTATTTGTGGATACTTTTGTCTGGAAAGTGTTTAGGATAAGACAAAAGACCTTTAATTTTGAATTTATGAGCATTATTGCATATTCTACAATGTCTAATTTGAGACATAAGTCCAAGTAATAATATTATTTAAATAAAATATCTTAATTATGTGTATAAATATATATTAATCATCAGATTTTTACAATTTTTGAATATGAATCTATAACTATGAGAATAATACAAACAATCAATGATACATATTAATAAACTATAAACAGAGAATATTATGTACACAATATATTTGAGTTTTATAATAAATATATAATGTTATTTAAATTTTTGGATTTATTAATGTAAATGGACAGTATATGTTTGATTCATGAATATTTATTTTATAATGTTCCTGAATTAACAATTTTGATAATAGTCTTTGGTTTATATTATTATCATGAATCTAATTGATAATATCATACCTTTTTATTAAATAATTTCTAAGTGGGAAGTCCATAAACATTTTTTTCAAATTCTTCACTTATTCAATCTAATTTTCATACATACAACAAATATGATTAAGTATTATTATCCATTTCTATTTATACCAATTTTGACTATAGATAAGTGTTCTTGTGTTCAAAATTTTCATCATATTCTAAAGATTTTAAAAGTCACAATTAATAATTATTGATATGTTTGAATTTTATCTAGTTCTATTGAAATTAGTGAAGTCCCCTAATTGAACCATGAAATTTATGATATCTCATTGAAAAAGAGATCCCTTTTCTTTAAATTATTTAGCTGAATTTTATTAATAAATAAATGAATCCAAATATGCAGTTGTCATAGAAAAAGATCATGAAAGTGTTTAAAAACTATTCTTTATAGTTTGTCTCTATAAAATTTAACTCAAAGAATCTATTTTACATAATTATTAATATTAATTTAATCCAATTATTTCTTCCAAATGAAAAGGATTCAAAAATATTTGTAGATTGCAATTAAATATATAAATAATCATATGATATGTTTATATTATAAATTTCCAACTTACAAAATTTAGTAATTAGATTTTAATTAAAAAAAACAGAGATATTGTAATTGATAATCTCTTTGATTCTTTAATTATTTAGAATTAGTTTGTTTTTATATATAATAATAGAAGATAAAAAGAGGTTGAGTTTAATTAAATATATTTAATCAGAACAAAATCTCTTAATCCATTAAATCTTATTTAGATTGAACCTGATACAATTTAACATCTTTTAGTAATCTTTTAGAATTCTACATATAATTATAATTTTTAAATCTATTGTCAGTCAAAATTTATGGTGATCTCTTATGAAAATTGTCTTTTTTTTAGAAATTGAGAGTGAAGGAATCTATTTCATCATTTTTTTCTGCATCCTCTTCAATATCATTTTATGATCCTAATTTAACAGTTTTTGGTTTCAAAATATTGGTAGCTACTCTCTTTTTTTTATTATATCTTAGTTATCTAGATAATTTTTCTATTTCAACAAGAGAATTAAAACTATATTATATAGTTGGCTCTACTAATTCTAATAGACGTTGATTAATTATTTTTTCAGTTTCGTCTTTATCTTCTGAAAGTGCTAGATTTTCATAAGCTTCATAAAGTTTTTTAAATTTCTTTTCAGTATTGAATTTTTATCTTACTCCAAGTAAAGATTTGGAAGACCTTGTTAATCTAAGAGCATCTTCTCTTTTATGTTAAAGATCACTTTGAATTATACTTTGATCATATTTAAATTAATTGATTTTATCTTTAACACAAACAACAGGTTTTTATAAATAGTTAAATATTTTTCTTTATGTTTTATTAAAAATGACATGTTTAATTTTTTCAATTTCTTATAATTTACTCATAATTACTAGAATATCCATATCCCTTAATATCATGTTTCTAGATTTTTCAAATAATTATGATTAATAATTGATTTTTGTATTTTTCTTTAAAGAACCAGATACTTATTTAGCTATGAAATGAACACCAAATGATAGTTTTTTTCTACTTTCCAAAATTAATTAAATTATAAGTGTTAGAAATTTCTTTTTATCTTATTCCAAATAAAATGTTTAATTACTTTCATGAGAATATTGACATTTTTCAGACTTTAAATTTTCATTTTAAGTTTCTAATCTAAGTGTTATTTAATTTGCAATTTCTTCATCAATCTTATCATTTTACTAGACAGATTAATTTGTAAATTTAAGTGCTCCTGCCAATCTTGTTAATGTGATAACTCTTTAAGCACTATTCTTAAATTTTGATACTACATCTTCTATAGATTTAAGAGATTCAAATATTTTATTTACTAATGTTTCAAATGAGAATACCATCTCACCTTTTTTTTTCTCTGGCATATCAAATTAATATAAAGCATTAGCTAATTTAATTTATAATCCTGTTTAATTATATCTCAATATGAAATAACCTAGAATTGTAGCTAAAAATTAAGTGATTCCTCCAACATAAGAAAATAATTCATCAAATCGATAATACTCTTTATAATAATGTATTTCAGATTATGACAATCTAATAAAAAAAGAAGCAACTTTTGTTATATTTGAAGTAAAAACAGAAGAAGATTGTAATTTATTATCCATAATTGAAAATACTGAATCTTGTTCTATTGCTTTGATTCCAGGAATGACTGATTTCTCTATTGATAATTATTGTTATTCTAAAAATACATCAGTCTTGGTTTCTTATCCAATTTTAGCTTATATGTAATAATCAGAATATATATAGGAAATGTAATTACTCTCCATATTTAAATTTGGTACTCTGTTTAGCATTAAAGTGTTAATTTTAAAACTGTTATTAAAATAACCTAATTATTAGAATTGTAGGATTTCAGCAGTTGAATAACAATCATCTGTAGAACAAATCATTACCTAAATTTTACCATATTAAAATATATTTGATTTGTATGTACCTTAAATTTAAAGACTGTAATTCAGTGGAAGACAGTAATAATCAGATAATTGGTCTTTCAGTAATTTCTAAAATGAGTATAAATTACTACATTATATGTATTTGATTAGTCAAATTCAACAAAATGTTATATAGTACATTATTCTAAATTATAAGATGATGTTTCTGTTTTGGTCATATTTCCATTTTCATCCATCATTTACACATTTGAAGTAAATATGAAATTAAGTAATCTTTTGGTTCTATTTCCAATGAGATTTTCTGCTTAGAATGCGATCATGAAATCATTAAATTAGAGTTAAGTAATTGGAGGATCAACATTGAGTATTTTTGTGGAAGAAATCTTATTAGATTAATTATATTTAATACAGTGAATGTTTCTTTTTTTATCAAACCAATTGCTCCTCTGATGAATATCACTGTCAAAACTAAGACTAGTAAAATTGTACAGAAACCTCCAAAAGGAGATTAATGAGTCTCTTTTTTTCTGAAATTTAACTTCACTTCTGCTCCAAACCTATCAAAATATGAAATTTTTGTTAAGACTTTATATAGCATAATAATTAATTTAATTTAGACTACCTTTTCCTTCTAATTTCATATAAATATTAATTATAATTATCATAAATATATGAGATGTAAATTGATTATAATTAAAGAAATAATCATTGTATATAAATGATACCATTTATTAAAAAATAATAATCATATAAAAATGAGAATAGGATAGATTGACACATTATAATTAATGCTGTTTATTAATTAAAATTAATTAGCTTGCGTCATCCAATGACAGAAACAAAGTTAAAAATAGCAATTCGAAGATATTCTTCACCTCATAAAAACAATAATCAAGACAAGAATGACATTTCCTTTATTGGTCTCTTTCAAAATATAAATATGATAAATCGTAGGAGAATGTCTGAAAAAAAAGCACCTTCAAAATATACTTCAAATACTAGATAACATTCAAAAGACAATTCAGTAGAAGTGGATGTCGCTCTAAATAAACATCATTTTCTAATGTAATATGTTATTGGAGTGGGTGGATTTGGAAGAGTTTGGAAAGTTATTTATAAAAAATAAGTCTATGCTATGAAAGAAATCAGTAAGGCATTAGTGCTTTTGAAATAAAGTGTACATAGTATTATGAGAGAATTATAATTTTTAACTGAATTACGACATAATTTTTTAATCAATGTTTTTTCAGCATTTCAGGATAATCAAAATCTCTATTTAGTCTTAGATTATTTAGGAGGTGGTGATTTGAGATTTCATTTAGGAAGATTGAGAAAATTTACAGAAGAATAGACAAGTATTTCAATATATAAATTTTTTAAATAGAATTTTTTGCTGCATGTATCATTGTAGGATTAGAATATTTGCATGAGAACAATATAATACATAGAGATATCAAACCAGAAAATTTGATTTTAGATAATTAAGGTTATGTTCGTATCACTGATCTTGGTGTAGCTATTAAAAAAACAGGTGAAAATTTCGAAACTAGTGGTACACCTGGTTATATGGCACCTGAAGTAATATTTAGATAAGATCATGGAGCAGCTGTAGATTTTTTTGCTTTGGGAGTAATCTGTTATGAATTTATGACAGGAAGAAGACCATATTATGGAAATAGAAGAGAAATTAGAGAATAGATTCTTGCTAAATAAGTGTAGATTCAAAGATCTAATGAAGGTTGGTCTAATGAATCAATTGATTTCATAAATATGCTATTGCAAAGGAAACCATAGAATAGATTAATATATCCAAGATAGCATAAATGGTTTAAGAATTTTTCATTTGAATTACTTATTCAAAAATAATTGAAAGCTCCATTTATTCCTAATAATTAAGATAATTTTGATAAATCACAGATATTTTATGAAGATGAAGAGAACAATTAAATAATAAGATTACATTAACATTTGATAAGAGAAAATCAAGAATAATTTTAAGGTTATTAATATTAAGAGAAGTAATAATAATAATTTCTAATAAAATCAAAAAAGAGTATTATAAACAACACCAAAATATTTTAATTTAATTGAATGCTTAAATTTTTTATAATTTTTTTTAGAATGTCATTAATATTTTTTATCCTTAACTCTAACCATAAGTTGGTGGTGAGAATGTAAAAACTTGTTAATTAAAGAATTTTAATGTGATTTCTCATTTGTCCTAACTTTTTAAGACATTTATAATGTCAATTCTAGAAATAACTAGGTTTTCGTTTTCATCTTTATTTATAGTATTCATAAAGGCGAGAAATTAATTTAAGTTAATGATTAAAGTTATTAGAGATGTTTTAAATTATGTTTCTGTGTTTTATTAATCAAGTGTTAGGAGCCGAAGTGTTATTTGCATCCTCGTTTACAACAAATGATTTTACTACAAATGAAGGTAGATGATCATTTTTGATTATTAGGATGGATGGTTTATTCAAGAAATCATAATGATTTTGGGATAGAAGCTTATGATAATTAAAATTATATAGGACTGAATGTTTTATCAGGATGGTAATTAAAAGGGGATGGAATTACTAAAGTGTTTTATTCACTACCACCTCATTATGCTATTAGAGTTAAAGGGACTATATTAATGTATTTGCATATATTATGAAAGTAAAATAATTTCCTCCTTTGATTACACTGAAGGAGTAATGAAAATTGATGGCAAAACATCTGCATTGAAATCATTAGTATCATATCTGAATTAAAAAGTTGGAAGGTAAATATATTAGAAAAGTTATTTCGATAATTATGAGTTTCATTATGCTACTTCTGTGTACATTTAAGTGTATTTTGGATAAAGTTATCCAACTGATGATTTATCTCTTGGTTTTAGAGATTTTTACTTATATGTTTTAACATGTCCAAATGGATGTGATTCATGTGATAATGCAGTTGTTTGTAATGATTGGAAACTGTAATATAGATCATTAATAAATTAATAATTTTTGACTTTTGACACAGAAGGATGGTATATGAGTGCTAAATTTAACAATTTAGATAAAAATTCTTATATTTCAATAAAAAGATGTTAATGTAAGAAATGAAATTAACATTATTTAGATTAAAGCATTGATATTCTTTTCTTTGGTTTGGGTAGATTAAATTAATAATTTCAGAAAACAATATAATTACCTCTACATTATAAAGTTAAGATTTCCTATTTCTAGTTATTATACAATATTTTGTCACAATATAAATATAATTGGATGGCAGAAGTTGATGGAAATATAATAATCACATCAACATTTGGAGTAAAAACAACATTACCACCTCATATTTGTGGATATGATAACGATCCTGAATAAATTTCTGGAGAAATTCTAGAAAATGTTAGTTTTGAAGCAAGTCATAACAAATAATTTTTAAATTTTGCTACTTATCCTACTGATTATATATTTAGTGATTAATCAATAAGATGGGGAATACGAGATTTTGAAATTTATATCAAACCATGTCATAGTTCCTGTATATATTCTTGCAAAGGACCAGGTCCATCAGGTTGTTAAGATGATATTCTTTATACATAATAACTATTCTATTCAATTTTTACAGAAACAACTTTTACAAATAATGATGGTTGGCAAATGATTCAACCAACTCAATTATCTACTTTAAGATGTATGGAAAGTCTAGTATCAACTACTACTAAATTCTTTTAAGGAAATAATCACTTTTAAAAAGTATTTTATCTTACATAACCTCATACTACAATTTCAATATCATTTACTCTATTTTAAATAGATAAATTTACAGGAGAAAAACTCTTTGTATTAGTAGATGATGTTGAAGTTAGATAAGTGTCTTTACCTGCTGTAACAATTAGTGATGGACTACCTTTATGTAGTGTTGATGATGATTATGATAAAAGAATAATAGTTAATATTACTAATATTGCACATTCATAAAATACACTTATTGTACAAATGTACACAAATTAAATTGTAACAGCTACTGGATTTTGGGGAATAAGAAATTTTGTATTAACACTTGATAGGAGAGTAATTTCTACTGAATTTGCTAGTTTGAATTTAGTTAGTGATGACTGGAAAGATTGGGTATATACACCAACAACATTTTCATTATCTCTTTGTTCTTCTAAAACCTTATTTGGAGGTGTTTCATAATTAGATTAAACATCAAGTCTTAGAAAAATCATTAAAAATATTCCTCAACATGAAAAGATTAAAATTGAATTCAAAATTATTGTTAAAGCACCAGCAAATGAAGATATTTAACTTACTTTTTCTATTGATGGAAAGCAAGTTTTTCTAAGATATATAAAAACATAAACAATGTTATATTGTGATGCATCAACTAATAGTAACATTTTTACAATTGAAGAAATATACGAACATTCAAATTCTTAAATATTTTTGTAAATTTCAACTAGCAATTCTAATAGTATTGTTTATACATGGGGTATAAGAGACTTTAAATTAAGTCATTATTAAAGATACATCTATTCTGGTTGAACAAATAAATGAATAAAAAATATATTTTTATTTTTTTATTATAATATTGCTTACAAATTATGGTATTTAGTACTAAATTTCTATTATTATTTATACTTATTTATTAATACAAATTATAATATTTAACAAGATATTCAAATCTATTAATAATTTTTGATAAATCAATTATTTAATTATTATAATGTATATTGTAAGAAATATATATAAAATTATTTGTGTCATACTAATTAAATAAATTAATGTTATAAACAATATAAGCTATATTCGGACTCTTTGTATTGCTAAAGATATTTTACTATTTTATTATGCTATTCTTAAAATGTATTGGCATAGTGAAATGGGAAGATGAATAACCTCTACAATAAAATTAGTTATAACAATAAGAAGTACAGAATCAATCAAATGTCTAAAACCAATATTAATAAATCTAAGGAAAGAAAGAAAATGAGAAAACCAAGAAGAATAAATCAAGTAAATAGAGAAAATAGGAGAAGGCAATGAAAAGTATGTAAGAGAAAAAAGAAGAAGAGGTGAAGAATAAATAAGTTGAATAAAAGCAAATTGTCACTTAATAATAAATTGAGTTTCATAGAATGGAAATGTAACGCTTATAGGATTTAAAACGAATAGAGGAAACTCTTCGTTAAGAATAAAAAAAAGAAATTGAAAGATAAGTTCAATTAAGAATGGAAGAATTGACAAATAAACTGTAAAATAAATAGCCTATGAAAAAGTAATAATAATAAAAAAAGAGTAAAAGATGACATTATGTGTATGATATCAAATATGTATTGTTTTTAATAATTAATATTTTAATGTAGATAAAAATTTGGACTGCTTTCAAATTAGAATATCATAGCAAATTGTAAATCAATGCTTTGATTTCATTTCTTGATAAAAATTCATCGAATATCATTTTCTTATGAATATCATTGAATTCTATATCTGAAAATATAAAGTCTTGTTAATTTAATGCTTCTGTTTATTTATGAAATTATTTCAATGATTGAATTGGTTTAAGTAATTGTCTAGGATTTTTACTCTACTGTTACACTTTTTAAATTTCAGTATTAAGTTTATGTTACTTAACTTTTTAAACACATTCCTATAAAATTAAATTTGGATAGAATACCAAGAATATTTTTTCAATTTAATTTTCTTCAAATGCTTAATCTTATTTGACTTATTCAATATTTTCATAAATCTTTTTAGTTTTGATTAATTCTTACTCTGCCTTTTAATATTGTTCATTGACACCTTCAATATCCATTCCTGGTATTTCTGGTTATCTAAATGTTGATTCATGACTAAAATAGTCTTAATTAACAGTATTAGTTTAAATGTTTTCTAATTACTTCTTTAATTATTAATTAGTAATTTTAGCACTCATTAATTAAGTATCTAGAAATTGAATTTCTGAGATTAGATCTTTAGTTGTAGTCATAACTTTGCTTAGACTATTCTTATATTCAATACATTTATTAGAGAATTCCATTGATGATTATAATATTTTTTATCGTTCTTCTTCAATTTCTTATCTTTTCTCTTTCAATTTACGTTGTACTTAATCTTCTGTAGTTTCATTAGTCAATTATATTACTTATGCTTATGCTTCATCAATTTATTATTTGATATTCCCTCGTAATTCATCTTCTTTTGTTTTAAATATTCTCCCGATAGTTTCATTCATTTTCTCAAGCAATTTATTAATACTTTAATGATGTTCAATGATTTATTGTTTAGTTTAAGTTTAAGGAATTTTCACTCTCTCTGTGATTTTTGAATCAGGAGTAAGAGCAATTTATTATTAACTTGTAGTGTCATTAAAAAACATAATAATAAAGAATGATTAAATTAATGTATACAATTTAATTAATATATATATATATATTGAATAAATATTAGCCCATGACTATAATAATCAATACACTCCAAATACAGTATCTTATTAAAGAATGCTGTATATAAGCAAGATTGTTACAACCAAAACTTGAGAAATATTTATTTTGAACAAAAGATGAAACCATTGATGTAATATTTTAGTGAATCAGATTGTGAAGTAAATGATCAATCAATTTGTCAATCATTCAGAGGATTCTTTGATGAAAATAGTCAAATTAATAGGTAATCTATTAAAATTCATTATTTAGAGTTTAATCAATTGATGATTAATTTGAATAGATTAGTGTCCAAAATTCTTAGTAATTTTCTACCAAATGTTCTTCAATAGGTGAAAAGAGTCATAAATCAGAATTGATAGATGATTTGGATGATTTAAGATGTTCTGAAATAGATCTTAATGAAGTGAATACTTTTCAACCTCAGATTAAATGTTAATGTAGTAAGTCATAGTGTCAATAAAGTTATTGTGAATGTTTTGCAAGAGGTAAGACATGTAATAAACATTGTGGTTGTCAAAATTGTTAGAATAAGTAAATGAATAAAAAATTGAAGAAAATTTAGAAAAGACTTATTAAACAAAAAAGAAATAAATAAAGAACACCAAGATATTTAAAAGGATGTACTTGTGGAAAATCCAAGTGCTTAAATAAATTTTGTAGTTGTCATTAAGATGGTAAATATTGTAATTCTGGATGTAAGTGTGTAGATTGTAAAAATATATACAAATTTTCATTAAAATCATATAAATCAATTGAGAATGTGGAAATGAATTAAATGGAATAAAAGAATATTGTATAATTTATAATTGGAAGTGAAAATAGTAGTAAATTTGAAATCTTAAATACCCTTTTAAAATAAAATTATATATGAATTTATATTAATATATTTTTATAATAAAATTCATCAACATTAAAAATAATTTAAGAATGTCAGACGATTAAATAGCTAATGAATTAGATGATGTAGAAAAGAATTAAGTTAAAGTAAAGTTCCCTTAAAAATCTTGGATTTCTATGATTTAAAATAAGATTATATCAGTAAATCAAGTAATATTATTATTTGACTGAAAATCATAGATAAGTTAATCTGAATTCGAAGAGAAACATGATACTAATATAGGAATAACTCCAGGAAGAAGTGAAAGAGAATCCTTCTGTAAATCCAAACATGGTTCTTCAATCTTTTTTAGAGAAGATTTAGGAAGATCTAGGATAAGTGATTTTGATCCAACTTCAATCAAATATAGAGTAATATTAATTATAATTATTTATTAAGACATAACCCCATGAAGTCCACTTCAGAATCAAAGTCTTTATTAAATATTTGGTTCTTAGAATCCTATTTTCTATTATTGGTCCATTAATACTGGTTTATGGATTATTTAATAAAGAATGGATAAGCTTTATGAGTAATTTCAAAATTTATGGATGTTCAAAAGGAACTGCCTTCAACTATTTTCGTTGGTTATCCAATTATGGATTTTTTTTCTCTTTTGTTTATTATATTGGAAACTATGGATTGAAAAAGATGCATTATGAAATTGGATTTTTTTGTATCCTTTTTATAACAGAAAATGTTACTTATGCTATCAAATATGCCTTCTTCCATCCTTCAAAATTGAATCTCATTGAAAGATTTGATATGAGTATTATTGGAGATTTGTGTGAATAAAGCATAAACCCTTATCATTGGGCATAACAAACACCATCTATGATAAATAGAGAGTTTGAATAATCAATGAAGAGACTTTAAATTGAACCTACTTCTTTTAATCTATATTTTATGGTAGCACCAAATCCTGAAAGAAAGAAAAGAATTTAAGTTGGATATCCAGATAAAGGTAATAAGCTGTATGAAGATATAGCAGCTAATTGTATATCAATGGCAAGAGAAATTGTTGAAGAATACAATAAGAAATGTCAAATTAAGTTCATAAATAAATTCTCAATCTTTCTTGCATTATTAAGAGTAGTAGCATATGTTTTTATAATGAATTTCTGTAATGAATCTGTTAAGGATTATGTGATAGCAGGATAAATGTGCATTTTCTAATTTATGTACTTTTATATGATAACATTGTTGATGATGATCACATATAGAGATTTAAGAAGAAAGGTATTTGCCATGACTCAATTATCTCATTTAATATCAGCTGAGAAAGTAGAAGTTTATTAGGAATCTAAAATGTTTCCTACTCTAAATCTATTGTGTTGTGTATCTTTATATTCTTGGGTCAATCTAAGGAAGATGATTCTAGATTATGGATTGCAATACACAAGGAGACAATCCTTCATGTTATCCTTTATAATGATTCTAAATGCAATAATGATGGTCATTATGACATTTCTCTTTTATGTTGAATCTGTTACTATCAATAGTATACTCTAATAGACTGTTGATTTTGTAGTTATAGCATCAATATCAATTGCATTAGTATTATAAGGTGCCAGAATTAATGCTCATTGGTGTATTCATAGAGGATTATTACGTAAAAATCTATTTCTTATTTAATAATTGTCATATCAAATTTTCAAATCTTTAGATTATACTTTTAAACCTGAAGATCCAGTTTTTAGTGTAATTATATTTTCATTGTTTTAGGCATTTCAAAAATTACTTGAAACTGCTTCTGTTGAAAGTGTACTTCAAGATGATTAATTTCTAAATTACTCATTGTTTTGTATACATTCAATATAAAATGTGGTAAATCTATAATTCTTATATTTTAGTATGATGATTTGGGTCATCAAGAGAAATCTTAACCATATACAGTAATGGGTATAGCAATGACCTATTAATTACTATTATAAGTTTGTATTAGTACAATGGGATTGATTGGAACCTCAGGCTTAAATTTCATTTTATAAGTTTCTGCTTGATATTATTATTATATATATATATCTATATATTCTTATGGTAGAAGATATCCTGTTAAAACTGATTAACCTAATTGTAATAATTTCATTATAATTTTTGAAGATTTGAATAATAAATAAATAAAAGTATTTGATAAAAATAAATATTTCAAATTCTTAATATTTACATTATCATTTAATAAGTAATAAGAATAGTTATAATTATATATATATATTAATTAATTAATAAGTATTTAATAGATATCATATATGCTTTAGTGATGTATTTGTAGCTTTAAGCATATAATTTTTATCTATATTTTTTTAATTGTTTCTTTCAATAATTTTAGAAACCAATAATTTATTATTATTAGATTATAATATTGTATTATTATTATTTGGATTAGAATTATTATTAATTTAGATTGGTCCAAATGATCCTAATATATCTTAATCATTTTTCTATGGTTCTTAATCTAAATGAGTATCTAATAACATCATTTAATATGAATTTTCAACATCATCTCTTTCTATCATCTATGAATGTCCATCTTCATACAATTCTTCATTGGTTATTTCAAAAGAGGCTACATTTTTTATGCTGTAATCTTATTTTGGTGTTTTTACTGAAGATAATGCCATTCTACTAATTTTTGGTTATGTATAGTATTCTTTTTTTTCTAAACTTTCATATACACTATCATTAGATTCTTATTTATTATTTGAATCTTGAAGGTTTTTCTTGATTAAGCATGTTTTCAATAATGATATTGATATAAGATGACTTAAATTGATTGGTTCATTTAATGTTACTTTTAAGACTTCAATTGGAGTTTTGGCTATTAGATCAGTTTTATTTATGAATATTTGAAGATTTTTATGATAACTAGCCATAATTTCATTAAAAGGTTCATTTTAAATTTACTTGATAATTGAATTTAGATTAAATTCTATATCCTTTTTCATACACATAGTTTCAGATTTAGATGATTATAAATTTTAAATGCTTTCATCATATTATTATTATACATTCTTAAAATTAGTATATAATTATTATAACTTTTTTAGTTTCTCTTCTTCTAAATCTTTGTAAATTTAAGTATGAAACTTTTCAACCTTTTCTTTTTATTATTCATAGTATTTTTGAATATCATCCCTTTTTGTAATTAGAGCATTCATCATTTTATCAATATGAGGAATGTTGTTATTTACTTAATTGATAAATTAATTAATTTATTTCCTCCTGTATTCTTCTTCAATACCAGGTATTTCTTCAACTTTGTGTCCCTTACCCATCATTTACACTGTGCATTTTGAACATAGATTAATTGTGTTATCCTTAACTAAGTAATATTTGGCAGTTTTATTTGAATGATTTACACAATAAATTCTTGTCAAATTTGAATCATCCTTCATATTTAGTTTAGTGGTGGGAGTCAATCTTTATTACATTGATTTCATATATATAATTTGAATTTAAATTATTTCTTTGTGATTATTAAACTGCAATAAAGAAGTTATTCATTGAAACAAAAAATACATTACCTATTCACAATATATGTAGATATAAGCATTTTGAATTTTATTTATTTTAAAGTTGTATAACTCTTTAAAATAAATTATTTATTAATGGAAATAGAAGGTACTAAGTTTTAAGAAATCACACTTTTGATTAAATCAAAATTAGTGTAATTGGAGTTTGATAACAGTGAAAGAAAACTGTATAACTATTCAAAGTAATTATTTTAGTCATGAAATCGAGAAGAGTAGGGCTGAGTAAGATTAAAGAGTAAGAAGATTAATAGAAGTAAAGAATGCAATAAGATAAATGATTAGGACCTTGATTATGAGGATAGATCTGAATGGGTAGAATATCATAAAACATAAGGAACTAAATATTATCAAAAATAATAATATGATAAAGCTTTGTTTGAATATTACTTGTCAATCTTAGCATTAAATGATAATAGAGTATGGAGAGAATTTGGAGTTAATCTTATAAATAACATTCAACTAAACTTAGAATTATTGAAGAAACCTGCTACTATGGAATTATTATAATTTGTATTATATATTGATACTTCTAACATCAAAGCATATTTTAAATTAGGTAAGTTCTATCGAAGTAATGGATAATTTCAAACTGCATTGTAAATTATTTAATATAATTAAGATAATATTTTTAATAAGGAGAGAAGCTATGTTAATAAACTTAAGATAAAGAGTCATAATAAGATTTTCAAAAATAAATTTTGGATTGTAAAAGACAAAGCAGAAATTGAGAGCATTCTTATAATTTTTTATTTTATTATTTAATTCTTAACATTTAGATCAAAGTAAATCTACATCTTATTCAACAAAAAATTCCTTTTTCTAAAAGTCTGAATTTGGATCTTAAATGTTAATTGCATTCTAAACTTCTTGTTCATTTTAACCTTTAACTTTCTTTACTAATTTGTCTGTGAAATTGTTCTTTCTCTCAGGCAAAGTATCTATAATAGGTTAACCACCTTTTCTAATTGAATATTCTCTATATTCATGGTATTTTGGTAGTATGTTGATATACATAATTGCACCATTTACTTCAACAAAGAAAACAAAATCAGGCTCTTACCAATCTTAATAATGAAGAGGTTCAATCAATTCTTATAATATTGATAAGACCTATTATTTATTAATTTTATCTGTATATCTAATTTTGAATATCAGAAACCAAGGATGTGGTCTATCTAATTAGAAATGTTTATTCACAAGCAATTAAGCATATTTTTTAAATTCATCTAAAGTGGCTCTGAAGACATATTAAATGGGTATCATTCTATAGATATATCTTGCTACTTGTAGTGACTTTTCATATACATCACTTAAGATGATTCTACTCAATTCGTCTACATCAATGGTTGGAAATTCTTGACTATTAATTCTGATGAAAATCACACATTTAACTTTAGTATCAAAATTATACAACATTTTGACAATAGACTTATTATTTGTATTTTATTCAAGTAGTTATTCATATTTTAATGATTCTTATGGATAAATTTATTCGACATATTGTTCAATAATTTAATAGGCTTCCTTTACAGCTTCTCTTTCTCTATTCTTATCACATGTCAATAAGAATCCATTATATAAGAAATCTGATGAAGCATTTTATTAACCAGATCTTTGATGTTTTTAGAATTTCTTTTTTTTGTTTTTTTGTTATTGCATTTATTATTTAATATAAATGGGTGCAACTTAAGGGATCACTTAGAAAAGAATTTCACTACGTTACTAAAAATCAATTGATGTAAAATCGACAAATGAAAATCTCACAAATTGTAGATCAGTCTCTTCGTAAGATTCGATCAAATTAGGTTCTTTTTATAAAATAGCTGTATTGGGTATGAATACAGCAGTAGGTAAAACAGCCTTCATTTGTAGTCTCATAAATTAAACTCCTATGGTTAATAATTTGCCTCAAACAATTGGATTAGATGTTAAATGCATGTTATATTAACAATAAAAAATTCAATTTTGGGTAATTTGTTGGATTAATTGTGTAAGGAATTCGATTCAAGTGAAGGAGGATTGTTAGATTTAGAAAATAGAATTAATGATTCCTTTAACTGTATCATGATAATTTTTGAATAATTTGATGTTTTGTTGTTTAAGAAAAGAATTATATAAGTTTAAAAGATATGTAATGAAAATAAAATGACAGGAAAAGTTCCAATACATTTAATAGGAAATGATAGATTAGATATGAAAATATCTGGAAAAGAAAATGAAATTTAGAAAATGATATAAACTATCTATGATGGAAACAGAATATTTGTACATATTGTAGATTTTACTTAAATCAAAGAACTTAACAATTTGTTATAATTTGTATTCAAAGAAAAATGATTGTGTACATAAAATATATATCTCAATACATTTTATAATCATTATTATTATGGATGCAGAATTATAAAAAGAACGATTGAAACCTATTCGTCGCCATGGGTGTAGTGATCTTTAACTCTATTAAGCAGTAAGTTGGTTATACACAGTTATTGACATGATCATATCATTTATGATAGCATTTATGATGGATGAAGGTCTTAAGGTTAATAATGCAAAATTAACAATTTAGGAGTTTATGTTAATAGTCCTCACCATTCTTATAACTGGCATCATATTTACATGCTTAAGAGCTACACTCATAGATCCTACTGACAGTATAGTTTTGAAGGAGCAAAACTTAAAATCGAAAGGGTGCATCATTATATGTATTTTTAGATTGGAATTCAAAACAGATCTTAAAACATATTGTTTAGTATGTTAAGCACATGTGATGGAAAAGTCTAAGCATTGTTTTAGTTGTAATAAGTAACATATTAATTAATAAGGTGTGTTGAACTTTTTGACCATCATTGTATATGGTTAAATAATTGCATAGGCATTAAGAACTACAAATACTTTTTCATCTTAGTGGTATTACTTGTAATTTTCAAATGCTTAAGAATTATTCAAGATATACTACTCTTATTAAATTCTGCCTTCTAAATTCTTGCTCTAATTAGCATTATTCTTGATCCTCCAATCCTTATTGTTCTTTCTTATTTACTTGGAATGCACCTTTTCTTCAAGTAAAAACATAAATATAAATATAAAGATACAAAGGTATTTCTACATATGATTGGATTAAGATGAAAAAAGATAAAGAGAAATCTAAAATATAATAAAAGTAATAACTACCAAAAATGAATGAAAGTGTAGGTTATGGATAATTGTTATCTACTTCTAAACGTTTTGATTTTAAATGTTCCTTATCAAATAAAACTGATAATAAAGTGCCTTAATAAAATTTCTTTCCTAAAGCACTTCCTTAAATTCCTAAAAATTAGAATGTATCAACTCCTTAAGTTACTTAATTATAAAGTATATTTACTATTTAGCCAACATCTCCTAATAATTAAATATAATTAAGAAAAGAATATGAAGAAAGTGATGGAAGATAAATATTTAATAAAGTAATAACTGAAGATAGTGAAGCACCAGAAAATAGTGATTCTAGAGATGAAGTTAATTAAAATGATTAGGATAATGATCATTAAAAATCTGAAAAAGAATAAAATTGAACATTAATAACTTTTTATTTATTTTTGTATTCATTTCATTACTTATTTAAATATAAGTATTATATATTTATTCAGTTAATATATTTTTTATACTTATATATTATTTATAAAGTATTCAATATTAATGGATGAGGTTCTGTTAGAGAGTTTAACACATAAATTTAGTGAATTATTTAAGAACATTTCAAGTTTATAAGAAAAGAGAGAAACAGTTTAAGATGAAAATGAACATTTAAAACAATTAATTTAAGAAGAATAGGATTAATTGGAAATGAATTCAGGAGAGTCTTCTGATGATGAAATTACTATCCAAGAAATAGAACAAAGGTGGAAATAGAAATTAGAAGAAAAAAAGGAATCTGATATGTAAATGAAAGAAGAAAATAATTTGAAAAGTCAATTAGTAAATGAAATGAAATTTAAATTTAGTACATGTATCTTGAAGGTATACAAAATGAAATCATACAAATGAGAAATAGTATTGAATAATCAAAAGAATCAGAAGCTGATTTATAATAAAGAATTGAAGAAACAACATAAAAAATAGATGAATATCAAAATAAAATATAAAGAGCTGAATAAATTAAACTTTAAGTAGAAAAACAATTATAAGAAGTATTATACCATTTTTAATATTAAGCAAAATGAAAAGTATTTATAAGATAGTGAAAAAGTTAAAGCTGTTTAAGCTGAAGTTAGAAATTAATTATAAGCCAATGCAATGGGAGATAAAAGATAAAATGAATTAGAAAAGATAATATAGAAATAATGGGAAGAACTTTAAAAAAGAGTAAATAATATATATTTAATATTAGTCATAAAGAATATAAGTATTATAAAATAATATGAATATCATTTCAACCAAAATACAAAAATCATAAAAGAGTGAAAATATATATTAAAAATTGAAAGATGAAAACACAATTCTAGCTTAAGAAAATATTTAAATTAGAGAAAAATTAAATTAATTAATTAGTGCATTACCATAACATATGAAAAAGGGTAATGTGAAAGGCAAATAAAAGAGTAAAAAAGAATTCTTAGAATTATATGATGAATCAATTTGTTCCAATTAAATTAAATTAAGACATTTAGAATAAATAAGAGAAGAACATCAATCAAATATTAATAGTTTACATGTAAAATATATAAATTTAATCTAAATATTAGAGTGAAATACTTCAATTAGAAGAAAAATACAATTAAATGACACAAAATGTCAAGAATCTCTAAGAGTAATATTTAGAAATTGAATCATCTTGTAGAGAGTTTAATGAAGAAGAATATGTCAAGAAAAATTGTCCAAATTATTATAAAGTTAAAAAGGGAAAATGATAGTTATAATTTTATTAACATTTGAAATGTCTAATTAATAATTCTTTTGGAGTAGAGGTTTTATATTTCTGATCTCATAGATTAGTTTTATTATAAAATTTTGTTTGATTAAACTTTAAGGTGAAATTTTTAAAAGCTTATATGTCAAAAGTGAGACTTAAATAAAAAACATATTTTTCTTAATTTTTTGGCTGTCCTTATTGAAGTTCATAAGAATTTGAATATTACTTATTATTAATTTGACAGATTCTTATATCATTTTAAATATAAATGAAATTTTAAAGAGGGTTGATATTCACAGAAAATTGATAGTTAGATACTCATACAAATCATCGGTGTTTAAATATATTATAAGAAATTTTAAAATATTATATTAATTTAAATTTATTCCTCAAGGGGATTAACGTTTATCATCATATCTAATGCTTTCATAGGTTTTTTAATCTTAATCAACAGGAAATATTTTAGTTCCTCTTTTTTATACCATTTAGGTATTATCTTTAATATCTTATTGATGATTAGGTAATAGCTGTTATTTTTCTTGATTTTCAAACATCACTGGTTTGTCTGGATATGAATGAATAGGAGTAGGTAATTAATAAATTCCTGGATTATTGCGAACTAATTTTATAAGATACCTTCTTATCATTTAAAATCTTCTTCTGATTCTTTTCTATTGTTGTCCACGGTTGGTCAATAGTCTTTTCAAAATCCAATTTGAATTTTATAGATTAGGGAACTTTTTATTTATCAAATCTCTAACTTTATCAAGATTTTCTTATTAATCATCAAGTTACGCTAAAACAATTTCCCAAAGAATAATTATAATGAAGACTGAATTGAATGTTATTAAAAGTATATAGAATGGCCAAATAATTTCCTAATTATCAGATAAATAGGATTAATATATGGTCATTCCTATGACAATAGAAGATCCACAAATTAGTGTACTGAATTCATCCACCAAATTTAAGAAAGGCAATTTATAAGGCCTATAAGTTCTAGTTAATAGTTAATAAATGAAAACTATTATAAAAACTAAAGCTCCTTTTATAATGATCAAATCCTCATAGAATGTTAAAAATATAATAATAAACCCTTTTTCAAGTACTTTAACAATTTCCCAAAAATATGCCACAGCTTAATATTCATTATACAAATAACCCCAATTTTTTCTAGTGCTTTCTTTTTCCAAATTGTGTCTTTGTTTATATAAACTGATAAACATATATGCTGGAATTATAAATGCCAAAAATAAGGTGGAAGGTAATATAAAGGTTAAAATCCAATTGAAATGTGTTTCAGTATCATATCTATAAGAAACATTACCTTGAATCCAATATAAATTGGAAATTTGTCTGAAGGATAACAAGGAAATAAATCCACCAATTAAAGTAGGTTATAGATATGTGAATAAATAGATTGCTGTAGTTGTTAGTGCAGTTTTATCAGGCTTAGCTAAATTAATTATGATGGTAATAGCATAAATGATCAGGAATGATAACATATATATTATGGGCATAATTAGAGCCCATATCATTCTGAAATAAATGATATCAATATCAACAAGATTTACTAAAAAGCAATCAAGAGAAAAACTCATAGCTTCTGTTGGATTACCAACTGATCTTACAGATGATTAAAGAACACTTGGAATTTAAAGTTAAAATGTTGCAAGAGCTCCAATAATTTATAAATAATTAGTTAACACTTTTATTAAAACACTTCCATATCCTGCTTTTGGATCTTTTTGAAATACTTTGAATTTTTACATTTAGTATTATGTAACCATTTTATCAACAGTTTCAACAGTTCCTTTAACTGATATTAAAATTGAGATCATAGTCCAAACACTAACTAGAATAACTTTTAAAGTATTATCACCAATATCATTACAACTTCCACATTTATAAGGTGTACTAACAGAATAGGAACCTTAACCTCTAATATTATACATATCACATTATTCACACAATGCTCCTATATGTGCTTCTGAACATAAATCATTACCAGGATTCCATCCTCCAATACAATTTTCTGGTAAATTCAAACAATATTCTATTTTATTACTACTTTCAAAAGGTCTCCAATATTCTGGTCTTAACATTATTCTTGCTGAAGAAACTTACTACATTTTAATTGAATCTTTAATTTAACATTAATCACCAGCTTTAACATTATACTAATCAGAATTTGAATCACATAATTTACATGTTCCTTATCTAGTTTTATATTCTCCTCTTTAACAAGAAAAGGTTTAGAGATTGACTCTTAATTTATAGTTTGTGAAATATTCCTACAATTAATAAGGAGGTTATTATGAAAATATTGGAATTTTAATGGAATCACAATTTATTTCAAGTTACAAATAGCCATATAAAGAATAATCAGGATCGAATGTAATAATCATTTAATCTAAATTGTAATCTTGACTTGTTGTATTGAATTAAACTTCTGTAATACTAGTGAAATTACTATAGAATTCTCCTTCTGATTTATTAATAATTTATCTTCCCTTTATAAAACACTTGCTACCGTCTAAAGCTTTTATTTAATTTTTTTCTTCATTAAGAGGGATTATTCTAAAAGTAAAATTATATGGAATATATTATTAAGTTTGTTCATCAAAAATTTAATATTCTCTAATAGCTTATCCACTTGGTAACATAATGTAATCATATTATTTACTTCCTATAGTGTATTGTTTTATTACTATAATATCAGTCTTATTAGTTGAATTGTTCTCTAATGATTCTTTTTACATTATCTTTTCTCCTATTTATAATGTCAATTAAGTAGGTGAATCTGCTAAATTATTACCAAAATAAGTTGCCTAATTTCCTTAAAATACATTATTCAATTTTTCTGGAGTATTTATTTAATATTCACTTAAATATAATGCACCACCAACTTTTGCTTGATTATTTGCAAATACTGAATCATATACAATTAATGATGTTCCATATTAATGATCAAAATATACAGCTCCTGCTATTAAAGATGCTATATTATTTGTAAATTAACAATTTGAAATGATTGAACTCAAACCTGATATTAAAATACCACCACCAAAATCAGCCTTATTATTACTGAACAAACTTTATTCTATTTTTATAGTAGATATTTTTTAATCAAATTCTTCAGTTACTTGATCTAAAATTCTATGTAATTTTGAATTTGTAAATAATTTAATTTAATTTGTTGAATAAGCTGCAATTACAAAACAACTTAAAATACCACATGTATTATCCTTCATATTTAAACCTCTTAAATAAATGAGATTTTATGTTTTTTGTTCATCTATATTTGTGAATTTTAATAAACCCTTTTAACAATTAGTACAATTAATCTTTTAAATATTCATATTTTCTATTAATATATCATGATTTTATGATATAGAATCAATTTCAAAAATAAAACTAGGATTTGTTTTATTTTTTATTAATGCATAGAAATTATATAAACTAATAATGAATTACTATTATTCATCATATAATGTTTATAATTGAGTTGGATAAATAGGTACAAGATCGCATTTATAGAATAATTCTTGAAGTGCAAGTATTGGTTAATTTGGTAAAGACACATCTCCAATTACTTCTGAAATATCCTTTAATTTTAAATTAATTATTTAAATTGATGTCAAATATTCTAATAAATATTAAAATAATATACTTTTATTAAAATGTAAACTAAGAATGCTTCCACTGATTATAGTAATATTTTGAATCACTAAGTCATCTAATTTAAGATAATTGGCTTCTAAAATTTCTATTGCACCATAATCAAAAATATCAAAAATAGTAGAATATTTTAAAGTAATATTACCACGCTCAATTGAAATTAAATAATTTTAAGTTTAATGTTTTATTTCTTAAGTATTTAGATTCTATATTCTTCCCAAATATTACAGATATCCATTATATGTATTCTTAATTTAAATATCAGATATTGTAACAATTAAAATCAATGATTTACTACTAAATGTAACTGGAAGCTTTAAGAATGCATTCTATAATGAAAATACATTCTCTACAATATTATTTTCAATTATAATTGAATTATTGTTTCTTGAAGGTTCAATAAAGATTGTTCCACCTTCATTTCTACTATAACTATTAGTAAAACTATTATTAGTTATTTATAGAATTAAATCTGACTGAGATGCATCAATAAAAAGAGTTCCACCTTATGATTTATCTTTCATTAATAAATTTGCTTAGCTGTAATTAAAGACACAATTCTCAATTCTAATTAAACCACTTGATTAAGTTCCAAAATAAAATGCTCCTCCTTATAAACCCAATGAATATTCACTAGATATATTTTATAATTGCATTTAATTGGCAGAGAAATATCCATTACCTCCTTTTGATTTTATAGTAAATATTGTATATAAATTTTCAAAGTAAGCTACTTCATCCGAATGATAACCCCAAATCAATCGATTACTTAAATATTAATATTGCAAATCATTTTAATGTTTAAAAATACAATTATAAACTAGAAGTGTACTACTAATAATAATTAAATTAGATCCTTAATTATTTGTTAAAATATTATTAGAGAAAGTAGATTCACTTAAAATTATGTTTGAATTTGGATTTTGTATAAGAATGGTTGATGATTATCTGAAAAGTAAGTCTTCTAAATAACTATGATGATGATTATTAAATGATATTACATTAAGAATATTGATTTCTTATTTTTGTCCAGATATAATACTTAAAATTGTAGGTTATTCTGCAAGTTTGGATAAGATCATAGTATTATTAGTAAATTATAATTATGAAATGTCTATAATTTCTGATTATCTATAATTGGATCCATCTAATGATTTAATAGTAATGATAGGTAAATTAATTACTATTAATCCTATAATTTAGAGATTATTAATTTCAATAGTTTTAGTATTAAATATTTGTAACATACTACCATAACCAATTTCTAGATTCTTTTAAAGACAAGAGATTTATTAATGAATTAATTTCATATTAAATTAATTGTTTAATTAGGCTTTTAAATTCTTTAGAATTAATTTATCAACATTATTGATTGATATTTCTGGTAAATTGAATGCTCGAATAATATTTACATTTAAAATTGTTATTTAAGTTAAATCAAAATATATGGATGAATTTGTAGATGTCATTAATTTTGAGTATTCTTTTTAAGTGAATTAATTAGATTCCATTGTTAAACCATCAATTTATACTCTTAAATCTTTAAAATTCTCACTTTATATTAATTCAATAAAAACTTTACTACCTTTATAATAATTATTTTTGAATGATATTGAATTAAATGTGAGAGAACTGATAGCAATATTATCTTGATATAAAGCATCAACAATGTTTGTAATGACTCTATTATCAGTACTTTAAAAATTATTACCTTAAATTATTAAATTATTAATTTTGAATAAAGGAAGTTTGAACAATTTGACATTTGTATTAAATATTCCATTTGAAACAGTTATATCATTTAAAATAACATTAAGTGCACCATGTAATGTAAATAAGGAAGAGTTAGTGAGTTCTTCACGATCAGATACAAATTATTAAATTGTGAATTCAGATTCTCTAATTTAATTAAGAAAATCAGTAAAAAAAATTATAGAATTTGTATATTTATTCTTTTAAGTTTTAAAATTATTTGCTATTAATTTTTGATTTCCATAATTGGTATCTAAGATTTAAACAAATAAATTAGAATTACTTATTTAACAATTCTAAATTAAGATTGTATCAATAGTATATACTAATTAATTTTTTAATTTCTAAGTAAAATAGTATGAAATTAAACCATTAATATTAATCAATTGAGAATCTGAAATTTCAAGATTCTTAATTTAAATTGAAGTAGGATTCTATATAATTATTTGAAATTGAAGATCAATAGCATTTTTAATTATAGTGTGTTCCATAAGAAAAGACATACCATATAAACTATAAACATTAAAGATAACTTATTAGTTTGAGGGTATGATTTAGAAATTTTTGAGAGTAACTGATGAAAATTCAATGAATGAAATGTTGCCTTCAAAATAGATAGGAATATCATTTTAAGATTAGATTATTAATTCTAAGAATTTTACTGTAAATACATTGGATCTAATATTAGATTAAATAAATGTATTTTTATTAATTTTACAATCTCCACTATTTGGTAATATATTTACAATATATCTAACTAATTTAACACTTTTAACATTTAATTCGTTGAATAAGAAATCTGTTTCAATCTCGAAATGACTGGAATTTTTTTATGAAAACAAATTTTCCAAAGGTTAATTATATTTTTTAAAATATTGTTTGGCATCATCATCAATTTCTAGATCAAGATTTTATTGATATTAATCTTTTCCACAATAGATTGATTATTAGAGTTCAACATAAAAATAACAATCTTTTTTATCAGGATTTTTACAATTAATTTCTTAACCTAAAGAAGGATCATTATATAAGATTCCTTCAGCAGGATCATTAATATCTCTCTTTAAACATTATTTTGCATATTTTCTATAAGTAGTGCTTTATAAATCGAAGTATGGATTAATTTGAGTAATTTCCTCATTTGTAAATTCTCTACATAATTCACAAAATTATGGACATTGAGTACATTAATTATTAATAACTGTTTTAATTGAATTTTCACAGGTAATACATTTTACTTCATCATTTTCTATAATACATTATTTACATGGACATTTTGGATAACATTTTCCATTATGTAAAATACCATCATCAGCACACAGTAAACAATATACTTCATAATCATCAACATTAGTAGAAAGCGAATACGTATTAAAGTGATGTAATTCCTGTTTTCCTCTTAATTGATAAGCAGGCAAAAGATCTGATTTCCATCCATCCTTATAAATTTAATGAACAAATTCACATTCTATACAAGAAGGTGGACATAAGATACAATTTCCTTATAATTTATGTGCATAATATGGTTTAAAACATTTAATACAATATTCTTGAGTGTATACATAATTTTAAATGCAATATTCACAATTTTTATCTAAACATACTTTTTGATTTGGTTTTTCTTATCTTATTACAATAGGATTATATTTTTAATTGCCATCAATTATAGGATCACCAAACATAATATAATAATTTTCAGTACCATCTTTGGTCTACATTTCATGATAGCCTAATTCAAAATTGGCATCATTGATTACTTTATTCTTCAAAACCAAAGGTAAAGCCATCCCTGTAATACCTTCTACTTCATTTACACTATAACATCCATATAATTTTCGAACTATAATGACATTAATATAATGTGGATCACACTTTAAACATATATCTACAGTTGGATATGAAATTAAATCAGCCCTTAAATCAATACTAAATATATATTATGTTGAAAGAAATGTCTCATTTGTAAAAGTACGGCTAATTTCATATACTTAACTTTTACAATGAGGTTTATTTTTTGGTAAACATTATGTAAATTCAGATGCAATAAAATAATCCACAGTATCAATACATTTAACACATTATAATAGATTGAGTAAGTTTGAATAAAAGCATATTTAGCAAAATTAACCACATTATTAACATTACTCAAATGTAGAATTGTAATAATATCCTTCATTACAACTTTTACAATAATATCCAGTAGTATTATATTTGCAATTAGGACATTCAATAGGACATTGATAACATTAAGATTCAAATAAAGTATAATTCTATTCACAAATTTTACATTATTATTTATTATCACATTCATCACAATGAGGAATTAAATTAACACATTCCCCATTTATAGATGTATAACAATTCTTACATAAAATCTTAGATATTGTATTCATTGTATATCTTTCTATAAAATTTATAGTGCTATTAGTTTATCCATAACAACCAAAACAAGGTTCTAAAATTGGTTTATCTTAATTATTATATTTATTGATTAGATAGTATTCATAATCTTTTTGTTTCCTATCTCTTCTAGTAAATATATAATCAGTTGAATCAGTCATAGGCATTAAGTAATCAATTGTACAAATTGGATTTTAATACCATGTTGTAGGATTATATACACAATCTATACAATATAAACCATAAGAAGTGATAGCTCCAGGACAATCTAAACAATAAGAAATATCATTCATCTTCACCAAAAACTAATTCCTTTAACAACCTGATGTATCTGAAATTAATCCTTCTTATATATTTATTCCACCTAATACTTAAAATTTACTTTAGCAATATGGTTCACCCACATCTAAATAAGTTGGAATACAAGGACAATAAGTTCCATTTAAAGATCTTTTTGATATAGCTTATGGTACACAGTCAATACAGTGATCTTCATTTGGTCCAAAACATGTATTACAACTATAATGACAATCTTTTTAAATAACATATTGTTTATACATCTTTTAGGTTTATCATCATTTAATTAACAAAAGGAAAATGTTAGATTACGAACTTCACCTGAAAAACCTTTAATGAATTTATCTCCTCCAATATTGAAATAATAAGTAACTTTTTCATAATGATCTTGAGTCATTTAGTAACTTAACTCTTCTTTTTTAGATCCAAAATAGATATTAAGTTCAATTTTAGAATTTGGTAATCCTTCTTGATATACAAACCAATGCCAAAATGTAACAGCATCCTTAAAATATGAAGATTTTTAAAGAAAAGTATCACTCTCTAATGTTTGGTATTTTAGATTTTCACTTTGAGGATCATTATGATAAGTAGATACTTCAAACCCATTATCATCATCACGCATAGTACTTTAATAGTATTTCCAATACAATGCTTTCTCTCCTTAATATTTATCTCCATGATAAATCTTTCGAAATGTAGCTCTAATGAATACAGTTTCAAGGGATCGAATCTATTTTATATACTAAAGATATTTATACATCTGGTAGTTCATTTAATTTTATCCAGCCAAATAATACAAATCGTTTATTATAAAAAGTGATAGTTTTAGTAAGTATTTAGCCACCATTATAGAAATTAGCCAAAATGGTTGTTTGAGCTGTGGCTGGGCAAGTATTAATTTGACAATCTGTATCATAAAGATTACTCAAAAAAGTTGGGATATCTGGATAAAAGTTTGATGATCCAGTTCTAAAGTCAAGGTCACTAATCTAACCTGCAAAACTATTCATTTATAGGTCGATATTGAATTGTAAATTAGAATACTTATATGATACTTGTGATTAATACTTTTAAAGAGCCACCCAATATAAATGGTATGATCTAATCATTTTAATTGATGTATTCTCCTCCTGATGCCATCTGTACGTGAGTTACACCTTAATCTATATAGATAAACATATTATATTATTTAATTGAGTTAGAGTAACAAAAATAGAAGAATACCCATTTGGACCCAACCATTTCTTATTTAACTTCTAATTCTCTCAATTACAAATTATCTTTGTTTTATATTATCACTTCAAAATAGATGAGCCTAGCTTCTCTATCCAATTTTATATAATAGATCAAAGGTAATGATCCATCATATAACTATGAAAATATGAAATAATTAAGAATTTTCTTATCTAAACTTTCATTATCTTCAAATTGACTTTGAAATCTGGTCCAAACTCCGACTCCAAAATCTGTTTCTAATGAAGTTGTTAGATCTAAAGTCAGTTCAGCAGAACCTGTATCTGGAGTGGTAATAAACTTAAAAACATCACAACTTGCTTAGATTAATTGATAACTAATATTTTAAAGCAATTTCTTACATTGTGGTTAACAGTACTAATTCACTTAATGTTCTACAAAAATACATTAAATTATAATTAATAATTAAATTTAATCGATATATTTTTTTTTAATTTACTGAAACTTAATCTTAAATTGTTAACTGTTTCTGCAGTATTTTTTGAGTAAATGTTGATCTATTAATACAATTTTTTAATATTCCTAAACCTAAATTTAATACTCAATAATAAAGTTAATTATTAGTTTCAATTTAGTCTATTATAATTTAAGATTAATCAAATTTCTCAATTTAGTTGTATTATTTGATCTGTTCATTAATAAACCAATATTATCATAATTATAATATATATAATTATTAAAATGAATAATAATAATGTCGTTGTTTTTAGTAGGATTAATCAAAATGATGAAAGTGAAACATCTTCTGCTTTACCTGATCAAGTTGAATCTTAAGTAGAATATTTAAAGACTAAATTGAAATTATACACATAAACTTTAAAGAGTAGATAATTGTATTTGTATTATTAGCTTAGGAAACTTAAATAAAATAATTGAGATAAGAGAATGAAAAGTTAAGATAATTGAATGCAGATTATGTAAATTAGATGAATCAGATGGCATCAGATAAATATTAGAAGATTGAGAAAATAGTTGTTACTCAACAATTTTTTGAATAAAAAAATATAGATAAGCAATTAAAGGATTTTATAAGAAAGATGACATCTAATTTTGGTGGTCTTGAAAAAAGTCATGTTAAATTAATTGATCATTGTAAAGTAATGGAACATGATTTGAATTATTATAAATAACGAGTTGTAGATGCAGAAGAAATAATAGAGAATCTTAGAAGTGTTGGTAAAAGTAGTGTTGCAGAATTAATGGATGAATTAAAAGGACTATAAAATTAAGTAGATGATCTAACTAATCAATTATAAAAATCATAATTTGATTTAGCTGTTAAATAAGGTGAATTAGAAAGAAAATAATAAGAATTAGATGATTAAGTAGCATAATGTGAATCATTATTACATGAATTAGATGATATAAAAACAAAATAAAATAGAATTCTAAGTGATAATATAGAATAATAGAATAAAGATGCAAAGATGGTAATTCCCCTATTTAATAATTAGATTTATTAATTGAAATTAAAGAGTGACTTTCTTGAACATGAACGTAGATTAGCATATTAAGATGCTTAATTTGCAAATTAAGATAAAAATAATATGTTAGCGTAATGAATAATTATTAAATTTAGTAAATAATAAAATATAGAAACAGAATTGGAAATGTTGAGAACTACAACAGATAATTTCTTAAAAAAAAATAAACACATCTTTAATTTGGCTGGACTGCCTAAAGTGTAGTTCAAATGATTAAATATCATTATGTATTATTGACATCAACCTTCTGTATTTTCCATACCATTATACATTTATCTTATTCTGAGGTTGTAACCAAAGTTTCTTTATCTGGACTGGCAACACATTAATTAATGTACATCATATGATCAGTATATATACGCATATATCCTTATCCAGAAGTACATGGATAATTGAAAATTCTTATTGTTCCCATATTATCAGTAACCTTAATGTTAAGATATAATAAAATACAGCCATAGACTTTTCTCCAATCAAAGTAATTTTACGAATTTTATTATCATCAGTATAACAAGAATGTACTCCTTTTGCTTTTTCAGCTAATTTGATTCCATCACTACACCATTCCAAATCAAATTCCATATGCATACTATTAATACGTTTCTATTGATCTAAATCTATTAATGCAGTTTCATCTAAGACATCTTTATAGAATAGATAAAAATTATCAGTTGAGAAATCCAAATATTCTACACTTGTATTAAGATTGTCAATGCTACAAAGTAATCTAAAATTATTTTCTTCATTTTCAACATCATATATTTCAATTTTAGCATTTTATTCTTAATTTCTTGCAAGAGCTAAAGCAAGCATTTTTTCATCAACACTCAATTTCATATCTGAAATAGCTGATTTCTATTTTAGAGAATAATTAGTATTAACACTATAATCATGATCATTTAAAACAATAACTTCTTATTCAAAAGCTATAAATATTTTAGGTGATAATTTGCACACTATTAAATTTAAAGTTGCCTTTTCAAATGCAAAAGAATATGTACGTTTTAATTTTCTTAAATTCCATACTGCAAATAATCCCTTTTAAGTAATAGAATATAATTTTTAAGCATTACCAGAAAAAGCAACAACTTTTGGTTAATCATGATCAGTACAATTAATTCTTAATTTAACCATATCCTTTTATATTTTTGTTAATGCTATATATTAAATATATATATTTACATTTCAAATCAGATTCATTAGGTCTTACTAATTCATAAATATCACCACTTCTAGTTCCTGCCAATATATAATTCTATCCAATACATACTGATTAAATATGTAAATTTGGATTCAATCCAGTCTTCTGTAATTATTCATTAGCTATACTATATTCATATATCTTTTCCACAACATAAGAATATTCAGATTTACTCAAAGACCATAAAATAACACGTCCATCCATACCTCCAGATACAAACATAGAAGAATCTTTACTAGTATATAAACAAAATATAGGTTAATCTGGATGAGCTTTTTATTTCTTATTTATTTTTTTATCATCCCAAACATAAATGAAACCATCTTCACCTGCTGTAATAATTGCATCTTAAACAAATATCACAGTTAAAAATGTTATTCTTAAACCATCTTCTTAATCATTATCTTAAACTCCTTCTTATTCATCATTTTAATTATCTACCAATTCTACTAAATCTTTTGGATTCTCAATTTCCATTGCTTAAAATGTTAATTAACCTCCTGCAAATTACCAACAAGACATATGCTAAACTCCACATGTTACAAATCTAAAAACACTATTAGGATAGAATTCTAAATCTTTAATCTTATAAGGTATTGAATATGAATAAGTGACTACTCCCAAAACTTAATGATTTTCTGAATCTATCAACAATATTTCTTATCTATATTCTTAAGTGATTGCATTACATATAAGATGTCTATTATCATAAGCAAATTTAATATTCATAATCATTCCAACATTATTTATTACTATATTCTTAACACAAGTTCTTGAACATATATCCCATATCAATAATTTAGCCTTCAATTCAATAGTACCTGCACACAATAACTTTTTATCTTAACTTAAAGTAATACATGATATCTCAGGAGATGATGATGTATCTGATTAATCTAATTTTATGAATTATTAAAAAACTGAATTATTCTCTGATTATTATTATCCAATATTGTATTTTTTGAATTAAGATGTAATCTTATCTTCCTATTCATCATCATCATCTAAACTAGCAATTACTAAATTGCATCCTGCCACATAAATCAATCTTTCATCATAATCATAAAATAGATTGTTTCTTCTCGTAAAAGCTCTTCTCCCTATAATACTCTATAATTTGAGTTCTACTTCAGGTTATTTAGTGTCATCAACATTCTTCACCTTATCCGATATTCCTTTACGTAAAGGTAGTAATTCTGAAAATAAACTTTTGAATTTCTCTTTCTCTTACACTTCTTAAAACAAATCAGCTTGTTTCTTATCATATATTAAATTATCTAAGTCCCAATTCTATTATTCTTCTGTTAATTTCCATTTCATAATACATTCATCCAATATACCTGTAGTATATAGATATTAAGCATTCTAATGAGTTTCTATCTAATTCACAAATGAAACATGAGCAGAATATGACTTAGCCAAACATTTTTACTTTTTACTGATCTCTGTAATGAAATCTTTATCATAAAAGAGACAAGAAGATTTAACCAAATGCAAATCACCATTTGTACTTCCACAAATTAAAAATGGAGATATATCTACCATCACTGACATTACAGGATTAATGAATATTTCATTAGCTAAATTTGTCTCTTGTTCTTAACCTTACTTTGGATCACCTATTAATGAATCATAAAATTGATATTATGAATGTAAACTATTTGGGAAATTCAACTTCTTCCATTAAATGTTTTTGATTGTTTCCCAATTTTTTACTGAAGTATTTGAATTTAGATCCCATATTACATAAACACCTTATGGATCATTATTGATTCTTGTATATTGATTATTTATCAATTGATAATAAATTAATAGATAATTACCATCTTAACTAAATGTCATAAAATATGCAGCAATACCATAAGTATCATTATCATTCTAATATGATTCATTAAGTTAAGGACAACGAATATCAGTATATTTCAAAAATAAATTCTTGTCTGTTGCTCTATACTTTGATGTACGATGAGAACCTCTATTAACCCATACAGATATGAATGAACCTTCCTTTTCCAACTTAGATTCAAACATATCCTTTTAACTACGAGCATTATCATATGATATGGCAAGCATGTCTCCTTTATGTGAAAATTCTATATTCAAAACAGCTGTCTTATTATCTTTATCTTTAATATTCATAATAATGTCTAAGGTTGGCAACAAATAACGTTCACTCACTTTACCATTTGCATTCTTTTAAATCTTAGAATCCATAATCACAACTATAGAATTTTAGAATCCAATCACAAGTAAATCTCCATCTGGTGACAATCGAATAGCAGTAGGAGTCATACCCATATTTTTAACAAATAATAATGAATTATTTTCAGTATCCCAAAGTATTAATTTTTAATCTTCTCCCATAGATACCATAATTGGTTAAGTAGGATGAAGAGTAATAAACATCTTTTTACTAAAGAAATCTATTTATTATTTGTTATCCAATATTTATGATTGATGTGATCTCATATATATAGAATAGTTAAATTTCAAAGTTTCTGTTGTTGTATATGGTTATCTTTATTATTATTCTGATCCACTAGAATCATGAGAATTACTATGTTCATCATCAGAATGACTTTCTTATTTTTTTATTTGTTATAATTTTAATCCTTAAAACTCTACTTAAAATGCAGCTTCTAAGATATCACCATTTCTTGTTCCAACTAACATTACAGATAAGTTATGTGATTCTTCTACCTCCTCTTCATTTAAATGTCTTTTAGGAACTCTACATGAAAATATATCAATTGATTATGCAGATAGATTCTAAATAATAAATATATATCATACACGAGTTGCAGGAGTACCATCTTAAAAGAATCCAGTTTTACGGATATTGAATTCATTAATTAAATTAAATTTGGTATCCCATATTTTAATATATTCATCTTCTCCACAAGTAATTATAACAACCTTATCTCCAAGTATTTCAGATATCTTCAAACAATTAATCATTTTTTAATGTGCTCTAAATAATTATAAATTAATATTATACCTCTCTTTAACAACTATATATTTACCACAAGCCACCAATGCTAAATCTCCAAAGTTGTTACCTACAATAATGTCACTTTCTATTTTATCACCTAAGAGATAAGAAATGTAACTTAAACAAGTGATAAAACAACCATTTGAATATTTAACTTCATCTGATAATATAACTTAACTTCTTATGAGATTTCTCCCTTATAATGACCATATAGTAATATTCTAATATCCACAAGTAGCAAATTCATATCTATTGTATGGGTTGAACATAACACAACAGATAGGAAATGTCCCTGAATTTCTAAAAGCTATAATGGTTTCATTCTTCCAAGATGTAACTTATATTGAATATGTTTCATCTATGCCTATACTAACAATAAATAATGAATCTCTGGAAAAAACTAAATCATAGATTCCATTTTTATGATTTGTTTTAATGATCTTAACAGGTTCAGTATTGAATACATTCCAAACATGTATACAAGGTCTAGGTGCACTTTCACCTGTAGCCACAAAACATTTTAATGGATGAATAGCTAGACAAGTAATTTTGAATCTATGTCCTTCATAGAATTTTTATTGATTATTTAATGGATTATAGACAACTGCAATTCTAGATGTAATGTAAACAAAGTGTCTTTAACAATCATTATGAGAATCATCATAAGGTAATAATGCTTATTTAGCAAAGAGCATTTCTTTTTAGAATTAGACAGGTAAAATAATACTTTATTAATTCATTTACTCCATTCTCTTTCTTTATTCAGACTTTAAATCTTATTATTGTTATCCTCCTCTCTTCTTCTTTTCTTATTTATTATAGAAATGAACATAAAATAGAGTTCTTCTTTTTTCATATGCCAAAAATCCATAAATATAATCAAGAGTCAAAGATAATGGTGGTGCTCTTTTCATGACATGTTATTTTTTATCGAATGGTGGAATGAGTTCTTAAAGTAATCCATTAAGCATTTTTTAATTGGTAGCTCTAAATTAAACAAAATTATCTCTGAATTTGTCAGAAATATTATTTAAAAAGAAACAATAATCTTTTTCTCTTTTGAAGATTTCATCAATAGTTTAATTAAAATCTTATTTATTAGAAGCCATAGAGAAATTATTGAGTCCAGGTTTATTTATTTATTATTTGTCATCCTATTAAAATGGTTTAGAGAAATCAGCTAAATCATTAATAAAATCAATCTTCCATTCAATTAATGTATTATCATTAGTTCCTACAGTATAAAATACATCTTAAGTTTTGGTCATTTATAATCTACTAACATTACTAGCATGTCCTCTTAAGAATCCTCCACAATTTGTTTCTAATTATTCTCTATCTCTCCAAAAATATACATATCCTCCTTCTCCTGCAGCTAAAAATATCTTTACATCACCTCCAATTAAAATAGGTAAAAATTATTCTTTTTTTGAATTTTGATTACTAGTTGAAGTAAGAGGATATTATAATACCCAAGTAGTTGAATTCAATTTCTCATTTTCTGAAGATAACAATTTAGATTTCATATCAGGTAATTCAATTTTATATTGATTTTTCATTGTAGTACCTACAATAAATACTTTACAATCATCAACAAAATCTAAACAAATTGGAAATTCACCTTCAAAATGTATTTTCTTAGGTGCAGTCTAAAAATATGAAGTATTATTCAAAAAAAACACATAAACAAATGCATCTTATACTGCACAAACTAAACAAGAAGTATCTGATGAAAACTTTAAATCATTTACTTAATGTTTAAAATCATACCATCTTGGTGATTCTTCCCAATCCAATCTCAAATATACTTTACCTGATACTGTACCTAATGCAAATACAGCTCCTCCATCCTCAAAATTTATACAATCCATTGATGATATTTAATCTCCAATAGTCCATACATCTACAATTTCATGAGTTTCTAATGAAAATCCATATACTGTTGATTATGATCCTGCACAAAATACTAATTTATCATCACTATCTGGTCTCTCCAATATACATAATGCCTATAATGTTCCACTTAATTAAACAATATAATTTATTCTATTAGCTTTTAATTTATTAACAAATTAATTGTTCTAATGTTCTTGTTTCTATTATAAAAATATCTCCACTACATCTCCTTCTGTTGTAGATACTAATAATTTATCTCCTGCTACTACTATATCACTTATAACATAACTAAATAACTTAAAACTTAATGCTGTTAAATCTATATTCTTTATATTATTCTTAAATTTAAAATCCCATAAATGGATAGTACTAGCATCAGTCCCAATAATTATTCCATATTAATAACTTGTTATACACACTATCTAATCCTTATAAGATGTCATCTATTCCATAGTTTCAAAGCTCTCCCATAGAATTACTGATCCATCCTAATGTCCTGATATTATCACTATAGCTTCTTCTGAATCATCTTAATAAGATTTTAAATTAGGTTCCTTGGCAACAATACTTAATGCTGTAGCACATGTTAAAGGTGATGATAAATTATATTATTCTAAATATATCTCCTTGGTCAAAAAATGACCATCATAATATTGAAATTAAATTATCTACTAAATTGTACAAACAACAAAAGAATTTTCATATTTCTTAAATGGATTTGGTTAACTTTATTAACTTGTTTATTGTTATCTTTGTTAAATACCTCCAAATGATCCAACAAAATTCTTGATTGTTAATAAATCAACTGCAAATTCATTTACTTAAGTTGAAAGTACCAAAGAGAAATCCTTAATATTATAAATCAAAATAGGAGAAGCTGCTCTTATTCCACATGATGCTAACAATTCATCATTACCAAAAAATGTCAATAAATGTACACCCTTCTAATGAACACCCTTTATCACTCCAATATTATGTAATGTATTATTATCCCAAATATGTATAGCTGGTTATTCTGCATATTCTCCACTTGCCATCAAACTCAAATTATTAGCTACTGCTACACTTATCACTTCACTTTCATGTTCTAAATAATGTCGTTATTCATTTATTTTTGGATAATACACAATTATTATACAAGCTGTAAAAAATACCATCTTTTCATTTAATGCTTTATCTGTATTAGATTACACTTTTATATAAAGTAATGGTCTTTTTACATCTTTACCTCTAAATCCATACACCCAATTCATTTTAGCATAAACATCTTTCTAAAATACTTATGGTTATGGAGCATAAACCTTCTTTGCCAAACTACTAATCCATTAGATTTTAGAATGATATGCTTTTGAAGATAAAATAGATCTAGAATACTTACTTATTCATACCCAAGATTCCTTTAATCAAAATAAGGACGTTTAGAATCTGGTAATAAGAGTTTCTTTCTAAACTCTTTATTAGATACTTATCTTAGAACATCAATTTTCTAACTCAATTATTCCATCTATGCTGTTACTTTCAATTCAGGTGCTTCCTTTTTTATTAATTATAAAAATTATCTAATTTCTTCTGTCTTCACACACCATTTCAAAAACTAACTTATATTTACCCTTTAATTGTCCGAAAAAAAATTACTTAAGAAATCTGAAATTTCTTCCTCATTTACTTCATTATTTATTTGCATTATTTTGAATGTTGCATTTGCACATGACAATAACATAAAATCCAAATCAATCTTAAGTTATCACATAATTCATACTAAACTTAAAGAATTCAATTCATTAAAATCAAATAGATCAAATAAAAATCGCGCCTTTTCCTCAAAATTACTCTCTGCAAAAATGATCAATCCTGAAAATAATTCTAATGCATTGATCAATCTAAACATATACTTAACTATAATACCCATTATTGTCTGTATCCCATATTTAAAACATCGTTTCATTACTTCCAAATATCTATTCAAACTCTGTCAAATCTATACTAAATGTATCGCAAACAGATTAAAAAGACCCATGATACTCACGTAATTTTGATATTGAATTATTAAGTAATGGATTTGATTGGGGAGGTTATGCATTTTGTAAATGCCCTAAAAACTATCCCATTTTGTATTAATTATTAATATATATAAAATATATAATATATATATATATTAATTTCCTATTCTCATTGATATTAAATAGATCTAAATTAATTAATTAAATAATTCTCATTCCCAATCATAACTATAGTATATGATAGATTCCATTTAATTATTTTATCCAATAATAATATCTAAACAATCTAATAAATTTAATATAAGAAATTCATTATATTATTTATAATATTTTGCTAATTTGAGAAATATTAGATAATGAAATATCTAAACCTAAAATTTTATTTAGTTTATTTGTTTTTTCCTTATTAATAAAATAAAGTTGAAAGTTATTAGAAATAAGAATCATTTTATTGTAAATTCATTACTTATAAATTATTTATAATTTTTAAAAAAGAAATTTACATACTATAATTATAACAAATTATTCTAAAATTACACTATTATTGAAATAAATTGTGAACACATGTCCAATAATTAATATCAAATTGCATAATAATATCAAAATATAAGAGAGAATAAAAATATATTATTAATAGTTTATTAGATTTATTATATACTTAAAAACAATATATTAATAATAAATCTTTATTTTATAAAATGAATATAATATAAAAATAGAAATAAATCAAATATTGTTAGAATGTTTTATGTTTCTAAAATATATTATTTTGAAAATTATTAAAAATGAATTAAATAAAGATAATAGTATATACAATAAATATAGAATAGATAGAATATTAAGATATATATAATAATAATGGAATAATATTATGATCCTATGAGATGAAATATTAAAAAAATAAATTTTTCAGATATATAATTAAATTTATTAGTGGATATATTTAATTTGAACTATAATAAATCTTCAAATACAATAATTAGAAGAATATAGATCATATAGGATGCTGATTATACAATTATTAATTATAATGATTTCTTAATTATAAATAAATAAAATATTTATATATCATTCAAATAAATGATATAGAATCACCTGGACCAAAAAGAATGGCAACTGGGTATAATCTCTTAGATTAATCATTAAGTTTCATTGTGTATTTTTCATTTTTATTGGATTCCTTAAAGAATGTAAATGATTATGATTGAGCATCATAGTAACAAACAATAGAATCTGCCTTATCAAATGTAAGAGGTTTGATTTTGGTGTTATTGACGGTTGTATCATCACTATGATAAATAACTCCTGTGTTATGAAGAGCATAGAAACCATGTCCTTTGGAGAAATCATAGATTTGATAATGCATTTACTTGCTAGCTTCTAAGGAGCCAAATCCAACTAAACCATATGATAGTTTCTAAAGTATAGAGATTTATAGATTACATTAATTAAGAAAGAGCATTTGAAGCTTTCTTTTGAAGGATCAAAGCTTTATTCACTATAAATGACAGCATATCCTATTTATTATGTCAGTGTAGCTGTTCTACCTTCATTTAATTGTATATGTTTATGTTTATTGACTTCTGAAAATTTCAGTTCTTCCTTAAATTACTCTACTGAAAGCTTGGAAAGGTTTTATTTGATTTTTTTAGTATACTCAGTAGTTAAAAAATTGATTTAAGTGAGTAATTAAGAGATTTGCATTTCCATCTTCGATTTGATTTGTTCATCGATTCCTATGATTGTATTATTTTGAATTTCATATTGATTAAGTAAAATTTTAAGGACTGGTAATTCTTCTGAATCTAGAGTCATCAGTTAATCGATTGATAAATTGAAATTAAGTTAATTTTTGTTTAGTTTTTCAATTTTGGAATCAATCATTTCTGTGAGCTCTGCTAATTAGAGTCTATTGGTTATTAATTGTTATTTAACAGATGTAAATTCAAGATTTTGTTTTTTAATGTTTTCTTGATTAGAAATAAATGATTATAAAGAATTCAGAGACACAACTTTATGTTCATGGACATTATGTAATTCTTTGATACATAGAGGACAACATTGAGTATTGGCAACACAATAAGAATCCACACAAATAGCAGATAATTTTTCTCCTTTATGGATTTAGCATTCAATTTTGCAAATCATAATGTATATAAAAATTAATTTTATTCATTTTTACAAAATATGGATTTGAATTAATTTTTGATGTTCTAAATATTATCATATACATCTTTAAAAGAAAATGTAAATTAATAATATTTGTAATTAGTTCTATGTTCTAAATTCTTATATTTGATATTATTGTAGAGGACTATAATTAAAAAAAAGTAAAAATCACTGTTTTGAATTTATTAATAAGCATTATTAATCCTTAGCAAATTCTTATCATAATATATTTATCCAAACCAGAATTTTTATTAAATGCATTAAAAGAATTAAATCATTCAAGAATCTAATTGAATTATTATAGCCAATACAAAATGTTTAACATATATAGTTAATCAGTCAAAATGATGTGATTCAATATCTTCATTTAGTATTTAATCCTTATCTTCAAAAGAGAAGGTACGTATAATTTTTCGACTACCTCTTTTAAGTAAAGGATTATTAGAAATGTTAAATTCATTGTCATCATCATTCAATTATTTTCTCTCTAGGACAATTTCATCATTTGAATCAGGTGATATATCATTTTAAATTGCAAAACTATTTTGTATGGATGATTTACTTAGCAATACGTTATAGTTTGGATAATGGGTCAGTTTTCATTTAAAGACCTAGACCTTTTAAGTATTGAACAATTTCTCGTTCTCTTTTCAAAATAGTTTTTTTCTTTGAATCTTTACACTGATACAATTATAGAAACTCTTCTAAACTGTCTTTAGAATTTAATGAGACACACGACAGCATAATTATTTTGATGTAAAATTTATTTTTAGGAACTGATTATAGACTTATTTAAATTATATATATAAATATATACTAGACAATAATAAAATTAATTTTCAAATCTGTTATTATTATTAGGCAAAATTAAGATCTTATGATATTTCATCAACCTTCTTTCTTAAAACAATCAATGCCTACATAATTAATATTAATTTACTTTTTATACTATTTCAGCAGCTTTTAATTAGCCTGCACTTTCAACAGTGAAGATATATTTATTTTTCTTATGTTGCATTTTGATCAATCTTGGTTTTTTCATAGATTCAGCCTATTAATTAATATAAATATAATTACACTACGAATACATTCTTCACAAAATACACATTTTTCAATAGCATTGACAATAAGATCTTAATTAGCATCCATAGCAAAAACATTCATAGGACAAGAATTTCTAATGGCATTTTTTTCAGAAAGTGACAGGGATTATAATTAGGTCTGATCCATATTAATTTCTATATATATATAAAATGATATATTTACCTGCTTCATGTCTAAATGTTGCAATATTAATTGGACTCCATTTAGCATGCATTTTACCAAAACCTTTGAGTGCATGACAACGAACATGAACAGATTGATTCTTTCCTAATCTAGTAATAGGAATTCCAACTTCTTTTCCATTTATAGGTGAAAACATTCTAACAGGTCTAATTGCCATTTCACCTACTTATCCAAATTCAGGTTCAAGATGTTAACTTGTAATTTCTAAGGGAGCATCATTTAGATTTTTTTATCTTAATGTAAAGACAACCTTTGTTTTTTGATCATCAATTGAATCAGCATCAGCTTCCCAATCATACATTTTGCTATCAGCAGCAGATGAAACTAATGGTATTAAACCAAGTCTCTAAGCTAGAAATTCATCTGATAGGGGACTAGTATTTTCAATAATATCAACAAAATGAATTGCCATGACCTAATATTTTAGTCCAAAATTTTACAGGGACTTCTGCTATCATTACTCTTCTAATAGCATTTGCAATAGACAAATCACCTTCAAAACTGAATTTACACTTCTCATCATTTAATTCTAAGATTTCTATTCTATGTTAAGTGTTTTGTTCGAAGTTGTACTTGTACATTTAATTATAATTATTTATTATATATATTTAATATATATATATATATATTCATTCACTCATTTTCTCGTAATTATAAGAATTTCCTTTTGTGAAACCATAAACATATGAAATTCAATATACAATATACAAGTATAAATGATCCAAATACATTTACACTAATAATTAAATATTCATTGAGAGTCCCTGGTATATTAGGTATACTCATAACAACAGTAAAGAAATAGAAACTCCAACAATAAATCCAATTACATAATTAGAGTACATTCTTATTTTCAATATATTCAGATCCACAATAAGAGAATGTCAATACTTGAACTGCAGATATTAATAATCCTGACATAAAATTGAAAGTATAAACTAAACTATTCTTATTATTATTGATCTCATCTGCTTCACCAACAATCCTTAATTAATACAATCAATTTACTGATAATATATAGGTTACAGCTCCAAAAACTTATAAAACCATTAACAAATTCAAGTATCCATAAGAATATGAAAGTAATCCAATAAGAATTCCTCCCAAGAATTAACCAATTCCATGAATACTTAGATTGGCAACTATATCTTATTTCAAATAATTGACATTTGTATAATTAGGTTCAATCATATCCTATGAATAAACAACACTAAAGGCAGTGAACATTCCAATTGATATCATTGTAGGAATTAGATATACAAATTATGGGTATAATTTTGGTATTTTCCAAATTAGTTTAAATTGATTGATATATTCATTATTATTTGTATTAATCTTAGTATTATCATAATTCATATATGAACCATATAAATGGTCATTTAATTTCTATTATAAATCAATACTTTAATTGGTAACTGATTTTGACAATGAGTCTGGTTCTTTGATAAACCAATATAAGAAAGTTATGATAAGTGATACACCTAACATTGGATAATAGAAGTATTGATTATATTAGTATATTTTTTCTTCAAATATCACATAAATATCTCCTATAAGATTTTACATACAAAATAATGAATAAGCAACTCCAAAATAGATACCAACATTGTTCTTATTAGACAAACTACGAATATAATAATTAAATGTGCAATAGAAGATAGCCATAAAGGGAGCTGATATTGCTTCAAATATTAAGATTGTTGCAATTAAATAAACATCTTTTGGTTATTATTCAATTACAACAATGTATAAAGTCATACTAATGATATTAGCTAAACTGGTTATAAAAAATACTGCTCTGAATCAAATATTATTAGATACTTATAGGTGAATTTCATAATCATCTTTTAAAAGAATGGCAATGAAAAAGGGCCTAGCAAAAAGACTAGACTGAATATGCCCAATGAAACTGAGTTTATTACTTTGTCATCTATCTTTAGAATATTTGAGAATAACACTGTTCGGCATAATCCTATAACTCCCAAATAACAGACTGTTATCATACATGTATATGTAAGAGAACATAAATTATCTCTTTTTTCAAACATTATAATACAATATTATTATTATAATTAAATAATAATCTTTCTGTATGACTGAATTAATTTGAAAATGTATAAATTCATAACTTTTATATGCTTTTCCTTTTTTGAATTATTGAGTTTTCATTAGATGAAAGAATAGGAACTTTTCGATACATATGAAATAAGGAATCAAAAACTAGTTTATAAGTTTTTATAGGTTTTTCCGAAAGTAATTATATAGGAACTTCTCTTTATACAAAAGTACGTTTTTCTTTTTCATAAGCTATCTGATTAACATCATCAGATAGTTCATCTAACAACAATTAATCAGCATCAAGATAAATAGATTTCATTTGTTAAATGGAAGTTTTATAACTTGATTGTAGTTCCGAATTGAGTGTAGTATCTTTAAGATCTTAGATTGATCTATTTGAATTGCAAATCCCCATAAGACTGAAGGATAAGTAAAAATTAAATTAATGTATTCATATAAATTGGAATGTATTTACATAATTAAGATTACTTAGAAGATCATTATTTAAATTACGTATAAGTAGAATTGATCAATGGATTAGTATATAAAAGTGTAGTTTAAAATTTCATAATATGAAAATCTGAAGTAATATTAAATTATATTATGAATCATTTAAGTCAGACATCTAATTCAGAAAATTAAGGATATAATTCATAGTAGCCAAGGAGATACATCAAAACGTCTACATGTAGTTATACTTATTATGATTTGGAAAAAATTAAGAAGTTTGAGGAAGGATATGAAATAATAGAATTAAATGATGCATTGCATCAGGGCAAGGCTTCCCAATTGCATACATGTAGTTGTCACATCTAAATTAAGTTGATTGGTCCAAATGGATGGAATACTTGTCTGAACTAGAGATTGAGTTAAAAGCCATTCTCTTAGATAGAGCACTCATTGTCCCTGATCTAAATCAATATGTTAAAAAGCGTCTCTAGCCAATGATAGAAGTTACTCTCGATAAAGTGTATTGACCTTCTTTCTAACTAGTCTAATTGAGACCTGCAAATTAAAGATCTAGTGTTACATTAATGAAATCCTTCTTCTAGTTTAAAAGGTGTCTCTTAAGCTTTGGAAAGAATATCCTCAGATTTCTTTGACACTATTAAAACGCTTGCATTCCATCCAATGCAATTCTCTCTATGATAGTAGAATTAGAGAATTAAGTCTGTATATAGACACTATAAATGATTTCTATGGTGAACGATTACATTATGGTGTTAGTTTTGAAGCTGAAGGCTATAATAATCCCTATTAAACAGAGATTTACAATTCCAAGAACTTTTATCCACTAAAGGGAGAGATTTTAGAATATTAAAGAATGAATTAAGATGTGTTCACTTTTTCTCCATTTTAAAGAATACAAATACACTATTTCTACAAAAATGGTGGTTTTGCTCTCTTAGATGATGCTATTAGAAATTTTAATTTAAATAATTTAGATATTTTTGCAATATTTCAATATCTCAATTCACTTATAGATAAATAAAAATATTTGAATTATTTCCATCATTTTGAGTTTTAGAATTTGGCATCAAAATTAACAGAAGAAGAAATCAAGAATTCTAATAGAGATACAATTAAAAAGTTGACTGAAGGAATTGAGAATATGTTTGATTAATTTTATACTTCTTCTTAGAAGAAAGAATTGATTGCTTTATCTGAAATGAGTGTGTTTTTATAATGTTTTCGTTGCACAGCCTTAGAAAAAAGAATTTATGGTATTAAATTATTATATAACTTTAAGGATTATAATAATTTTGTGATAAAATAAATACTGCATAATCCAATGAATTTATGGGTCAATAATATTTTATGAATGATGAATGGTATAAAAATGATAATGTATTAAAATACATTGTAGATAATTAAGTATTTTAAGAGTTATTTGGAGAAAAAGCTCATTTTGAATTGATTAAGAGAAGTTTTCCAATTATTCAATTTCTATATTTACATCATAAATTAAGTAAAGATGAAATCTTGTGTATTCTCAGATTAGGAAAAGGTAAACATGAAACATGGGATAATATGATATCTAAATTACTTACAGATTTAGCAGAAATCTTATAATTAGAAGATGTTGAAACATTAATATAAAATATATAATAAAGTTAGATTGATTAAAATGGACTTAATTTTATTAAAAGTTTGGGTAGAAACAAATATTTAAGATAAGATTTAGATAATAATTAAAATTAAAGAATAGGAAATAATGATGATACTTTTGGAAGATAGAATGAGAGAATGAGTGGTAAAAGAAAGTATTAATAATATGAAACTAATTATAGAGAAATGGAAGATATGGAATAAAATAAAAATGAAACTATTGAATAATTTGATAGAGAGAAGGCTATAAATTTAAAATCTTAAATTGTTGAATTCTTATTAAATATTGTTCATGAATAACCAACTAGTGAAATTGGTTAATCAGCATTTACAATAGCTATCAATTTGATATGTCATCAATTCAAATCACTTAGATAATAATATTTATTACATGGTTTTTCTAATTTGATTGCAGAAGAGTAACCATTACCAGTTTGTAATTACATAACTGTGTTATAGAAGATTATCTCATCATCTTATCCATTTGATAAATTTAATAATTCTAAAGATGTATTAATATGGATCTAAGAAAAATATGATATTAAATTAAACTTTTTAAGAGTTATGGGAAGAGAAAAATTAAAATTACTTAAAAGGGAAAATAAGAATTATTTATAAACAATTGAATAATTTGTTAAATTTTATCAATTTCTTCATTAAGATTCAAAAATCACAAGATCTTAATTGATGATATTATGGAAATTATTAGTAGAGAATGCAAAATGTGTAGAGGAAAGAGATCTATTTTTTAATTGGGTAGGAGATGTTAATAAGAAGTTTTTAGATTAAGAAGCTATAGAGTTATTATTTATATCTACTATTAAATGTTCATCTCTTAGTTAATCAATGTTATAATGTTTAACAAATCTAATTCTATATTTTAATGTTCAATATAAAGTAATGAAATTATAATATGATTAATATACAATTATCGATGCAGATATTATTGGATTGTAAGTATTATGGAAGATATTTAAATAATAAGAGAATTTGGGACCTAAATTATAGGAATTCTTCATTAGACTATTAAGATTTAAATAATAATAGAGTATTTTAAATAAGTTAAAATAATAATATTTAGTATAATTATTCAATTAAATTAATAATCCTAATTCTCTATCATTCATAATCAAATTATTAGAGGAGTTTGAAGGATATTAATTGATTGAATAAGGGGAAAAGGTATTTGTAACAATTGATAATAAATGTATGAATGCTATGCCTCCAAAAAGATAAGATATTCAATTATTGAGTGGATTACCTGTATTATAAGCTAAATAAATAATTGGATAGAAATTAAATCCATCTTTGAAACCAGATGAATTTGATATATTCTGTAGAGGAACTCTATTTGATGATAATAAAACACTTAAAGATTACAAAGTTAATTAGAAATTGACATTTGTAATATCAAAAAGAGAGATTGTAACAGATGAAATTACTGCATATAATAATACAACCAATTAGATATAAAATGAATATGTACCAAATGATGCAGATGATAGAGTTTAAGAGATTATGCAAATAGTTTAAATACAAGAAAAAGATTTTATTATTTCTGTATTGAAAGAAAAGAATTGGCAAGTAGAAAATGCTATATGTGATATTTTGGATCGTGGAGATCAATTACTTTCAGAATACTAATAAAAGAATCCATAGATTAAGAAATAATAACCTATAATGAAATAATAAATTGATGAGATTTCATTTGCTTCATTAATCTCAAATAATTATATTGATTAATTATTCATTCTACTTAATTAAGGAAATTAAGAATAAAATACTAAGATTTGGTCTATTTTATAAATGATTCCTAGAAATAAAGAAGTATATGAATTAATTGAATAATCATAAACAGATTGGTGTAATCTATTATTAGTAGATAACAAATATAAATTATAATATCATTTACAAATTCTTAAAGAATAATTGTAATGTGATTTTATTGAAGATTAAGATGAATATGAAAAGCGTAAGACATTAAGAGAAAATTTCCTACTTTAAGGTGGTTTAAAATTACTATTATTTTAATTAGACAATTCAATTGAAATCTTAATCATAATTTTAGATATATTCTAAATTTACTTTTCTGCTTATTCAATGAGTAGATTAATGATGAATTAAAATGAATTTTTATAACTATTAAAATTGAAGTAAGCTATATAATAGAAAGATGAAGATCCTAAATTATGTAGTCTATTGAGTATATAATTATAGAAATAAGATAAGCCAAATATTTAAGGATATGATGAAGCATATTTACTATAATAGGTTTTCTATAATTGTGAATTAGAAGTAGAATGGGATGTATTATTAGATGCTCTAATCTAAAGAATAGGAGTTGAATAAGTATATACAAATATCTTATGTATCTTATATATGAGACCTTAATTACTGAAATTTGAATTGCCAATAAATAGATTAGTTGAATTGTTAACTAGTCCAAATGAAGAATAACGAAAAATGACAGCTTATTTCATTCTTACTCTTTAAGATATTGGAAAGAAAAATGGTGTTAATTTAAGTAATGATATTTTAAAGGCATTAATAAAAGGAGAAACTTAATATGATGAATTATATCTAGTGATTGCTGGATTGATTGGTTAAGTGAATGATTTAACATTCTTTGATACTCATTAATTGGCTTAATAGATTATATCATTAATTTCAAATAGAGAAATTATTGAATAAAGATTCACTGAAAATGAAGATAAATTATTGTAAGGCAATCTATTATTATTGAGTTCTTTATTATAGGTTGATAAAAACATTAAAGTAGATATTGAATTTACAAGATACTTATATAAATGTTTATTTGAAATGCATAATGATTATTATAAATATCCTGTTTATAAAAGAAAATTAACTAGAAAGAGAGTATTCTAATTATTATTAGAATTATGTAAAGATGAAAATCATTTATAAGAGATGTTACCTTTGATTTAAAATCATCATAAATTGAAGTTTGATATAAATGAAGTAGATATGGATTTGGGAGTTAAAGGTTCACATGGTTTTGTTGGATTAAGAAATCTTGGAGCTACTTGTTATATTAATTCTCTATTATAATAATTCTATATGAATATACCTTTAAGAAAAGGGATTTTGAATGGGTAGATTATGATTACTGAGATGAAGGCTCCTCTCATCTTTGATAATATTAGTTCTATTGATTCACCAATTTTACAACGTAAATTGACAGATCATACTTTACATTAATTATAATTAGTATTCATTTAACTCTAAGAATCTGTGAAATAATATATCAATCCACATTAATTGATTAAAACTTTAAAGGGATATGATGGAGAAGTTATAAATGTTCTTATTTAATAGGATTGTAATGAATTCTTTAATTTGATAACTGATAAATTAGAATAGGATTAGAAATTTACTAATTAATCAAATCTAATACCTTAAATATTAGGTGGTACATTAATAAATGAAATTAAATCATTAGAACCTGATTATGATTTTAGAAGAGAAAATGAAGAACCATTTTTAACTGTTTCAGTAGATATTAAACATAAGAAATGTCTTGAAGAAGCATTAGATTTATTTGTTAAAGGAGATGTTTTAGATGGAGAGAATAAATATTTATGTGAAGAAGTATAAAGAAAGATAGATGTTTAAAAGAGATAATACTTTAAGAAATTACCTAATACATTTATATTCCATCTAAAAAGATTTGAATTTGATTACAATACAATGTTAAGAATTAAAATAAATGATTATTTTGAATTCCCTTAAGAAATCAATATGTTTAAATGGACACGTGATCATATCGTTGAAAATATGGAAATTTAAGATTAAAGTGATTATATGTACATTCTTAAAGGAGTATTAGTACATGTTGGTAGTGCAGAAGGAGGACATTATTATTCATTTATTCGAGATGTTGATAAATGGTATGAGTTTAATGATAAAGTGATTTGTCCATTTAAAATAGAGAATCTAAAAACTGAATGTTTTGGAGGAGGTAATAACAATCTTTCAGAATGGGGAATGAGTAATAGTAAGAATGCTTATATTTTATTCTATGAGAAAGTCAAACATGATATTCCTGAATAATTATATATGAGAGGTACAAATGAGGAATTATTGATTTAATAAGTAAAAAGTGAGAATTCTGATTATTTAAAGAATTAATTATTTTGTACTTAAGATTACTTGAAATTCATTCAAACATTTGTATAAACATTTTAATTCAAAACTCCATATTAAATTACTTAATTATTATCAAATGAAAGTAATTTAAGTGAATTAGATAATCTTCCTTCATTGAGAATAATTAAATTATTTACTTTCTTCACTTATGAAGTTTTACTTAGGAATAAAGATTAATAAATGTTTTAATATAATATTTAGTTATTAAGTGATATGTACAAATAAGAACCTGCTGCTAATTTCTGGTTTTTAGATTTATTAAGAAATAATAAATAATTAATAATTGATTTATTAATAGAATCTTCATATTCTGATGTTAGAAATGCTTTTGCATAATTGATTATTCAATCAGTAACTTTAATTATAAAACATGAATAATATTATTTATTTGAAGATTCATGTATAGGTAGATTCCTTAAATTTTACATATAATCACTTTTAGGGATAGTGAAGAATACTCTAAGAAGAGGAACAGAATACTTTTAAGTGATTAAATATATTTTAGTCAGTAATCAACTTTTAGTGAAACACTTCTATTAGCAAGAATACTTTAAATAAGTTTATTAATTATTATAAGAATAAGTTATATCAGCGTAAATTGGTGCATCATTTAAATCACAATAATAATAAACTAATAACATTGATTAGCCATTGATGGTTATAAGTGATATTATTGCTAAAGTGATAATGAGTTGTAGAACATAAAGTATGATTGAATTAAATGAAGATGCTCCAACATATTTATTCAAAGGATAAAAAGATTTGGATATTGATTAGTATTGGTTAAATAGATTATTGGATAGTGATGATTTCAAAAAGCATATCTTAGTTATGATATAATTCCAGCCTAGTTTAATAGATATGATTAAACACATTTGTTGGAAGGATCAGAATATCAGTTCTCAAGTAATGTTATAAATAGTAATTTAATTCTTGGATTATTTTGTTGATTGGTAATAATTGGAACCTTTTTCATAGACTATTGAGTAGTTGTTCAAAATGAATGATGATTTAGTAGAAAAGCGTTTGTAATGTTTATTATGCGAACCTATAAAGACAACATCATGTGTTAAGGGTTATTCAATATTGAATGCTATTAAATCATAATATGACAAAGATAAGAATTATTGTTTTTGCATGATAGCAATACTTGCAAATTTAGCAACATAAGTTAATTATGTTGGGGAATATTTTAAGAATAATAAAGAAAATTTAGAATTCTTACTTTGGAAGGCTAGAGATCATAAAAATATTATATATGGATTATATTTCCCAAGTATGAAGATCCAAAAGTCTATCCAATAGGTAATTTATTAATAATATTTCTAAGTTATCTGCAATATTTGAGGAGGCTGAAAAACCAACAATATAGATTTGCATTCCAAAATAAAATTAAACAGTTTAAGAGGAACCAGAACCAGAAGACTCAGATATTCAAGTAACTAATCTAATTGAGCAGAATAAGACCAATTATACTTAGACTAAAGAAGATTCTATGGACAATAACACTCCATCTGATAGAGAGAATCCAACTGATGAATTATCAGAATGAATAATAATATATTAATTAAATGGCATCAGCTTTCCCTAAATTACCAGGTTTTGTTCCCACTTAAGAAATAGATGTAACATATACATAATATTAACTAGAAACCAAACTTTAGAAAAGTCTCATCAACTAAACAAGAATAAAATAGAGAAATCAATCATTTATCTAATAAAGAATATGCTGTACCTCGTAAATAACCAATTCAAATACCACCATAAACAGGAATGTTCAATCCTGATTATATGAGTACAACTCATGCAATGCATCTACCTAAAGTAAAATAACAGTTACATCATAGAATTCCAACAATGATTCAGAAGAATTATATTAACCTAGTTGGGTTAAAATGGATAGACATGTTCTAAGATTCAGTGGTTACTTTAAAGAAGCAGTAGTTGAATCTGCACTTGAAAATTATCGTATTCGCAAGATTACAATCTTTTATTATCTTGAAGACCATTCACTTAGTATAACTGAACCTAAATAAGAAAATAGTGGTGTTCCATAAGGAGCATTTCTTAAAAGATAAAAAGTATACTATCTTATATATATTAGGTATTAAGAGCAGATAATTCAAAGACTTTTATACTCCCTGAAGATTTCAGAATCAACTAAGATATCATCATCTTTGGTAAGACTATTCGTCTATATGATTGTGATTAATACACTAGAGAGTTCTATGAAGTATAACTTAAATTCTATATCTCTAGTTATAAGGAATACCATAAGAATAATCATTTGTACCATAATAAGATTCTTTTGAAACTAAAACTACAACTAAATTCATTCCTCAAAAAGATACTGTAATGAAAGATTACTTAGAACATAAGTTAGGAGGGGGTAAAGTTACTTCTTAAAAGTAATTCTTAGAAAATGATAGAAAGGTATCACATTAACATAAAATTATTAGGTCCTTAAATTTTATGTATTTTCAGATATTGATTATATTCTTCACTACTATTTGGCTGATGACACTATCGAAATCAAAGAAATCAATTCAGCAAATTCAGGAAGAGTTCCATTCCCTATGATGTTGAGAAGGTAAAAATTACCAAGAAAATTCTCACTAAATTAACCTGGATAAACATATGCTGAGGATTTCATTAGACCATAAGATATTTAATATGGATAACCTCTTATTATCTATAATCGCAAAGTTCTCATCAATGGATGTGATCAATTTACAAGATAATATTATTAAGAAAAATTCAATGTCGATTTCCCTTTAGGCGGTCAAGAAGAATATGTTCATTAAGAAAGATCAAGTATTTTATTATATATATATATATAATTTAGATATTATAATCCCACCTCATAATGGAATTGGTGATGAACAAGATTCTCTTGGATATATTTATAGATTATAGCCTAAACCTCCCAAGAAGGATTTCTTCAAATGGGTTGATAACCAAGTCAATCTCAGATTCTTGGCTATGTTCAATACTACTAAACCTGAAGATAAGGACAGAGTCTTTGTTATCACATTCTTTTTAAATGACGATAGTCTTTTGATCTATGAACCTACTGTTAGAAATTCAGGTATCTTTAAATATATATAATTTAGGTATTCCTGATGGTAAATTCTTGGAAAAAAGAAAGTATAAGAATGTGAATAATAATAATGAATTTTTTACTCCAGGAGATTTAATTGTAGGTAATGAAGTTTAAATAAATGGATGGAAATTTTAATTATTGGATTGTGATGAATTCACTAAAAAATGGTATTCTGAGAACTTTAAATGAACATATAAATAAATTCATGCCATATTTTATTATTATTATATTCAAACCACTTTGCATTTCATATCTGCCAAATTTCCAATAAAAAACAATACAAATTTCTTATTTTTCTAAAAGAATTATTCAGCACCAGTTTCTCCTCCAAATCCTTATTTCGAACATTTCTTTTTGCTGTATTCTATTTTAATATCCTCATATTATAATAAACATTATTTATTTTAAATATCTAAAGATAATGTAATATGAACTGGTCTTTTTTCTTTTAAAGCTCTAAAATATAATATGAATATTTACTATCTCACAGATTCTCCTATAATCTTGCCTTCTGGTTTTTAAACAGAGAAATTGATTCTACCAGTATTACTTAATCCAAAATAGGCACTACTATTTTATCTATAGAAATAATTATAATTCATTAATTTAGAATGATGAGCAAATCCAACTTGTAATTATTAATTTTAACTAGTATCATATTGTTCAATTTAAATAGTAAATTAATATTTATTTGGATAGGAGAATGTATTTGATGATACAATTACTACTTATTAATCTTATGATGTTATTGTAATGATATTTCCATTTTCGATAGTACTTTTAGTTCCTTATAAACTATAAAATTAAATTGATTTCTCTAAAGATAATAATTTAGGTATCTCTTAAAGTGTTTCCAATATATCATTTTATATTTACTATAATAATTATATGAAAATACATTTAAGTCCTTCTTCTACAACTTTAAGCTTTGTTACAATAAACATTTATATATTGTAAATATTTATTATTTGCTCTATTCAATCTCAGGTTTATTAATTATAGCATTTAATTCTTAATTTAATTTAACTTTGTTTATATCACCATTTTAATAGGTTTAATACAATTTTACTATTTCTTGACAATTTGTAACATTTTTAAGTAAATCAAAAAATTCTATCTCTTTTTATTGTATTTCTTTAGGTGTCAATTGATTATAATAAATTTGTAAGTCTTCTCTAAAATAATTTGATATATAATTAATACTAAAAGGTGTCAAATTTCAACAATATATCATTTTATATTTAAACAAATTCTCTATCCACAACACTAATTAAATCTTATTTACTTCTAAGTTTTGTAACAAAATCAATCACTTTAGAGTTTTCCAATTTAATATTATTCTATAGAATGTATTATATTAATTACATTTAAAATGTCATCTATAAATAGACATTATTCTGGATGATCAGAATGATCTTCAATTAAACATTAAACACAAGCTAAATGTGATTTACATGCTGATTCTAAACAAATCAAATCAATTTATTAATCTTTGTGTTTTGAACAATATTGCATTAAAATTAATATATAATATTTATTTGATTATAATCATCCAAATCAATCATTCATTCATTTTTTTAACCAAATGAATTTCCAGCTCTTATTTTTTTAATTAAAAATGCCAAAGCTATCAACAATTAAATTACACCTACAACAATAAAGGCAATTGAAAGAAATAAATTCTTTCCACCAAATGGTCCTGATGTAGAAAGTACAATATTCTTGGCTCCTGCAAACATTTAAGGATTGTAATTATTTTAAAATTCGAATGTGTAATCTCCTTCTTCTATATCTTATTCTATGCGTCCCCATAATTTTCTAAATGTAGGCAATCCTGCAGTTCTCATCCAAACGATGAAATGTTCATTTTCAGGGTCAATCCATTAAGTACTCTCAGAATTAGGTACTCTTTTATATTTTTTACCTTTATCATTAGGCCAACTGATTCCTGTTTAATTTAAAGCTATATTTTTCCCTGATAAACTTAATGCATAAGTATCATTAAAGAAACTCTTTGCCACTAATCCACAAGGACTGGCAATATCATCTGGTTTACGTTCTGTTGGAACAGGAATATTTTGTTCTGTTATATATACATCCTATTACCATACTTCCAGATCCTTATTGTAAATGATGGGGTCACAATATTTCTCTGCATCTGAAAGTGAAATTTCTTCTCCTGATAATTATGTAGATGATTTTGATTTCACATACCGTCTATGATTTTGATAAAAATTCTCGAGTTCATAATAAAAATAAATGGGTGCTTTCATGTTATCCAATTTCTGAATAAAACTACATTTCTTATTATATTCAACAGGTGAACATTTTTGATCATATTTGTATATTGTGACTTCCTATATGTGATTATTGATCACTGTTATCACTATTCCCAAAGCTACAAAAATCACACCAATTATTGAAAACAATGCTATTGTACTTCCAACTGAAGGTACTGGATGCCATTTCTTAAAGAAAAGCCAATGCAGAAATCCTTTCGAATCACTCATTAATTAATTAAATATCTTTTGATGACTTAGAAATCAGCATTATTATTTACATCAATCCATTAAGTAAGCATCATCCAATAGAATTATTTAAAAAAACAAGCAAAATCTACTATTTATAGTATCAAAGATGAGATTAAATATAGAAAATTAATCTTAAAATTGAAAATGGAATAAGTTCATTATTTATCATATCATTAGTAAATTGATAAAGAGTGAAAATTGATGATACTACATTCAATAATAATTTATATAATAATATCATTTTTATAACATAAGAAGTCCTATATAAGTATTGATGTAAGGAAATATTTAAAATTATAAGTAATATGGCATATACCATTAAGTTTACTACAAAGTTATCAAAGAATGATGTCAAATTTTAAGTGAGAATTATTATTTAAAATATATATAAAAAATAAATAAATGTATGAAAGTAGAAACAATTCAGTTCCTAGATCATTATAATAGTTGCAATACTTGAAATAATTTCATATCATGGATATTACTAATGATAAACAATAGATAACAAATTATCTTGATATTTTAAATTAGGAAACAGATGTATATTATCTATTTGATTCTTTTCATTCTCTTTTGAATTCTGTTAAATAAGCCGAAGAAGCAAAAATTACTAATAAACCTAGATAAAATACTATTGATTGGTGGAAATTAACTAATCAATCTTACAGCTGGGCAGGCTTAAAAAATATCAAAGGAATTACTAACACTCCTTCTAAAATAAGAGTAACTAATGATAGTAGTCATGGCAGATAAATTGGTTAGGTTGAATTGCAGATTTTCAGTGAAAAGGATCTCGAAACTAATAAACAAGATAGAATTCTGCTTAGTGTATATTAACTATAAAATAAGTATTACAAATGTCATATGGGATTTTGCCAGTTATAAAAATTGGAAGGTTAAGTAGTAATCATAAATAAATTATATATAGCCAAATGGTATAGAAAGGTAGGTAATTATTTAGAATTGATACAAGAATTTATTAAATATATCTTAAATGTCTTGTAAGCATCAAGAGTAAAGATCAAAATAAATTCTAGTTAAGGATCTTAAATCAAGTATCTCTAATAATTAGGATTCAAATTATCTTAAACTATTCCATTAATAAATGATCTAAAAATATTTACTTTAATTTTAGACAAATAATGATTCACTATTATTATTTAATATTTCATTATAATATATAATATATATATATATATAAATAATTTATAATGCAACTTCCATAAGTCAAATACAATGCTACATTTATGAGCACTCTAAATATAAAGAATGAAAAATGCATTAATCGATTTATGTATCAAGGCTATGATTGTTTCTTATATGCTTATTTTCTGACTTAGCTGAAAAAATCAAACATTGCACTACTAGCTTAATCAGTCTCTTTTTCAGCCTATCCTTATTATTGTGGTGTATTAACTGATTTCTTATTCTATTTTCTTACTTTTTTTGGTGCATCTTAAGTATCACCTTAATTACCTTATTCAGCTAAAACAATTAAATAAAATATTCATACCTTATGCACCTTAATTTTATATTGATTATTATTATTATCTTGATGCTTTGGCTCTACCACCTCCTCTACGATTGCCACCTTTTTCTCTCTATATAACAACAATTGTAGTTTTCTTATGATAATTATCTTCATAATTAATAGGTATCATATTCTTAAAATCCTAATATGATTTGGCATAAATGGAATCTAATTCTGAAGTATCTGGTTTGAATCTAAGATTAGCATCCAGAAATTGTTGATCAACTTCTTCATCTTCTTAATCTTAATCATATTAATCATATCCACAAACAATTTAATAGTACATACCTTCTTTTAGATATAGTTTAGGATTGAGATGAAACAATCGAAAACAAGGATAAATGCAAAGAAATATATTTGTACCTAAAACTTTATTACATCCTAAACATGAAGCTGTTGTTTTGGATAATATACTCTTACTCAAACACACTTAACATCTTGCATTTCCATTATGTATTGGACAATGATATAATTGATCATTAACTATACCAACTGTTTAATCTGTTTGACAAGATTTATCTACTTAAAGTGAGCCATCTTTTCTCAATAACGGTTTTGGATTCTTATAATCAATAAGTTTATTAATGAGTTATAGAGCTAATTCAGTTTTAAATGTTTTAATTTCTTATTTTTTTAGGATACGTATGTTATGTAAGATGGATTCAATTATAAAAATGAAAATGATCTTAGAATTTGAATTAATTGAAGTATTTTCAGGTTCTGAGGGTTGTATAGCTATTTTCTCCTCAGTGAATTACATTTGTGATAATTCTTATAAGTATTGATTTCTTTACTATAAAGATTGCAATGAAACACAAGTAATCCATTATTGATTCTTATAACATAAATAAATAGGTTCTTTATTTTTAGAAGAGTAAAATACTTATTAATCTCCTGTTGGTGGATGTGGTAATAATGAATGTTACATAAGATCAGTACAAACAAATATCTTCTATTAATATAATTGTAAGACTGATTCAGCATTGAGTAATCCCTGACTATAAACAATGTGTCTTCCTAGATGATAAGGTTCAAACATCATTCTCAGTCTTTTTTGTAAATCTCTATGACTATTTAAATCTAATGTCTTATTAATTGGAGTTGCCCAAAAGAACTACTATAAAATGATTCCAGATTCTTTATCTATTAATTGATACCATTATATTTTTGTTGAATAAATTAGAGTATAGAAATTCGATATTAAAAATAGTTCTTAACCTGGTAATATTAATTTCTTAAATCTATCATTTAATTCTTAAGTAAATTATGGTAGAAATTCTTGTCTAAAGAATGATTGAGCATTGAACTCCAATTTAACTGCTAATTAAGATTCTGTCTATAATTTTGGTTAAATGATTTCCACTCTCTAATCAATATCATCAAATTGTTATTGTGTGATTATAGATTTAATACCACCACCTGCAATCCAATCCTCTCCATAGAAATATTCATTTATATCTGGTAGTCTCATGTATCCCATAATTAATTTGGTTCCTAAATATAACCAGAATTCAGGTTCACTTGTTTAACAAGTTTTCATTAGATCTTTAAATCTAGTTTCACCAAATAAGAGTCTTATCATATCTTATGGATTGTCTTTGTATTCCAACATTCTAAATTAACCAGAAAACTTAGGTGCTATCATATTATTTAATTGAGTAAATAGAGTCCAATCTTAATTTTCTATATCTTATACTATACCATCATCCTCCTAAACTATTTCTTCCAATAAAGCTTGATGTTTCCTCTGTTATTGATTCAATGGCTTATTTTATGGAGGAGGTATAGGTTATTACAATAATTAAGTGATTTTTTATTATTTTTCAACCTAGGAATTGTCATTTTCTCCTACTTCTATAGGAGTCTAATTTTCAATAGGTTTTTTTCTGAAAAATGAGGATGGAGTTGTATCTTCAATCTTTTGCTTTAGAATACTGATATTGGGAGGTGGTTATAATTCATCATCAGAATCGATAACAATAGGGTTCTTATTCTTCTTTGAAGATGAAACTGTGGTTGGGATAGGTTAAGTAAAAGAGAAGAACTCTTTTTAAGGTTTCTTTAATGCAGGTTCAGGTTTAAACATTTATTCAAGCAGAGAAGATTTATCTTCAGAAGTTTTGTTTTCAAAAGGCTTTTAGATATCAGGTTATAATTCTTCAGAGGATCTTTATGAGGGTGGAGGTAAGACAACTTCTTATTTTTCAGAATCATTCTATGAGTTGGCTAAGGGATCATCATTTGATTAAGGAGAAGGAATATTATTTTTTTCATTCTTTGCTGTCTTTTTAGGAGTGGTTTCATCATCATCTTGAATATCATCATCAATAATAATTGAAGTTTGTCTCTTTTTTTTATAAAGTAATTTGCAATCTGCTTCTTAACTCTTTTTATCTTCATCATTACTTTCTAATGCAGCCAATATGACAAGAGAATTAACATCTTACCTAGGATGTATAGGTTAATCATCTTATTACAAAGGTTCTTGGTTTTGAATTGGTTATGGAGATTAATGTTAGAGTTGATTTCTTTATTAGGGATCTTAATTATCTTCTTAGATCAATAATTGTATTATATGATCAACTGTGTTATTAGTTTATTATATTTGATCATGTTTAGGAAGTGGATCAATATTCACATGTTGGGATGATTGATTTTGAATAATGGGTTATGGGATTTAATTCACTAATTCATAGAGGAGTTGAGACTCAAGTTGAGGCTAATTTGATGTTATTTCTGACATTATGTATAATATAATTGAAAAAGAGTGTGGTTTATTTTGTGCTTATATGAAAATTATTTCCTGGATTTTTATTATAATTTAGATGAAGTAATCCTTCTAAATCAAATCTGAAATGTATATAATTAGTATTATTGATAAAGACAGCTTTGTTTTAAGATTGTATTCCTGGGTTCGAGTTCAGTTGGTAAGAGTTCACTAATCAAAAGATTTTTAAGAAATGAATTCGCAATGAAATCAATGAGTACAGTAGGAGTGGCATGTGTAAAAATATAAATGTTTATATTATAAGGAGTCTAAGATAGTTATAATAAATAATCAATAAGTGAAAGTGTAAATGTGGGATACTGCAGGATAAGAGAGATTTAGATCATTAACTAAAAATTATTATAGAGGTTGTGATGCAGTTGTAATAGTATATGATGTTACAAATATGAAGAGTTTTGATCAAATTAATAATTGGATTGCAGATTTTGATGAGTATATCTATAACATCTATAAAAAGCAAATGTGAAAAACCAGCAATCAAAATGTTATTAGGTAATAAAATTGATATGCAAACCAGAGATGTAAGTATTGAATTGGGAATAGCATATTCAAAAAGGAAGAAAATCATATTTGAAGAAGTCTCTGCTAAAGATAATATTAATGTTGAAAATGCTATAATGAGATTAATTGGAATCTTAGTATCACAAACTAAAATAGAATCAGGAGACAAGAATCTTCGTAGAGGATCTATGGCTGAAACAAAATAAACTATTATTGAAGATCCTTTCATTAATAAATCAGCTAGATTATATAAGGATGCATCCATATCTGATCATTCCAAATTATAAGCAATTAAATCAGCTGATGAAAGTTTACAAGAAGATATACAAATAAATAACACATCTAATCATTAATTAACATCTTCTTAAGATAATCATAATAATATGAACCTTAATTCCTAATAACCTACAAATAATATTAAACTAATTCATCCAAGATAATCTGGTATTATAAGGGATGAGTATATTAGAAAACATTCATCTAATTAAAATTGTATGTGTTCTTGTTGAATATTTTATTTATCTCTATTAATTAATTACCAAAAAAGATTTAAAAATTTATTTTAAATATAATGCCAAAGGGATAGACAACTACAACCTAAAAAGCTTAAAAGGCAGCAAAAAATACCAGAGTTGCCAAAAAAGTAGTCAGAGCCAGAAAACATTTCTAAAATAGATTCCATACCACTAAACCATTAGCATTAACTAGAAAACCTAAATTTACCAGATTAACAAGATAATTAAAACCAATCAATAAGGGTTTAGATTTCTAAAATGTCCTTAAACATCCACTCATTACAGAAAAAGATATGAAAAAGATGGAAGATGAAAACACTATGGTCTTCTATGTTAATTCAAAATCAACTAAACCATAAATAAAAAGAGCATTTTCTAAAATTTATGATGTTAAAGTTAGAAAAGTCAATGTATTCAATCTAAGTTTATCATTAGATCTTAAATACATTTGGTGGAAAGAAGAAGGCATACATTAGATTAGGAGGAGAAAATGATGCACTTAATTTGGCCAATAAAATCGGTATCATCTGAGTGACAATTATATTACATAAGTAAAATATATATATATATTCAAATTTATCCAAAATATTTTTATCTATTATGAACCATTCCATTAGAAACATCTACACATTTAGAAAGAAACAAAAAAGCTTCAATAAAACCTTTGCTGCTAAATATATCAAATAATTACTCACTAATACCTAAACACTCTCTACTCCAATTCCTTATTTAAGAATTGAAGAAGAAATCAATGAACATACTAAAATAGAAGAATCCTTAAATATAAAGTAATCAATTGATGATTCCTCATTGCATTCTTCTCATATCATCTAAATTAATCATAACATTAAAAAAAGAGCCAATTTAGATTGTGATAATTATCGCTTGATCTATAGACTTAACTCTAAATCTTGTGTTATTCCCTGTAGAGTTTCCTTAAGAAAATTTAAAATGAACAAATAAGATCTCAAATTTATGGAGGATTTTGATGATCTAAAATCTTAGTTGCAATTTAAATAACCTAATGAAATTGATTTTCTGACTCCCTTCAATGAGTTTTATCAAAAGATAAATGAAATTGTATTGAATCAACTATGAATTTGTTATCATAATATTTACTATTAAAAACTATTATAAAAATTGCGGCTTTTTTGAAAATCAACTATTTATAATTTATAATGCCATTTTGGTTGATTAACTTAGAAACATACATTATGTTAGGTCTTATACCAAAATCCCTCAATCTCTCTCAATAGTTATTATGATTATCTTTTTCATTGTAAACATTCTCACTTTAATAATTAAAGAATCTTAAATTACAAATTATAAATATTGTATCATCTTTACCTTATCTTACTATAATGAAAAAAAGGAAATATTTGTTATTAAAATTAGTAATATTTGATTTTTTCAGTAAACCTTTAATTTATTTTACAATAGAAAAGATTATTATATAAAAGTTTAAATGGCATAATAAAAATAATTAATATCTTAAAACTGGGTAATTTTATTTGAAGACTGTTATAATAAATATATAATTCCACTTTTTTTCAATGACCCATTTTTGTAATGACTTTTTCAATAAAGATTTATCAAATAATAAGACAAATTGAATACTGATTGATATAATAATATTTAATATATCAAACTTGAATATTGCTAAAATCTACTGATTAGACTAATTGTAAAGCCTACTCACTTATGGCTTATTCTCGTTAGAATTCATTCTTTGTATCATTGTAGATCTAAACTTCATCAGCATAGAGATCATTTTCCAATTGAAGTTGTTATTCATATGAAGCTTGATCAGCTGCTCTTTAGTCTCTGAAAGCAGTAACTTAATCAATTTTTTCTATTAAGTTTATAAATTGATATACCTAAAGTTGCAGTTAAATCAACATTTAAAGCATTGATTTGTCTTTAGAATTCAGCATATTCAGCATTCAATTATTCAATTCTGGCTTCAAATTCTTCTTAATCCTAAACTTCTAATAAAGATAGATCATTAATGGAATCAACAATAGCATTTCTAAATTCATTTAAACTATCAACAATTTGACTCAAGACTCCTTAATCTGAGAAGTTTTAATTTGAAGCTAAGGTAATCAAGGCTTTTAAGAAAGGAGCCATCTTGCTTCTAGGTTTGATGCTTGATTCTATCTTTTTGAGTGAATTTTAGAATTTCTTCACTTATGCTAATGATGGATTATTGAGTGTTGATAAAAGTGACAAAGCATCATCTACTGCAGCAGTGGCATCATTTAATTCTGCTACTTAGGCTTCATAAGCTTCATGTTCTTATTCTCTTGTTAAATTCTCTTCATCTACCTTTTATCTATTTTATTCTTAATATTCTTCTAATGTAGCAATTCTTAATTCCAATTATTCTTTTCTTGGAATTAAAAGATTCTCAATAACATCATCTGATCTACTAACATCGATTTATGCTTATTAAATCTATTGATTAAGTTAAACAAGTAATGAATTGTGTTCATTAGTTCTGCGTTAGAAATTGAAATCAAGCAACTCAAGTCCATCTTCTAGATCATTAACAAGTTCTTCAATTGCGTCTAATAACTCTGAAACTGATCCTCCAGCCATTGAATGTAATTCAACTAAATGAAGTAAGGCTCTTCCATAATTTGTCTTTTATAATTCAGATTGCAACTTTTATGGACTTTAACTCCTTAACTTAGCACAAGTTGCCAAAGAAATGAGTAATATTAAGATCACTATTCTCATTTTTTTTAAATATTATTATATTTATCATATACCGTTTTTGATTATATATCTCTGATTATATATCTTTAACAAAATTATTTATCTAAATAAAATGCATCTTAATTATCTTCCTCTCTGTTATCAATCCTTAATTTCTTCATTCCAAAAAAATCATTTTAAATAAAAATTTTCTTGTTATTTAATTTATTAAGTCTCTTTAATAAACTTTAATGATTCCTTTTTTATTTCTGATGAATTTCAATATATTCATAAAACAACTTTTATTTGATAAAATTTTATTAAACTTATATACATCCTTATTTCTATAATAGCCAATTAAAATAAATTAATCATGTAATTGATCTAAATTTATATTGACTCATATTTTTTTTCATTAATAAAAATAAAATATGAGTAATGATTTCCAAGATGATCAAATGGATTAAGAGGATTATTAAATGGATGATTATGATTAAGATTCAAGTTTCATCTACAGTCTTCAAATTCTGAAAAGAAGTTCATCTACAAAGTTTTAATCATTATATTTTAGTTAGGAAATTCTAGAGTTGAAAGATGTATTGAACTATATAGATTAATTAATAACTAATATTGGAGAGCTATTAAATTTGGATGCAGATAATACATATGAAGTATCAATATTTTTAAATTTAGATTTTAATGTTTTATAATTGGAACAAAGATCGTATTGAAAGTGAATATCATGAAAAGATTCTGGAATAATTATAAAAATAAGGAGTAGTTAATAATCATTCTGCAATTTGTTAAATAGATAAAATCATGACCTGTCCATTATGTTTAGAAGATGCTAAATTAGTTAAGTTAGGATGTGGACATTAATTTTGTATGAGCTGCATTTAATAAACTATTGCATAAAGATTTACAAAAGAATAATTTTTGATTATTCCTTGTTTATAATATGGTTGTAAATATAGATTACCAATTTCACTTGTTAAGAAATTATCTAAACCTGATGATTTTCAAAAAATAGTTTGTAGAAAATTTATTGAAACAAATAAAACACTTGCATATTGTCAAGGTGTTAATTGCAAGAAAATCTTAAAGCCAAAAGATTCATCATTAACAACTGTCACATGCCCTTGTGGTACTCAATTTTGTTTTAGATGCAAAAATGAATTACATATACCAGTCCCTTGTGATATGGCTAAAACATGGGTCTCTGAAATCACAAAAAATGAAGCCAACATAAAATGGATTGTACTCAATACAAAAATATGTCCTTTTTGTAAAAGACCTGTTGAACGATCAGATGGATGTAATTACTTAATGTGTAAACCTCCAGGAGGTTGTGGACAAGCATTCTGTTATGTTTGTAGTAATCCTTGGGAACCAGATCATAAAGATCACTTTAAATGCAGCAAATATGTTCCTCCTGCAAATAATTTAGAAAAAGAAAAAGAAATCCTAGCTAGATATAATTTTTATTATGAGAGATTCTTGAATTCAAATTCTGCAGTTGAATAAACATAAAATAGATTGAAATAATTAAAAGAAAAGCATTATTAAGAAATATAAGAAATTTATGAAGTTACTTCTCTTCAAGCAGGTTTTTTGGAAGAAGCACTAAACGAATTAGTGAAATCTAGATAAATTTTAAAATGGTATTAAATTAATTCTATTATTAAGGACCTATTGTCTAGGATTCTTTATATCATAAACTAATCCTAATTCATCCAAATTATTTGATAATTATTAAAAAGAGTTTGAACATTCTTGTGAATAACTAGGAATATTGTGCATGCATCTTTTTAATGAATTAGAGAAAATGCAAAATTAATATACAAGGCAATAAACTACATTAGAATAAAGATAAGGTGATTTTTAAGAAAAAAGAGAAAAAATCTAAAAGTTATAGAACAAATGCCAATTATTAAGAGAAAACTTATTGAAAGATAGCTAAAATGGAGAAATTATGAATTGAGTAAATAAAATCTATACATATTATTAAAGACAAAAAATTGTTTAAATTCTAAATTATCTTTAATATTCTTATTTAACCCTATCTTTAATTAAGATTGAATGAAACTATATTTTATCAAATTATAAAGAAAAATATAATTTTTAAATATTCTATTAATAAATAATATCGATATATAATTTTAATTTATTCTTTATTTAGAAAATTAGCCAAAAATTCAATCATATAACAAATTTAAATTATTTTATAATGAATCTTAGAAAATTGTTAAATATATTCTTCAATAAATTTCTTATATTAATATTTATATATATTTTTAGTTTAGAGTAAAATTATAATTGATGAAATAAAAAGTAATTAACTCATAAATACTAAAAATTCTTTAAGTGATTTGACTATGTTTCATCTTTACATAATCAAAGTAACTTATCGTAAGCTGATTAAAGAAATAATTTTGGCTAATAAGAAAATAAATATTTTAATTTAGTTTAATCAATATTGATTATTATTATATTTTATTAGTAGGTTTAAATTTACTAAATAATATTTAAAATATTTGTTGTTTTTTGTTTTCATTTAATGTGGTAAAATTGAGGATTAGTTTCTTATTATTAGATATTTTATATGGAAATCAGTAAATGTTTATATTTTGAATTAGTTAATTTCTAAAATCAGATAACATAAAATCAATTCATAATTTTTTTTCATTTTTATGAATATAATCATGATTGATGAATTTCTTAAGTTATGTTTAATGAATTTAATAATGAGAAATAATTTGTTTAATACTTGTAAGTAAGATAACTTAAAATACAAAATAGTATATATAATAAATGTTTGAATGTGAAGATTTTAAACTGGAAAGTATTTGTTAGATTGAATGATTAAAATAATAATAGAAAAAATAATCTACATTAAGATATTTTATTATGATTCATTTATTTTCATCATTATAATTTTGAATAATAATATATATTATATATTTTTTGTATTCATAATCCAACCTAATTTAATATTTATTAATAATTAAATATAAATAAAAGATTTTGTGTATGTATATTTATATAAAACAAAAATTATTATTTGAAATAAATTCTTGATTTTAATAGATAATAATAATAAAATATCAACAATATGTTAATTTAATTTATAAATAATCAGATATTTTCATGATTGATTAAATATAATATTAAAATATTGAATTAATTTATAAATGATAAGTAATTTTATAATAAAGTCAATAAAACATAAAAATATTGCATTAATTTATAAATGACAGAATGAATATAATTTAATATTTAATAACATAATCAATTGAAATCAGTTACATTATTATATTAAAAATCTGTTTAGATTAGATTTATAATTAATATTATCTATTTTTATAAAAATATTTCTTAAATGAAATCAAATATATAAAAGTAAATGATAATATTAAATATATATATAATATAATCATAAATATTTATATATATTAATTTATTTTTTATTTAATTAATAAAAGTCAGTTTAGTCTGTTTTAAAATATACAAAAAAATCAGATTCTAAAAGCAACTAAAAATTATTTGTTAATATTTTTTTGAAGAGTTTATCAAGTAAACTAATCGTTTCTTTTGAAATTTACATTTTATCAAACTAAAATCAGTTATCCATAGAATCAGATACATTAAATTGTATAAAGTGAAATAAAGAGTATAAATGCATTAATAATGGTTTAGATATATGCAATTTATTTGTAAAGAAAAAATGAGTAATATAATTAAAAAAGTAACTTATTTAGAAAATAACATATGCTAATGATGCCTAAATGAAATATTAATTGTAATATTTAAAACTTATGTTTGAAATAGCATTTTAATATTAATTCAAAATTTTCTTTATATGAACTATCATTAGAACAAGAGTTTTAACATAATAAAAAAATTAAATTCCAGTGTTCATTTAAATATGGTCAGATGATAAATATTGAGATTAAATGGAATAATTGACTTGGAGGGTTTTATTAATTATAGATATAACATGAAAATCATAATTTTTAAATATTAAATGTTTTTTCTGTACATATTCAGCATACTGTCGTTAAAGTAGAAGTTATTTTTATTAGAAGTTTTTAAAATGGAAGTTCCTCTTGTGGTGTTTTCAATGTAGTAACATCACCTGAAAATGAAGAAAGGACGATATTCTAAGATCTTTCAGATGAAATAAATAAGGACTATTCATGGGGGGTTTGGACAAGATATATGCCAAAATATGAGCCAATTGAGGACTTGGCTTAGAAAACAAAAATGATGCATGTATTATCGGAAAGTTTAGATAAAAGAAATCATTTAGTTTATTATATAGTTTTAGATCGAGAGGAATTAAATATGTATCATAAGTTATTCATCTATCTTAATAATTATGTTGAAATAAGAGAATTGAAAGTTAATCAGGAGTTAATACAAGATAATTGGGTTTTTTTCTATTTTTGTTATTCATCAAGTTCGTAAATTTATAATATATTTCTCTACATTAATGGAAATAGAGAAAATGTGCAAATGATATAAGGAGGGCCATATAAAATAGAAAATGAAGGGCTAAAAATATACTAATTAGGAGGTAATCAAACAATCCGTTATTAAAATACTTTGTTGCAAGAAACAATAATTTTTTTGAGTCCTTTTTCAGGAGAAATATCAGATATGGACTTAAGAATTGGAACATTAAATATATATGATGATATCACTACTTTCTTATTAAATATTGATGATGCAAATTGTGTAATTTTGTTATGTAAAAATGTGATGACAAATGAGTTGGTATTATAAAAATAATATCTGGGAGACTTTGATAGATTGTAATTATATTATGCTGATAGTAAATTTATGATTTATGGATGGGTTAAATTAAATGAATTAGAAGATGTAAAAAATATAAGTTAATTTATTAGTTATCCACTGTAAAATCAGTTTTAATGAGAGCTAGTTTAAGAAGAACTTATTTTGATGATCTTTATCAAGGTGATAGAGCTTTTTATTGGGAATATCTGTAAAGCAATTAAAATAATGAATAAAACGGATTTTCTGTAACTACTTATCATAATGATCCAACTAAACCACTTTCTTAATATAAATCTCTTGATACAGACTCATGGGTATTAACAGGAGCATAATATTAATCAGCTATTACATTTTGGCATTGGTTTGTCTATTAAGAAGGAGTTAATGATGTTAACAATATTAGGTTATCTATTTATTTTGGTTAAAGTAAAAAGACTTAAATTTTATAAATGAGACAAATTCATTTTGAAAAGTCTTCATTATACTTTACAATAGGTGGTGATAAGTTCAATAAGAATTTTAGAGGAGAAGTTCGTAATCTAACATTTTATTATTGTTTTACTTAAGATACACCTAAAACTAAAAGTAAAATAATTTATATATTTATTAACTAGTATGTCATTATAGTTGTAAAAGCTGTTTTGGACCTGAATAAAGTTAATGTCTTGAGTGTGATGAGTCTGATTCATAAAAAAGAACATTAAATTAAGGATCTTGTAAATGTCAATCAGGATATATTGATAATAAAGATAAAGGATGCTAACGTAATTGTTTATTTTTAATTATAAGCTATATCTTCACTTGTTACAATTGAGATTTAAGAAGCATTAGATGTTGATGATTCAAATTGTAAGTTAGGAGAATTCTTAGTTTTATTATATGGGAAGTCATATTGTTTAACATGTCCTGGTTAATATACTGCTTGGAGTTTAAATTGTGTTGAGTGTATAGCTGATCCATTACATTGGTATTTAAATCCAATTTGTAAAAGTGATTACTTTTAACCATTATAAGATGATAGCAATTATGTTTTTTTAGAAACATAACGTAATGAGATAGATTATTAATATTATTTGATAAATTAATTTGATTTATTGGAATCACCAATAGTGGAACTTTGTTCTGGATGTTCAGGATAAACAAATAATAATTTTAATTTTATTGAAAACTATTAATTAAATATACTTTCTAGATTTGCATGTAAGACTTGTTATTCTGTTATTAATGGTGAATGCATTAATGTTAATAAAGACTGTATTCGTTGTGATATTTCTGCTATTTGTTTAGAATGTTTAAGTAATTATACATTATATGATGGATAATGTTATGAATGTCCAAATTATTGTCCAAATTGCAAAAAGAATAATACAGATATTTATTGTTAGAATTGTATATCTGGTTATTTTTATAATTCTACTTCTGAATAATGTATTTAATGCGGTTAATATTGTTCTGTGTGCATATATAATGAAATATTACCATATTTATAATGTGTTCGATGTATTGATGATAAATAATATTTTATATCTGCTGACAGATAAATGTGTAGATTGAAAAATATAGAACATTGTGATATTTAAGGAGAAGAATTTATAATATAAGATACACTTAATTTTACTATAAAAGATAGGAATATTCCATATGCATCAACAATTGATATTGATACCAATTATACTACTTAACCTACATTCTAAGTTTGTATATTATGTGAAGATTAATATGTGAATAAATTAGCTTTATATTCATCAAATGAATGTGTTCATGCAAGTGATACAATTAAATTACCAGGTTTAAGAGATGAACTCAAATAATTAGTATTAGAATCTTAGAATTATTCATACTAATTATCATTTTCTAATTGGGCTAGTCCAACCACAAATTATACTGTAATTTATGGTAAACCAACTAAACTTTGGATTAGTAATAATTCTAATTTATCATCTTAAGTTTATTACAATTTTAGTAGTGTTGTACTTTCAAATAATTATAATTATGAGGATCCTACACTAAAATGTATAGATCCACATTGTATAGATTGTATAAAAAATTATATATGGTCATAAGAGTTTTGTATAAAATGTCAAAATGGATATTATTCAAGTGCTTTTACAGGAATTTGTTATGTATGTCCAGAAGATTGCTAAGATTGTTTATAATAGCATATTGTTTATTAAGATGCTTGGAAATGGTAAATAATCCCATATTATCAATATCGAAGTAATATATTCTTTGGGTTTCATTACTATAGTTATTATTGCACTTCTACAGATAATAAAATGTATGATTAAGTATGTACTAAATGTAAAGGCAAAGATGCTTTAAAGGATGGTAAATGTTATAAACATTGCAATTGTGATGAATGTATATTCTAAAATGGTTAGAATAAATGTTTAAGATGCAAAGACTCTAAGACATATATAGATGGTTAATGTGTATAATGTCCTAATTATTGTGATGTTTGTAAACAATTAACAAATTCAGAAATCACTGAAATTAATCCATATTTTGATCCAATTGATACATCTTTGTATAAATATGCTAAATAATGTTTAAAGAAATAAAGTAATCCTCCTGAAAAGGGTTTTATTTATCATGATTCTAATTTAGGATTGGAAGTCAATTGTTTAAATGATGATTAATTACCATGCTATAAATATGCTGAAAAGATATTAAATTTATATTGTAGTTAAGAGAGTTTTGATATGGATTTTGTAACAATTACTAATGAAAATGATAAATTAATATTTCAAGATTAAAATATTCTTTTAAATGAAATATTCTCATAATAACCTTCAACACATTTTCCAAATTAAGAAAATGATTACTTAATTGAATTATTTAATTAGAAAAGTGTTAAACTTATGAGATACATACTTAAAATTAAACCAAATTCTGGAGAATGTAAAATTGACAATAATACATTTGTTTATTCCAAATTAAGAAAGAATGTATTTATGCTTCAATCTTTAGAATTGACTTTTGAATCAACTCATGATATTCCTATCTATTTTGGTAATAATGTTACATTTTAATAATTTACTTAAATTACTTTCAAAAATATACTCTTAGATTCTCTTTCAGGATCTGTTAAAATTTATTTTACAAATAATTAAGATATATTATTTACTTTAAATTAAATTATTGTATCAAATGGAAATAATTTAAAATTATAATTTATAATAGAAAATCCAAAATCAATTGTTCTTAAATAAGTTACATTGAAAAATACAGAACTTGTAAATGTAGATGGATTTATAAATTATTATTTCACAAAACCTAAATTAGATAATAAATTGATTATTTCTGTAAATAACCTTGTAATTTAGAATTCATAAATAATTAATTCCCATTTCTTAATTCAAATCTTAAATACTAATTATGGGAATTAATAATTAATTATTAATGATTTTAAATCTTTAAATAATGAACTTATTAATTCAGAGATTATATATACAGATTTTTAAAATTAAATAAGATAATCTGAAATTATCATTGAAAATTTCCTTTCAGATGGAGACAAATTAACATATTCAAGTTTCTTTGTATTAAATGGAGCTTTAAATGTATTATTCAATGGAACAACAATCTAAAATGGAAATTATTATTAATAAGCTATATTATTCAAATTGCCATTGTTCATGATTTACAATTTTTATATCTTGAATAATTATTTTCACAGTTCTGATAATCGTGTATTAACCAATATTTTAGATTCATTATATGCTGATAATATATAAAATAATACAGTTGTAATGAAATCTCTTGATTTTTCAAAAAACTTTTATGTAGGAAATAATGTTTTTATGGAATTGATGAGTAGTGATAATTTTATTAATTTACATGTGGAAATTGATCAACTAAGTTTAAATTCAAATTAATATTAATTTTCTGGTAAAAATAGATCACCTATTACTGCATCTAATGCTTCAATTTATTTAGATGTAAAGTAATTCTTATTAAAAAATACAAAGATCATTCGTTCATATACTTTACCTGAGTTCTCAATAAATAATGCAGATGTAGTAACAGTAATTAATTTTAATGTTACTTCTAATATTAAATCTCTATTTAAACCTATTCATATTTAATCATCTTGCATAGGTTCAAATTTAGAATATGGATATGGAAGCATTATTCAATTTTACAATATTAAATATATCAATTTTGAACATTGTGTTTTGTAAAGTTTGATATCATTCAATTCCCCTTTATTAATAATAAAATCTTTAGAAAGAACTAATTTTAGAATATAAGAATTTATAGATATTATAGATCATATCTATCTTAATAATAGTTTAATAACAACTAGTTAATCTGAATAATTAGGAATCTTAAGTATTATTTCTGAATAAGAGTAAAGTATTAATCTGAATAAAATTACAGCATAGAATAATATGTTACATTGTTATTAAAATGATTTATAATCAAGATAAACATCAACAATCTTAATTGTAAATCCATATTCTAAAGTAATTCTAGAAAATTCAATTCTTTCTGAGAATATTGTAACTGAAAGTTTTGGCTCCAATTTAGTAATAATGAGTAAATCTTTATTAATATAAAATACTCAATTTTATGATTAGAATATTTTGAAATATAAAAATTTGAGAAACAGATTAATATGGGGTTATTCAGATGATGAAAATATATATTTTGAAAATTTGAAGAATGAATTCCCAATAAAATCAAAAGGGGGTAATGCATTTTTATCTGCTGAAGACATCTAATTATTGAATGTTAGTACAAATAATTCTATGGCATTATAAGGTGGTGCTTTTTATTTATTTACTGTATCAAATGGAGTAGTAAATATTATAAATTCAACATTTATTCAAAGTTAATCTAATTTAATATTCAATGATAAATCTTAAGGGGGTACTTTATTTGTAGATGCATCTTAATCAATGTTATAGTTTTAATTATATAATTGTTTAATTTCTGGCAGTTCAAGTAGAAGAGAAGGAGGAGTACTGTTTATTGAACCTTCTAGAGATTCAAATACAATCATATTAGAATCTAATATTGTAAAAGAAATCTATTCTCTTTATTATTCTTTTCTCAAATTACCAATTTAATTTACAAGTAAGACTCTTATACTTAATATTCAAATTGTTAATTTAACAGTAACTAATTCTGATTAAGGATATTATTAATTTTATGGATAAGTACTTGAATTATCTAAAAATGAAATTTTAAGTTAAGGGTAGAATTCTTTAATCTCTGTTGAAGGTGGTAATATACATTTAGAAGATGTGTATTTTAGTAACATCTTTTAATTTGGTATAATACATATATAGAATGCTAATTAGATATCAATGATTAATGTTGGTATATAATATATCACATTAATAAATGATAATTTAATATTAATTAATTTGAATAAAAGTAAATTATATCTTATATATTATTTAAGAATATTAATCTTCCATAAAATTTACAAATGTTAAATTAGAATCTATTAATTAATATATCAAATCATTATCAAAACCAGATAGGCCATATAATTCATTAAATGATTATATCTATAAATGTTTCAAGAATTTGAATGCTCCAAATTAGATTTTAGAATTTTACGATTCAAAATATTTAGAACTTCAATCAAGTAACAATATATATAATATAATTACATCAAATCCAAAACCTAAATTTGTAATTGGAATTGATTAAGTATCTAAAAATCATAAATTGTATTTTTATTAATTGAAGTTAAATTCAATTATTTGTTAAAGTTGTAATGAAGGAATCTTCAAAATTACAAACATAGATGAAGTTCAAAATCAAACATTAATTTAATTTAAATCAATAAGTGTATTTGATAATTAATGTGGATAATTAGGTTGCATATTTTTAAGTAGTTCAGATAAAAGTCAAATAGACTTATTTTCCTCAGAAACAAATCATAGATAATTAGCAGATTCCTCTTAATTAAGTTAATTAATGGCTTTAGTAATTAAAATTGAAGACAGTAAATTTGATAACAATTAAGCCTCATTTGGAGGTGCATTGTTGATTTCAGGAGTAAGTACAAATATCAATAATTGCTAATTTACAAACAATTATGCAAATAACACTGGTGGAAGTATATACTTTGATTATAAAACAAATACAGAGTTTTTAATTTTTAATTCTTTATTTGCAGATAATTCAGCAAATATTGGTGGAGCTGTGTTTATAGGAAATTATTCCATTAATTCACCATCTATTTTGAATAATGCATTTTTTAATAATAAAGCATACCTTTTTGGAGAGAATCAAGCAGATCAACCAATTAGATTAGTATTATAAATTGGAGATAAAATTTTAGAAACTGATAATTTTATTTCTGATAAAAATAATATTACTGATATTGTTAAGATTGACTCTTATTAAATTGGAAAAACTGATTATAAATATATAATGATTCCTAGTGGTCAAAAAATAAGTGAATATTAAATTTATGATGAAACATAATAAGCATTTATTCCCTATAATTTTACATTTAGAATTATTGCAATTAATAAAGAAAATGGACCAGTCAAAGTATTGGATGGTAGCAAATGTACTATATAAGGAAGATAAATTTTAAATGATTTAAAAGGACCATTTTATTCTAATTATACAAATTTTCCAGATGTTAGTTTTAATTCAACCAGCCAAGATTATAATTTAGACTAAATGATTGTTACATTTGAACCTGATTTAAATGCTTTAGGATATCTTTAATTAGAAATTATATGTGATTCTGTTAAAATACCTCAGTTTTCTTAAGATCCTCCATATAAATTCAAGAATTTCTTTACTAATTATAGATTATGGATTAATTTATAAACATTTTAATGTTAAAGAGGTGAATATAAGACAGATGATGGAAAATGTAAGCTGTGTGATTCAACATAAGATTAATATACAGTAATTGCTGGTGAAAGATGTTAGATTAAAGATTAAATTAGAATGGAGAAAGTAACTCCAGCAAGAATTATGTTAAGGCCAGAATATTGGAGACCTTCAGAAAGTAATGAAATGATTGAATATTGTTTGAATTTACCTGAAAATTGTGTTGGAGGTTGGGATCCTGGAGATGAACTTTGTGATTTTGCTCATATTGGAGCTCTTTGTGAATAATGTGATATTTATAATATTAGAGGTTAAGGATCATACTCTATTAGTTCATAGTATAAATGTGGAAGTTGTAATGATATTGGAGATAACACATTAAAAATTATATTAATTAGTGTTTGGACAATGATTTCTATATTCTTATCAGTTAAAGGAACAATCTAAGGAGTAGAAAAAATGGTAGCATAAAGCAAATTGTTCAGATTTAAATCACATTAATATGATTAAAAAGCAGGACATGGAGGAGTTTTAATTAAAGTTTTAACTAATTATCTCTAAATCATAGGAGCAGTTGCTCTGTTTCAACTCAAATTACCAAGTGCTTTATAATCTACAATAAGATCAGTAGGAAATCCTGTTGAAGCTATGAGCTTTTCTTTAGATTGTTTTTTAGCCAATATTACAGATATCAATATCATATATTTTAGAATGATTTGGGCCTTGATTATGCCTATCATTTATATTTTGACCTTTATATTGTTATATGTCTTAGCTGTACTTTTTCATATTACTTCATCTAATAAAAGTGCTATAACTACAACTGCAATCTACTTATTTACTTACTTATAGCCTACCTTACTAGGTGGATTTATTTCCTTATTATCTTTTCGTAGTATATCCGGAATTTATTGGGTTTAGGGTAATGTAGCTTATAAGTATGTCACTTAATAACATATAAAGTGGGTTACAGGGTTTGTTCTTCCCTCTGCATTGATATTAGGATTGTTTATTCCAATATATATGCTTTTAGGTTTATATAGATAGAGATTTAAATTAGAGGATGAGAATACAAGAAAAAATTGGGGTTATTTGTATAATGAATATCAGCATAAGGCTTATTTTTGGGAAATAATTAAGATCTTTTAAAAAGGATTTATGATTGTTTTTTTAACCTTTTATGAAGATTAAATTATTATTAAAGGAGCTTTGATATTTATGATAGTTTTTGTTTATTAATTGTTGACAAAGAAATTGAAACCATATAAATTATTATCATTAAATGTTTTAGATGAAGCATTGACTTTAGTTTGTGGTACTTCAATAGTTATGGGAATGACAATCTATTAAGCTAATAAATCAGATAACCAAGAGATTATATGGCCATTTTACATTTTATTAATTGTAATTAATGCAATCTTTATTTTTATCATTGTTTGGTAAATCTTATGGGCTCAATTAGAGGACCATTAAGATAAATTGGATAAAATTAGGGATAAAATCAATAAAAAATTCCCTAACTTAGTTAATAAAAATATCTTTTTGAATAGACTTTTGACAAATAGAGGTCAATAATAAGAAAGAGTTAAGAAAAGATACTAGAAAATTAAAACTTATTTATTGAACATTGTTCATCAACATCCTGGATTTTATAATTAACCAATTTAAGCAACTTCACTTAAAGGAGATGACAAATTTTCATCATCTGAAATTATATTCTACCATAATTTTCCAGGATATCCTATGACATCTAATAAAATATATCCAGCCTTAAATTAAGCTTTAAGTTCTAAAAGTTCATCATCAATTAAATAACATGAAGATTTCTGATAGAAAGACAATTGATAATAAATAAATATATAATTCATAAAAATAAAGTTTCATTGTTTTTTATATAATAGGGCATAATCTATGCAATTCTTTGGAGCCATGCATGATTGTATGCTTGTTATGCAGTATATCGATCTCGAGAAAGTCGTTTCATAAGATTTTCAATGAAATCCCTTAAATCTCTTGATGCTGTATATGGAATCATGAAACAAGCCTAAGATTATATAAAAAAAGCTTACTGTTTTCATTAATTCTTATTAATTCTCTTTCCAAGGAGGTTTACCAAAACATAATTCATAAGTTAACACTCCTAATCCCCATATATCACTCTTCTTATCATAGGTTTCTCCTTCTAATATTTAAGGGGAAGCATATATAATAGTTCCACATTATGTTTATCTATCTTCGTCAGGAGAATATACACAAAAGGAGAAATCAGCTAATTTAACCAATCCAAAACTTAAAAGAATGTTATCAGGTTTGATGTCTCGATGAATTACATCTTAATTATGAATGTACATTAATGCAAAAGTAATTTGTTATACATATTAAGCTGCTATTCTCTCTTAAAACTTTTTCATAGGTTACATTTGTTAAAGAGTATTTAATTGTCCATGTGAACAATATTCTAAGACCAGTACAATTTCAGTAGCTACAATATTTAGGATGATTTACGAGTCTAGAAAAAAGTATATAATTTAGTAATATTTGGATGTTCGAGAAGATATTGTATTTTGATTTCCCAAGCTAATTAGGCTTGCATATTCTCTTTAATAATTTAAGATTTTTGAATCACTTTCAAGGCAACCAAAAAACCTGTTTATGTATGTTTTGCAAGAAACACTTCACTGTATTGTCCATCTCCTAGTTTTTTGATGATTGTAAAATTCTTATATTTTTCTTTTGGTTTTTCTGGTTATTTCATTGGAAAATTTGTTTAACTAACAGGAGTTGAAACTTATTTCTTCGTGTTTAATAAACTCTATACTTTTGTATATTATTCTCTAACATCAGACATTAAGGGAATTAGAGGGATTACAGGAGGGATATCTGATTAAAAGGATTATGATTCCACTTTTTTTGGAGATTAGTATTCTTATTTAGATTTCAAAGTAGGTTAAATGACCATGGATTTCTATGGAAGGATTAAAGGTGAATTGCCTATATTTTTTAAATCTGTATCAGTTTTAATTGAATTGGTTTATTAAGTTTGATACTTATTTTATGGTTCCAATTACACAGATGCATAATTATTCCTTGATTTTGAGAGCACTGAATCAACATATGACATTATATTGCTGTTATGCATTGAAGAATTGGGTAATCTTGAATATGGTCTATATGGCTGATAAGGATAATTCATTTAATTTAATTACGCATCTATTATGTTTATAAAATATATATAACTCATAATAGCTTTATTGTTAATATATCACATTTTGTTATAGAATAATTGCTAAATTTAAATGTTCTCTCCTTTTTTTATAATATATTTATAGTATTTTATAATCAAATGATCTTAAATGGAAACTTGTTAGCTAAAGAAACTATCTCTAGAATTGTCTAGTTAATAAATTATCACACCTTAAGTATTTAATAATAAAATTAAGGAACACTCTGCTATAATGAGACCTGGTTTAGCCATTATACAGGTTGGAAACAATCCATCTTCTTTAACATATGTTCGTAAGAAAATTGCTCTTTGTGAGGAAAATTAAATATATCATGAACTCTATCATTTTCCAGAGAGTATATCTCAAAAAGAAATCATCCATCAAATTAGAACTTTAAATTAATAAGGATCAATTGATGGAATTCTTGTTCAAGTATATCATCTAATTATTAAAAGCTTCCATTACCTTCTCATTTATCAAGGTTAGAAATCTCTAATGAAATAAAACTAAGTAAAGATGTAGATTGTTTACACATGGCCAATTTTCAAAATCTTCTTTAAAATGGAGAGGATAATGACATAATACCATGTACACCAGCTGCAGTACTTCATATATTGGACACATAGGAAATAGATGTGAGGAATTAGAATATTACTGTAATTGGTAGAAGTCAGTTAGTTGGATTCCCATTATCTGTACTTTTACTTAAAAGAAATGCAAGAGTCACTATCTGCCACTCTGAAACAACTGTTCAAGAACATGTAGAAAAAGTATATATATTATTTAATCATTCTATAGGCTGACATTGTGATTTCATGTGCAGGTCATAAAGAATTAGTCAAAGGAGAATGGATCAAAAATGGGGCCAAAGTTATTGATGTTGGAATTACTAGAATTCCTGGAACTAATAAGATTGTTGGTGATATTGAATTCAACAAAGTTTTAATAACTTTCTATTCTAGGCTCTTCCTAGAGTTAGTTTCATCACTCCTGTTCCTGGAGGAGTTGGCCCTTTGACTGTATCCATGTTATTTAAAAATCTTTATCGAGTTTGGTGTCGATCTAATGGATTAAAAGCCAATATAGATGAATTGGATGATGAATTAGATTATGCTTAAAATTACTAATTCTGATTTATTTTATAATTTAATCACTATTAAATTAATATCATTTACTATTTTAAATAAACATCAATTATCTTTCAATCGCTTAATAATTCTAAATATGTGAATTTTCATTAACTATATTGATATAAATTTGATTCAATCATTGTTAATATAAATATAAAAGAATTAGATTATTATTTATTTGATTCACTTTTTTTATAGACAAAAGAAGTAATTATTAAAATATAAACTTTATTCTTAATTGTCTGATTAATAAGATAAAATTGATAAAATTAGTTTACAAGATCTCAATTAATATGGAGAGGAGATAAAAGAAATATAATGATTATTAATTATTAATAATGATTTATTGCATTAACTCATGCTTTAGCAATTCTTCCATTTAAGAAATCTAAGAATGGTGGAGTTGAAACCACTTACAATGCTTTAGCTAAGACTGCTAATTCTTATTAGACAGATGACTATATAAATTTGATATGAATACCACAATATCATCATGTATTTTAAGATTGGCTGAATAATTATTATTTTCAGTTCTTAATCTATCTTAATAAGCTTTAAGATCAGCTTCTCTAGTTGATATCATAGTTTGAACATCAGATATTCTAACAGTTTTATCTTCTCTTTCTTAATAGAAATCAGCATATTATTAATCAAATACTGCTTTTTCAGATGTTAATTATTATCTTCTTAATTCATCTTATTATTTTTAACTGTCTTCATCTTTATAAGCTTTAGTTAATGCATCAAAGATATTCAATCTTAAACTATTTAAGAAATCACACATTTCCTTTAAAACTTATCTATCTTTGAAATTGAATCCTTCAGTTAAATTAGTTAATGCTTAAATAAATGAAGAATATTAATGACCAAAATTTTCAGTATTAGCTTTGACTTATCTTAATGCTTTATTAACTTTATGTTTTTATTCATCTGTAATTTCAATGAATGCAGCTCTAACTTCACCACTTTTAAATAAATCACTTAATAAATCTAATGCTTCATCAATATTTCTTAATGCATCAGTAAATTCAGTTGTTGTTAATACAAATGAATCATGTTATGAATTTCTAGCAGCTTCAGCTTCTTTAAATGATTATGCATTATCTGTTTATTTAGCTTTAAGTCCTAATAAGATCTATTAATTTGTTTAAGATTATAATAAATACATCATCTAATTCATGAAGTCTTGGAATCAATTCAGAATTTAATACTTTCTTTTCTCTATTAATATCAAATTCAGCTTAATTAGCTTATGAACTAAGTGAAATAACTTTAGCATTATGTTCACTTTCAACAACTTCCCATTGTGTATTTTCCAAATTCAATCTCTCTTCAATTTAACGACCAAAGGCTTTGACTCCTTCTACTAATGAATCAACAGCTCCAGTAACTCTCATAGTAACTTCAGCTAAATCAATAACCATATGTCCAATTTTTGATTATGTTAATTCATCTATTGAAGATTACAGTCCTGGATTAACATATGAATCCATAACACCTTAATTACTATATTAGTTAACTATTCAATATCTTACTTTGTAACTGTAGTTGCTGAAACTAACAATAATAGCATTGCTAAACTATATAATCTTTTCATTTAATTCGTTTTTGTAATTAATGATTAAAATAAATGTTCATTAATACAACTTCTACTTTATTTCAAATCCCTAGTAAAATAATTGATCTGAATGGTTTTAGTGTAGTATTTTGAGTTGAATTGCACTTTGAATTCTCTATTGACTAATTTAATTGATACCAATACTTATATTGGACTTAAAGAAGTCAAATAGAAAGAAGATTATTAATNTTACCACAATATCATCATGTATTTTAAGATTGGCTGAATAATTATTATTTTCAGTTCTTAATCTATCTTAATAAGCTTTAAGATCAGCTTCTCTAGTTGATATCATAGTTTGAACATCAGATATTCTAACAGTTTTATCTTCTCTTTCTTAATAGAAATCAGCATATTATTAATCAAATACTGCTTTTTCAGATGTTAATTATTATCTTCTTAATTCATCTTATTATTTTTAACTGTCTTCATCTTTATAAGCTTTAGTTAATGCATCAAAGATATTCAATCTTAAACTATTTAAGAAATCACACATTTCCTTTAAAACTTATCTATCTTTGAAATTGAATCCTTCAGTTAAATTAGTTAATGCTTAAATAAATGAAGAATATTAATGACCAAAATTTTCAGTATTAGCTTTGACTTATCTTAATGCTTTATTAACTTTATGTTTTTATTCATCAGTAACTTCAATGAATGCAGCTCTAACTTCACCACTTTTAAATAAATCACTTAATAAATCTAATGCTTCATCAATATTTCTTAATGCATCAGTAAATTCAGTTGTTGTTAATACAAATGAATCATGTTATGAATTTCTAGCAGCTTCAGCTTCTTTAAATGATTATGCATTATCTGTTTATTTAGCTTTAAGTCCTAATAAGATCTATTAATTTGTTTAAGATTATAATAAATACATCATCTAATTCATGAAGTCTTGGAATCAATTCAGAATTTAATACTTTCTTTTCTCTATTAATATCAAATTCAGCTTAATTAGCTTATGAACTAAGTGAAATAACTTTAGCATTATGTTCACTTTCAACAACTTCCCATTGTGTATTTTCCAAATTCAATCTCTCTTCAATTTAACGACCAAAGGCTTTGACTCCTTCTACTAATGAATCAACAGCTCCAGTAACTCTCATAGTAACTTCAGCTAAATCAATAACCATATGTCCAATTTTTGATTATGTTAATTCATCTATTGAAGATTACAGTCCTGGATTAACATATGAATCCATAACACCTTAATTACTATATTAGTTAACTATTCAATATCTTACTTTGTAACTGTAGTTGCTGAAACTAACAATAATAGCATTGCTAAACTATATAATCTTTTCATTTAATTCGTTTTTGTAATTAATGATTAAAATAAATGTTCATTAATACAACTTCTACTTTATTTCAAATCCCTAGTAAAATAATTGATCTGAATGGTTTTAGTGTAGTATTTTGAGTTGAATTGCACTTTGAATTCTCTATTGACTAATTTAATTGATACCAATACTTATATTGGACTTAAAGAAGTCAAATAGAAAGAAGATTATTAATTAATATAGAATTATTAATAATTGTATGATTTTATATAGATTGTATAATTTTATCTTATAAATAACTATTAAATTTCCATATAAAAGATATCAGTAAATAATCTCTTCTTATTTATATATCTTTAATTTTTATTTTACATAATAGCTTCAATAATGTCAATATTATCATTATGAAATTATATTCATTTTATTAAATTCATATAGAGGCACAAAACCAAATTTCGAATACCATAAGAAATCATTTTATCATAAAAAATTTATTTTTTATATGTTATTTAATTTTATTTATTCTAATGATATAAATGTTTTAATTTAGTATCATATTCATTTGATTTAATAAAATATAAGTTAANTTCAATGAATGCAGCTCTAACTTCACCACTTTTAAATAAATCACTTAATAAATCTAATGCTTCATCAATATTTCTTAATGCATCAGTAAATTCAGTTGTTGTTAATACAAATGAATCATGTTATGAATTTCTAGCAGCTTCAGCTTCTTTAAATGATTATGCATTATCTGTTTATTTAGCTTTAAGTCCTAATAAGATCTATTAATTTGTTTAAGATTATAATAAATACATCATCTAATTCATGAAGTCTTGGAATCAATTCAGAATTTAATACTTTCTTTTCTCTATTAATATCAAATTCAGCTTAATTAGCTTATGAACTAAGTGAAATAACTTTAGCATTATGTTCACTTTCAACAACTTCCCATTGTGTATTTTCCAAATTCAATCTCTCTTCAATTTAACGACCAAAGGCTTTGACTCCTTCTACTAATGAATCAACAGCTCCAGTAACTCTCATAGTAACTTCAGCTAAATCAATAACCATATGTCCAATTTTTGATTATGTTAATTCATCTATTGAAGATTACAGTCCTGGATTAACATATGAATCCATAACACCTTAATTACTATATTAGTTAACTATTCAATATCTTACTTTGTAACTGTAGTTGCTGAAACTAACAATAATAGCATTGCTAAACTATATAATCTTTTCATTTAATTCGTTTTTGTAATTAATGATTAAAATAAATGTTCATTAATACAACTTCTACTTTATTTCAAATCCCTAGTAAAATAATTGATCTGAATGGTTTTAGTGTAGTATTTTGAGTTGAATTGCACTTTGAATTCTCTATTGACTAATTTAATTGATACCAATACTTATATTGGACTTAAAGAAGTCAAATAGAAAGAAGATTATTAATTAATATAGAATTATTAATAATTGTATGATTTTATATAGATTGTATAATTTTATCTTATAAATAACTATTAAATTTCCATATAAAAGATATCAGTAAATAATCTCTTCTTATTTATATATCTTTAATTTTTATTTTACATAATAGCTTCAATAATGTCAATATTATCATTATGAAATTATATTCATTTTATTAAATTCATATAGAGGCACAAAACCAAATTTCGAATACCATAAGAAATCATTTTATCATAAAAAATTTATTTTTTATATGTTATTTAATTTTATTTATTCTAATGATATAAATGTTTTAATTTAGTATCATATTCATTTGATTTAATAAAATATAAGTTAATTATTATTATCATGTAAAAGAGAATTGATATTTTTATTGTCAAATAATTATATAAATGTAAGAAATTTATAATTTAAAAATTTATAAATTATCTAAAATTAATTTAAGATAGAAGTAACTAATCATATAATATATTTTAATTTAATATTCAAACAAAACATAATTGTTAAAAAAATAATAAATTATTGTATAATACCAAAAAAAATAAAAATAAATAAATATAATTCACTTTTTAACACTATTAAAGACTCCTAATATGTTATAAGATACAGATTGCATTTATGAAAGTTTTCCTACCCTATAGAATTTAAAGCCTCCAAATTAGGACTTTACATTGCACCATTAAAATCCTTTCAACTATGTGTTCCCCTTGTATAAAATATCATATTTTCCATCATCACTTATATTTGAATATCTTTGAAATTTTTATGAATGACAAAAAATGATTAAACATTTCTATATGGTGATAAACAATACAACCATTTGATCTTTCATTTTGATAACTAGTTTAGATTTAATAAATTAATCATTCTTAGTAATTTTGTTAGTTATAAGGCTTTTAATATAAAACATATCTAAAGAGTAGTTGTCCTAAATTATTATAACTAATCCAATTATAATAAATAGACTAATTTTTGATAACCATAAGAAATTAAATATGATCTGTGATTGTTTAATAATAACCCATCTTATATAGACTTCAAGAAGGATATCTAATCTAATTTTCAATATGGTATTTTACCTAAACTAGTTATATTTTCTTTGTAATTGGCATTAAATAATCTGATTGTTCATTTTCCATTTGAAATTATCTTTTAAGCCATATATTTATTTAAATCCAAAGCCTTAACGAAGTCTCAAAATAAAGTTCTCTATATTAGAGTTTTGTCTAATAAAAATTTACTATAACTTATCAAGAATGTCTATTAAACTTGTAAATTTAAATAAAAATATAATAGTACATATAATTAGGTATCTTAAAGATTGTTTATTAAATTTGATAAATATCTTGGAAAATATTTATTTTTTAAAGTCGAAATAATGTAATAATTATATTTAAGATATTATTTATAAAAAGAGTATTGCTATATATATTTAATAGCTAATATTTAAAATACATATTGAAATTATTACCTAATGATATTTTTAAGATTATGTTTATATCTTTTCTAAACACCACTAAATATGTAAGATAAGACTTAAAGAAAAGTAGGATGGTAAAATAAAGAATGAAAAATGTATGAACAAAATTATCAATTGAAATTAATGATAATGAATTTTATTTCATGCCTAATCATAAAAAAGGGTGAAATAAAAATTTTAATAAATATCACCATTTATAAAATATTATAAAATCTATATATTTATTTTATTAATAATTTTACCATTATTTCTAGGGTGATATATTAATTATTGCAAAATGTTATCTAACAAGAATTATATATAGTATTGAAGAGTGTTAATTTATTTTAAATGATAACTAAGATGATTTGATAAAGTTATAGAAATGTATTTGTATTATTTTTTGACTATCAATTAAAGTGTATGTTTAGTTGAATAGAGAATGTAATAAAATAAAAGTTTATTATTGAAATATATATTATGATTTAGAGTCAAGCTTACTTTTTATGAGGGAGAATGACTTTTTATTGATTTTAAACCATAACTTTTTTTGTAAAGATTGAGAGTTCATCCAAACTTTTTTTAGAGATTCCATCCATAGATTATTTGGCAATCCTTCCTTTAGATATACGTTCACAACTTCTTTGTTCTTCGATAGTTGTTGTGTTAAGTGACTTTCTAACTAAAATCTTCTTAATAAGTCTATCGATATTTTGATTATTGTTATCAATTTCTTCTATTATAGTGAGACAAATCTTAGCAGATAATCTATTTGATGGATCTATTTCAAGCATATAAGGCAACAGGATAAAGAATTATTCCATTTTTACAGAATTAACTTCAGGATGTTAGATTTATTTCTTTAATTCATAAAATCCATCTTTGTTAGCTTGATAAATAGTTTATTTAGCTGATTTAGTATTAAACAGATTTTCGCCAGTTAATCTAAGATTATATTTTAATTACAATTTATAGAGTAGACATCCAAGACTATAGATGTCAGCCTTTTCGTCATACTATTTATCTTTATTATAATTAATGATCTCAGGAGCCATGTATCCAGGAGTGCCTGACGTTGGAAAATTCAATTGGTTTTTGATTTTCCTTGCCAAACCGAAATCAATCAACTTCACTGTTTCTGCTTTCATGATATTGAGTGGATTGATGTCTCGATGCATAACTCCTTTATCATGTATGTATGATATAGCATCTAAAAGTTCCTATAAATAATTTGATATATGATTTACTTTCATTATTTTGATAGTTTCTGCAATGGATAATCCATATTATCTACTTGAGAGTTCTGAATATAGGGTTCTGCCATTTATGTATTCCATAATGATGTAATAATATTAATTGTCAGCATAGGTTTCTTTGAGTTTGACTATGTTTGGATGTGATAGGGATGATAATAAAGAGAGTTCATGAACTAATTAAGGCTAATAAAATGATAGTGATAAAAACTCTTACAATTCCACCTTCATGTTGAGCAATTTTCAATTTATCAATCTTTTTTATGGCATAGTATAAATTAGCATTGTCTGCAGCAACACATCTATAGACAGATCCTGTCATACCACTTCCCATTTCCATTTAAAATTAATAAAAAGAAAGAATTGGCTGGTAAAATATTTTTCCAGCTATCATTTCTTTTAATAAGTTGAGTTTTGGTCCGTAAACTATCTTATAGCCATTATTATATGAGAATTCAAAACCAACAATACGTTTTTCTTCTAGAATCCATTTAATTGTAGTTGTTAGATTCATCTTGAGATTATACTTAGGTTATTTAGTGATGTCCTAATCAATCTTGAAGTACTTCATACATCAGTCATAACAAGTTCATCAGAGAACAAATACAAAGAATAGTTTTTGTCTTTGAAGAAATGCTTTCTTGTGACTTAAACAGTGAAAAGTGCATTCTCATAGGGTAACATAATTATATTTAATTCATAAGAAATCATTCATTTTTTGAGCTTTATTCAAAATCTAGAATCTCTTTTCCAAAGAAAAACCAACTGCAACCCTTAAACCATTACTAACTCTTAGTTTCTAAACGACTACAAAGAAATTTACACTCATCAAACTTTTAAACTTGATTTTTTATACATTTGACTATTCTTTCCAATTATTGATTCCTTATATTCATTTCATTAGGAAGATAGATAATTAAGAAATGTAATATCCATATCTAAATCTATCTTTCTATCTTAATTTAAGATAGAATGTTATCTAATTCAATTTTCAATTATCCTAAATAAAGAATCATTAATTCTTAAAAACTATCCAAATTTTCGTCATCATTTTAATTCTCAAAATACCCTGAATAGATTTCATATTCATCTTTAATATTATACAATTTCATCCAACCATTAAATGTATCTACAATGTAATTTAAACATTTAAGTGCTTACACTATATGGTTTTATCCCAAACATTATTCTACATATTTTTCATAATTATTCTCATCTTTCATCCAATAAAATCGATAAATGAATCTATCATCAATATTAACTTTATTCTAATCATTACCCTAATGTTATTACATTTTAGTCATCATAATTTAGTCAAGATTCTCAAAAATATTTTCATTACTATCTAAATATTAATATTATCCTATATGATTACACTCTACATATTCTGTAATCTAATTATTCAAACAATCACTTAAATAATCAATTATATCTTCCTATTCTAATTTTGGAAAATCCAAATCTTATAATATTTTATTCTTATTATTAATTCTCTAAATCTTTGGAATTAATCTCTTATCCCAAGATACAAAATATGTATTAGTACAAAATTAAGTACTTAAGTATTATTTATTTGAAAATATAATACAATTTATGTATTCATCATATTCTTTCTTATCTCCAAATCTTCTTTAAACCTCTTTACTTGATAAACCAATAACTTTTAGTATCATTTATTTACTCTTAATACAATCTTCAATTATTATTAATTATCCTTCCAAATATGATAATTTATCATTTATTTTTCTAACACATATTACTTCTAATCATAAATATAATAGAATTTAATACCTCCTTCTTTTAGAATTCCTTATTAATCAACTATTCCAAATAGTCTTTCTGCCTTTTCGACTAATATATTATACTTTTTTTGTATTTATTATATCTCTAACTTTCTTAACTTTTCTTATACTTTTTTTATAAAATAACAATTCTATTCATTCAAATTATTGCTTTTCATTAAATTTATTAAGTCTATTATTGAGTTTAGTCCATAAAGTTCACTGTTTAAGTCTTATGAAATATATCTTATTTTTTTTGAAATCGAAATTTATTCTAAATGCCCTAAAAGAATTATTTGGTATCAAAATTACAGTTCAATAATTAAATAAAAACATCATCGTTAATACCCATCTCATTAAGAATTCTAATTATTCCTCTATTCAAATAAGCTCCTCTAAACTTATTATAATTTGTTACTGTAATTACATCCTTACAATTTGACAACTACTTTAATTATAAATTTAACTAAATTGTATTATCTTTTAAATCATTATTCAATAATAAGACATATTAAGTTCCACTAAATACAATCTAAACAACTGATATATCCTAATTATTTAATATCTCTCTTATTTTACATATTAAATTCCTAGATATCTATCCAAAATTATTAATATTCTAATTTATTTATTTATTTATATCTATAATATTTAGTTATTTGAATTATATTGTTTAACCATCAATAAAGAAATTCCTAAATTAAGATGTATTTTCTGTTATTTATTCAAAAATTGGAGTATTGTATTAGAAATTGCTTTATAAAAAGTTATTTAATTAAGTATCAGAAACTTTATTCATCCATAATATATTTTTTTTTAATTCTTTATTGTTCCATCCTAATAATTTAAAATTTTCTTAACAAATAACAAAACCTTCTTTTAGTTTAACTTTAAAAAAATTTCCAAAATTTGTTTTATATCTCTTAATTAATTTTCCATCTTCATCTCTTAAACTTAATTTAATAAAATTTTAATTTTTAAATTCTCTTATCAATAATTTAGGTTTTTATGGTAAACTTATCATTGGAATATAACCTGATGGAGTCAATCTAATTTATTTCACAAAATTAATTTTTATGAGTGTCATTTTTTATTACAATTAACTTTTGAAATCTCTTTAAAAAATATATAAATTCCTATTATTTAAATTAGAAATTCTAATTGAATTTGATAAATTTTCACTAAATCTCATAAATTATTAGAAAATAGCATCAATAATTTAATCATTTAATGATGTATTAGCATTTTACTATAACTTACACATTAAATTCAATATTATCTTCAAATGATTACAATCTATTATACGATTTTAAGAAATAATGCAAATAAAATTGTATTTTTATTCAAAACTCAATTTACTTTCATCTAATTATTTTTATAAAATATCAAATTTAGAATTTCTAGTTGATTTCTTAATAATATTTTATTAAATTTCATTATTAGAAATAAGTAAATTCAATTATTTTAATCTTAATAATATTTTATTAAGGAATCTAGCTTCACTTGAGAATTTGATATTTTTAAGTTAAATTTCAATAATGGTATTGTTTAAAATGACATATTTTTCTAATAAATTTTGATGTTTTTTAAAATACGAATTCAAATAGATGTTTTCAATTCTGGTCCATTCTGTCTAAGTATCTAATAAATCAATTTTAAATTTATCAAATATAGCAGCACTACATAGTGGTGGATGATTTAATTTGAAATATAAATGAGTCTTAGATTCATTATTGATAAAATGGCAATATTAACAATTATTCAATTAGATTTCAATTTTCAATTTCAATTTTCCAACTAAATTGATAATTACGATGATTTTTTCATCTTTTAAGTTTTGCACATAATCATATGTTAAATATGTTTCTAAATGTTATTGATTTATATATTGATATTAGAAATAAGGTGAAAGAAACAATTAAATTGGTCTATTATTAGGTATATTTAATTTAAGATCACTTAGATCTTCGGCAGTTATGTAATAGAAATTTAGATCTGTAACTTTGATAAATTTATTAAATTATTCCTGAATTGTTGGAATAAATTCATTATGTTAATTTAAAATTTCTGCTTATTGAAAATCGAGTGAGGCTTATTCTTAATTTGGAAATATTTTGATTGAATAATGATTGAGATTCATAAAAAATTGTTATGGTAATTTTAACGTTATTAATATTTAATTACTTTAATTCTACTCCATTAAATTTTAATATATTGTTAGATTGTCAAATTAATCAATGATATTTTAATATATTGTTAGATTGTCACATTCCTAAATAGATTCACAAACTAATAAACAAGCAAGTTTTTATATTAAATTATTATGTTCTTTTTATTCTATTTCATTACTATATGAAATATTTTAATCTAATTTATTTTATGAATAAAGACTTTTATAACTATCTTATGATAAGAGTTCTTCATCTTTTTGATCTACTTAGTCTTTTAATAACATTTCTAAAAAAGGTACTTTTGTATAATTATTATAATTTCTATCTCCTTAAACATATTCATCATTTTGGTTCCAATCCTCAAATTTATATTCTACTTAATAAATCTAAATTTGTTTAATATATACGCATATTTCATGATCAGGGAACATTTCATCTAAGGCTATTCTTATTTTATCATAGATTATTGAAGCTGTGGTTGATAAAATTAGCTGTTTTGTTAGATTTTAGATATAGCATCTTATATAATAGTAGTCATTGTCACTAAATTGTTATAAAGGAAGTTATTGCTTAATAATAAGAAAATAGAGATTACAAGAAAAGAAATTTGATGTTAATTCATATATTTAAATAATAATAATTAAAAAAGCTGTTTTAATTTAAGTAATAAAATATTAATTTTTAAAATCATCTTTAAAATAAATATAATCCATTTTCATAGATTGAAGAATATAAACTTGTATATTTATTATTTAATTAATTAAATACTTTATAATAACTTACATTTATTATCTTTGACTATATATATAAGTTAATATCACTCTTAAATGTAATCAATTTAGTTCATGAGTATTTTTTATAGAAAATTGCTGTAACTTTTACTAATTATTTTATAATTATATTAATAACTATGTTAACAATCTAATTTATTTTTATATTTTTAAATGAATTAATGAAATAATTGTTTCATTTTTGAGAATTTTTATAATGTTTAATCAATTTCTGGATCATATTAGAAAAATAGATCAATTTGGGGTTGCCTTTTAACCTAAAATCAAATACTCTTCAAATTAATATAAAACTGCAGTTGGTGGAATAATGTCAATTATTCTTTATGGATTGAGTTTTAGCTATTTATTATATAGCTTTGTTTAATATGCATAAGGGAACATTCTTCCAAAAATTACAACCATTTAAGCCAAAGCAGACCAATAGAGTATAAAATTTGAGAACGAAATAATGTCTTTCAAGATCAGGCCAGGATAAGATAATTTTATAAATCCATTTAATCCAACGGCTTTGGTACTATTACCTTTGGTGCTTCCATTCAAAAATAATGAAATACCACCTAGTTAATATTTTAACTTTGAATAAATCTAATTTTAAGAGGACAAGATCTCTATAAGAAATATAGATTTACAATATGGTGATCTTACATAAGATGAGACAGAATAAATAATTGCATTTGTAGGATGTAAGTAAGTTAATTTACCTGCTCCATTTGTATGTGCTAATGAGAGTATTAGAGATTAGTTCTTTGCTCAATCTAGAAATGCTATAATTGTTACTACTTAAGTAAATTAATTCAATACCAATAAAAGAACTTTGGATGAAGTTGGTAAGGAATAGGTTTTGGCAATAGTTGACAATTCCACATATTTTTAGACAACAAATTTGAATATGTAGGAATCATAGGTAGATACAGGATTTTTATTGGAATCAATAGATAAATTAATTTATGCTACTGATTTTTATTTAACTAATTAACAAATGGATTAATAATATTTTAGAACTACTTTTAAATTTGATGCTTATTTGGTATTTTAAATAAGAATTGGTAAATTGAGATATTTTTAGAGTATTCAATATCCAAAAATAAGTGAAATTTTAGCAGATGCAGGTTCAATTGCATCAACAATTCTTTTATTATCTTATTTTGTTGTTCTTTGTAATCAGAGTCTTTTAGAGAAATAATCTTTAAATGATATAATTTCAATATATTATCCATAATATAAAGATATTTAGATTAAGAAGACATTTTATGGTTAGATAAAGGAGGTTTTATATGAGGGTAAATAATAGGATATAGAATAATTTAAAGAGTATTAGAAGGATTTACAAGAGAGGGCTGATAAGAAATTATCAATGTTAAATTAAGTATATGAGATTTCAAGATTATAATTTATGATTACAAATATTTTAAAATCTAAAGAATAATTAAGGTAAAGTCATAAAATAGGTATTAAATTAAAATAATTTGAAATACAAAAAATGATGAATATGAATGTAAATTAAATTGTAATTATAAATCTATATAATTAGATACCTCATTAAAATTTGAATTGCTCAACTGCAAAATTAGCCATTATTGATAGTCAAAGTGATTCATCTTAAAATCTTAAAGTAGTAACATAAAAAGAATAACATTAAATTACAGTTGAAGAATCTAATGATGAGAATTAATTAAATGATGAAGATTTTGAGATTCTAATTCAACCTTAAGAATTGGAAGAATGAAAATATATTGATTGTAAAAAATAATATTTTAAAATACATAATTAATTAAAATACACATGTCCACTTTATAGTATGTGAGGGAAATTATTAGTAAATAGATTTCAACTCTATAAAATCCTATTGGTGAAGATAAAAAGGCATTGGGTAACACTTAAACTTATCAAAATAGAATCTGAACCATATCATAATTTGCAAAAGTCAAGTGTATTACTTGAATCCAGGTGTTTCAATGATCATCAATTATAGGATAAAAAATGTAGATAAATATTATCCAAATTGATATATCTAATCAATTAAGTATCTTTTAATACTAATACTTTTATAATAGGGTGAAAAATTCAATGATCAAGAATCTTTGAGTTTATTTTTTGGAATTACTAAATTGTTTTAATCTAATAATGTAGATTTGAGAAGAATGATCTATTTAATGATTAAGGTAATATATAAATATATAATTATTATAGGAATTTAAAGATGAGAATTCCATGTATGTAGTAATTAGTTGTTTGGCCAAAGATATCACTTCCAAAAATGATTTATTTAGAATTAATGCCTTACGTACATTACCTTATGTTCTTGATTAATCTAATTTGGTTTAATTGGATAGATATTTAAAAAATGTATAGAATTAAATTTCATTTAGGCAATCCTTGAAAAAAGTTAACCAATCTCAAGTGCTGCTTTAATAGCTGGTTTATAGATTTTTAGAATTAGTCCTGATTTCATTAGAAAATGGACCAATGAAGTTGCTGACAGACTCAATTCTAAATATCCATAAAATAGTTTTCATGCATTATTATTATTACATGAAATCAAAAGCAATGACAAAGTCACATTCACTAAAATCTTAACTGGATTAACTAAAGAAACTCTTGTTCCCATTGCCAATATGTAAGTAATTAGATTCATTAGAGAAATTCTTAATACTGATGAATTAGATTAACAATATGAAAAAGTAAGTATCTCTAATATATTTAGTTATTCATTGAATATTTATTAAGACAAATACACAAATCTTAAGAAATAGTCATTTTTGAAGCTTGTAAAGCATTATGTGATTTGAAATCACTATCTAATAAAGATCTATAACCAATGGTTTAGGTTGTTACTGTCTTTTTGCAATCAAGTAACGTAATCAATAAGTTTGTGGCACTCAAAATTTTAAATAGATTAATCTCAAATCCTATAAGAAGATCCCTCATTACACCTTCACATATTGAACCATTAATATAGGATTCAAATAAATCATTATCTTCTTTGGCTGTTTCAATATTATTAAAGGTTTGTTAAGAAACCAATATTGAAAGACTTTTAAATTAAATTTATGAATATTTAAATGATATGAGTGATGAATTCAAAATTGATGTCCTCAGAAGTGTCAAAGCATTAGCAAAGAACTCTCCAAATAAATGGAAATCCATTATTAGTTTCCTTCAATAAACATTTAAATGTGAGGCGTCATAAGAATTTAAAAAATATTCAATTGAAATCTTTGAATTTATTATTCATGAAATTCCTGAAGCAAGAGAAAATGCTATTATGGCTTTAGCAGATTATATAGAAGATTGTTAACTAAGTTCATTACAATTAAGTGTATTGAGCATTCTCAATAGAGAAGCAGCAAAAGGATAATGTCCTACAAGAGCAATTAGAATTGTAAACAATAGACTTCATCTTGAAGATGCAGAAATTAGAGCTGCAGCAGTTGGAGTACTTGGTAAATTCCTCCTACATTATCCTCATGAAAAAACAAACCTTATTGAATTATTATAAGCTGCTGCTTAAGATCCTGATGAAGAAGTCAGAAATCGTTCACGATTCTATATTAGTGAATCTGCAGCACCAAAAGAAGAGAATACTCCATTATCAATTGAAGAATTAGATGCAATTGAAGCTTATTTACAATAAAATATTTAAGAAATTCAACAATCTAATGAAGAAGTATTATAATTAGAAAAGATTATGGCATATGCAGAATAAAATAAAGGAAAGATTAAAAAGACTGAAGTATTATAAGAATTAGTAGAAGAGGAATTGATTTAAACTCATGAATCTGAATCTGGATTTGAAACTTACAAGAAATTATTCAAGGAAAGTACAATCTTTTGTGATTATGGTGTATTGAGAAAATCATCAAGAGCATAAAATTTAACTGATTCTAAATGTGAATATTTAGTAACAGTTGTTAAACACTTTTTTGATAATCATATAATATTGGAGTATAAGGTAAAGAATACATTAGACAATGTTACATTAAGTGATGTCTCTTTAGAATTGACAATAAAGAATGTAAATCTTCAATTTGAAAGAATTGTACCAGCAAAACAAATTCAACCATAATGTGCTTCCAATATTTTAGTAGGATTACAATTCAATCCAAATTTGAGATTAGTATCATCTAATATTCAAAGTATATTAACATTTACAGTAAATGAAAATGGAACCACTTATTAAGATGAATACTAAACTGAAGATTTTATTATTACTTACAGTGATTTCTTCTTACCTATATAATGGTTTAAGTAAGATTATTAATAATTAAAATAGAAAATTCTAGACTGAATGGGAATCTCTTAAATCATAAGAAATGTCAGCTACCTATTAATTGGATTATAAGAATACTGATATTGCAATAAAAGAATTAGTGAAACATTTCGGTATTTATTTATGATTTATAAAATTTAGGATTTTAAGTTTGTGATAATTCTGATTAAATATAGCCTTAAAATAAGTTTCATACTTTATTATTATCAGGCAAATATTTGGATACAAAGAATGCATTAGTGATATGTTAGATAGGATTTTAATAGAATATAGGATGTGTATTGAAAATTAAGTGTAAATCTGAAGAAGATAATTTAAGTACAAATATTGTTGAAACCCTTGGTTGATATTATTTTTTAAATATATATATATATATTAAATGCTTTAGATGGAAAACAAAAAAAATAAATGGGAAAAAAGAATAATATGCTTAATATTTACACAATTTGGAAATATTTTAAATTTTTCAATGTTTATGGTGTTTCCTAAATCTCATTAATAGATATTTTTACTTATTATGCTTTCTAGATTTACTTCTATCTTTTTCTTTATCTTTTTTCTTTTTACTACTTTTTTTCTTACTTTTATCTTTAGAATTATCTCTACTTCTAGATCTTTCCTTATCCTTCTCTTTCTCCTTCTCTTTTTCCTTCTCTTTCTCTTTCTCCTTCTCCTTCTCTTTCTCTTTCTCCTTCTCTTTCTCTTTTTCTTTCTCCTTTTTTTCTTTTATCAATTTTTCCTTATCTAATTAAACATCTTTAGCAATATCCTCCTTAAATTCTTATTTTCTAGCTTCTTCCTCTAAAATCTTTTCTAATTGCAATCTTCTTTATTATAATTTTTATAATTCAACCCTTATAGTAGAAAATCCTTAATGAATTCTTCCATCTAAATGAGTCCTATTATTTAATATGTAAAATACTTGACTTTATTCTCTGTTTCATAGAGTGATTATCTAGCTCCACAAACTTCACATATTTTATAAGTTTTGAATGGATTATTAGTACCTTCATATGCTAATAATACATCTTCTCTTGCTTTTTTAAGATTATCTGCTTCCATTATTAATCTTTCAGATTCTTCTATTTTACCCTATTCTCCCATCTTCTCACTCTAATCTGTCAATAGATTTATCTATCTTTCCATATTGTCAAGTCTATCCTGGATCTCTTTTGGTCGATCAGCTACTTATAGTTTACTAGATTATTCAACTTATTCTTCATGTTTAGTTAAGATCTTGTCAACTTCCTTCAATTTATCTTGGATGTAAGCTAACATATTTATCAGGTTCATACTAAACCTATTGCCTCTTCAATATATTTCTTCTCTCTTTACTGTTTTTTAATACTCTTATCACAATTGAATTCATTGATAAAGAATTAATCATGTCTTTTGCTACACTCTCCTTCATGATCATATTTGGTATGCTTCCATAAGTCGTTAAAACACTTAGAAACTAAGATGTTTTTGCACACATCTTCATTCCAATAATGAGCATCATTCTTCCTTTTACTAGCTACAACATTTCTCTCTTTGCCAAATAGCTCATCCAGGATATAACGAGAATCATCACACATTCTTTTAATAAATATTTAAATTAGTTTCTATCTATATATATATTGCTTAAATCATAAAGTCAACAATCTAATAGTGGATTCCCCAATAACCAATATCTTATTCTACACAAGACAAAAGTCATAAACTTTGAAAATAGGTATCTATTTGCATTGATTATTAGCTAAATCCCATTCAAACAAATTCTATTTTTGATTTATGATACATTTTTAATTCAAAAATAGACATTTATTGATGAGATCACCTTTGGTCTTGCATATCTGACTTAATTTTAAGTCTCTAATAATCCATTCAGATTGAGCATTAAGGAACAGATATTATTCACTGAATTTCATCTACTTAACAATACTTGGACGACAATCAGCTAAATAATATAATGTAATTTAAATACCTTTTTAAACTTATTGTTATATAGTGATGTCCCATACTTCAATTTGATTTTTATTATTGAGTACATATAGCAAATTTTAACATGGCATTCCAAAAACATCAGCATTAAATTATTATTAAAATGAAACTTTTAATAGTCTCTTAATATTCTCATCATAAACACTTATTCCAGTGATAAGATTAGAATCATCAATTCTTTTGGGTCCAAAAAGATTGAATGATTATGTTGGAGCTGGTTTAAAATCATAACTGAAAACAGATCTATTAAAATATAATTGACAAGTTTTATATTTCTCAACCAACATTTCTTCTTCATTATATTCATTAGTCATATAATTCCATTTGACAAGAATGGGATTAACACTTTTTGAGATTTTTAGAATGTATTGAATAGTTGAATTATCTAAAAACATGACAGTTTTGATTTCTAGATTATCTATTTCTTTTCTTCTATCAAATTCCAATTTATTATCAAATGGATAGATTTCAATTTCAATATGAAATATTACTTCTTCATCATAAAGTAATCCACATTTTTAAACAAGTGCTATAAATTCTCCATTTGGACTTGAACAACAATGTAAAATTTATTTGACTCTTGCTTTATAAAAGAATTATTTATCTAGATTTGTGTTTAATAGAATGAAATCTTTTTTGTCTTTATGTTCTGCTATAATGATTTCTGGGTTTATTTATTGTAATGAGTACACTCCAGGACAGAATTTGACTTCAACTGTTTTAATTTTGTTTCCTGTTTGAATATTCCAAGATGTTACAATAGCATTTTTATTAATTGAGAATAAATGATTATTTGAATAACATAATCCATGATGAATATCATCTTTGGAAGAACTCAATACAATTTATACAATAGCTTATTTATTTTTTAAGAATTTTGTAAGTACAATTTAACCATTAGAAGCTAAGGCAACTGAATCATATGAAACTGGTGTCCAACATGTTACAGCACATCCATATGTTGTTTATAATTCTTCTAATTAGTCATTTTCAAAATCAACTATGAATACTTCACCTACTTTATTTTATTTTGCAAAAACTAATCCATTTTATAACATCAAGAGATCATCACAATCATCAAATTTTTCAGATAAAATTTTTTATAATTCTATAAGTTCCTTGGATTTAGAAACAAAATTATTAAAAATTGGTTCTTAAAGATTTGGTTTGCCTAGATTAGAGGTTCTCCATAATGTGATTTCGCCTTCATTGACACCTATAATTCTAGGTATGTATATGACACTACCTTGGATTAGTATGATCTGATACACAAAAGGCGGTAAGTGGTTATTCAATTAAGATTGTCTTCTTATTAGTTTCAGGTTGTATCAAGAGTAATGTGTCTCCGAAGATTAAATAAATTTTATCATGTACTGCAATTAATGAATAGGGCATGTTTTCAATTAATCCTTTGTATTCTTTCTTTAATTTCATTTCTTGATCCCAAAGTGCTAATGAATCAGATCCTGAGGTGTCACATAAATATCCATTAAATCCAATTAAATTGTTCATGGAGGGTTCTAAATACTCATCTGCAATAGGAATCTACAATTGTCAATTGAAAAATACTTGATCGAAATGTTAATCTTTCACAGTAACTTTGAGTTCAAGATTCAAGGATTCCAATGAAGTTTATTGTTAACTTAATTTTTTATTAATGTGAAATTTCTTTTTTTTGGGTATGTCAATCCCAGGTGGAGGACCAATTGATTACTCATCATCATCGCCTAATCCAGGAGGTGGATTCATAATATATTAGAAAATTCTTTAATTTAAATTATACACCATATATATATATATATATATTCAGAACAATATAATAATCAATATGATCATTAATATTGTTCCATGATTTGTTTTAATATCATCTTCTATATTGATACTATTACTACATTGAGTGCACATCGATGTTGTAGTATTCCAATAAAAAGTATTCGAGGTATTTATTCTACATGATTAAATATTGTAAATTTCTGGATCAGTTTCAATACATTTAGCATCCTTAAATGTACATAATTTTAGAGTAGTTTCATCCATATTATAAATATTATGACATTCATTCTCTAAAAGATCTTCACATTCTAAAGGAACACATGAAGTTTCAGATGTAATTTAAGGATTTTCAATCCATTTACATTTCTCTTAAAACTATTAACATATCAATTTATCTTGATCACAATCAGAAAATTCTAGAACTCTTATACATTATTGACCATCCCATGCACATATTCCATCGAGACCACCATAATTACATGAAAATCTATTCTCATAATTAGCACAAACATCAATAGCTATACAGAAATGACCATCTGATATACAATTTGGCATTTATTTTAGACAAGTCTCATGAGTATAACCATAAGGTATATCATTACAAGAAATTGTTTTACATGTTTAATCCTAAAAAACACATTTCCCATTATTACTTTAAGCATATAGACAGGTCTATTCATTTTCATAATCTTCACATGCTTTAATAGTAAGACATTTTATTGAATCTGAAGTACATCCATACAATTAAGCACTGCATACTTCATGTGTTTCTCCATCCAATTCCTCACATTATTAATCTCTACATTCATTATAATTTGTATCCCAAATGCAATTTCCAGTTTAAATTATGTATTACTAATTTGAGTTTTATTTAACCACCTTTCCATTTGAACTTATTCTACATTATTCTTATAATCTATAAGATGAACATAATAATAATGGAATACAACCATTCTTTGTATCTGTTGTACATTTCGAGGATGTTTAATAACATTCTTAATGATTTAAATATGGTAAATCATAACATGAAAAGAATCTCTTACAAATAGCTTAACTTTCCCTCCAAATACAATCTCCATCTAAACCAATAACACAAGCTTGTTATATTTAGTAATCAGCACATTTACTCAATCCTACACATTTATTTCCATCAGTTGTACAATTTTTTGATAATGATTTACAAATTTAATCATATGGACTTGAGATAGTATTACAACCTGTAAAAAGATGGCAACTGTTATTGAACCATTTACAAATACCATCAATACCTTTAGTACAAATATCTTCTACAGGAAATTCTGAACATTTCTTTTTGGTTGTACATTTAATACCAAAAATTAATGAATTTTAGAATGCACAATCATAAAGAGCACATTCTTTTTCAGATGTACCTATAATATCATCACAAACTTATTATCTACATCTCTATTAATCCCAAATGCATAATTTATTATCAGCAGATGTTGTACATGCTGCTTATAATTATGCATTTTCACATGTTGATTTAGAAATGCAACCACCTCCTAATCTAGTAGTGCAATTACCTTTAGGATAATATTCTTAACAATCCCTTTCAGTAATATTATATTCTGGTGAAGTGCTGCATGACTTATTTATACAATAAGAATTTTAGAAAATCCATTAACATTCATTACCTTAAATATCTATATTACAAGCCTCTTACATACGAGCATCAGAACATAATTTTCTATCAATACAAGAATATCCATCTGATGTACAATTTGAATTGTATTTCTTACATTCATCATTTGTCTTATACATTAAATCAGTACACTTTTAAAGTCTACAATAAATATAATCAGTATAACAGAATGGATAGTGTTATTCACATAATTGAGCATTAATTGCAGTGTCAGGAGCATTTTAACAAGATCTAACTTCACATGAATTAGTTTTTGGATTCCAATAACATGATTAATTGGAAATAGTAATAATACATTATTTTTCAGTTTAATATTATTCACAATAAGTATTTTTGAATTAACAACCATTTCCAATAGCAACTGTAGTACATTCATTAAGATATGATTAACATTCCTCATGTTAAGTATATGATTTTGGAGCAGTTTAACATGATTTATTCATGCATCTAATACCATCCCAACCACATGGTAAATACATATTATTAATAACACATTATCGTTCACTTATATAGGTTGCACAATCTTACAAAGGAACACAACCACCAATACCTGAATCTATAACAGTACAATCAATCTGATAATCTTAACATTCTGCATGAGTATCCCTTGTACTATCATATGCTGCAGTATAACAAGATTTAACATAACATCTTCCACCATTCCATGCACAAGCATCACCATTAGAACCAATTACACAAGATACTTCAGCTGAATAATTTAAACATCCATTCAATATCATACAACCTCCACCTTATTTTGCTGTACAAGTACTCAAAAATTCATTACATTAAGTATGAGTAGTATAACTAGTTGGTGCATTAGAACATTTAATATCAGCACATTTATTAATATCAACATTCCAAAAACATATTCCTTAAGAAGTATTCTTGAAACAATGAGATTCCTATAAATAATCAGAACAATTAGTAGCCTTAGTAATGCATTCACCAACTCTAGCTACTGTACAAGTTGATAAGAATGTATTACATTCTGTATCATCATCATAAGTTGTATTTTGAGTTGCATCTTCACAAACTCTATCTTTACATTAAGTACCAGTCCAAAAACATATAGTATTATCTAAACTTTTAATACATTAATCTTAATTAGAAATCATGGAACATTTTTATGGTTTAATTACACAACCTAAATGTACATTTAATGCATCAACTGTACATGTTGATAACCAAGTTTCACAATCAGAATGTGTAAATGTTACACCAGTATAATTAGCACATGTTCTATTCTCACATCCTGATAACCATACACAATTCACTAAATTAATATTAGTTACACACTAATCTTAAGTTACTCCTATATCTGTACAATTTGTTGGTTTATTTACACAATTATTAGGTGATGCACCTGATTCAACTGTACATGTTTATAACCAATTCTCACAATCAATATGTGTGAATGTAGTTCCTGTATAATTACTACATGTCCTTCTTAAACAAGTACCATTATACCAAGCACATTCATAATTACCACTATCAATTACACATTAATTATATGATACACCTGCATTACTACAATTTGATTACAATGTAGTACAAGTTGTTGGTTTATTTAATTAACATTGAGGTAACCATTTTTCACAATTATTATGAGACCAAGTACTAATACCAGTTGTATTTGAACAAGTTTTATTAATGCATGCATTATAACTTGAATTTACAGTACATATTGATAACCAATTTTAACAATTTGTATGATTAAATGAAATTCCAGTTGCATTAGCACATGTTTTAACAGTACATGCAGTACTACCTAAATTAGTACAATCAAAATTCCAATTTTAACAATTATTATGATTGAATGTTGTAACAAAAGATCCATGATTAGTACATGTTTTTGGTTCACATGCTGTTAAACCTGAATTAACTGTACATGTAGATAACCAAAATTAACAATTACTATGATTAAATACAGTTACTGAACTTCCATGATTAGTACAAGTTCTACTTGTTACACAGGATGTACCATCATCAGATACTGTACAATAATGTAACCAATTAGAACAATTTGTATGATTAAAAGTACTTAAACCATGATTTTTACATGTTTTATATTCACAATTAGTACCTGTAGGTGCTAATTTACAATAACTAAACCAACTACTACAATTTGAACTATTGACAGTGAAACCACTAGGATAATTTGTACAATGTTTCATTTCACATTTTGTAGTTGAATTATTTGTACAATAAGGTAGCCATCCAGAACAAGTAATCTTAGTAAATGTACTCAATTATGATCCATAGTTATCACATGTTTTATCCATACAACCATCATTTGTACTATTCACTGTACAATATGGCAACCAATTTTAACAAGTTTGTAGATTAAATTCTGTAATTTGATTGCCATAATTGCTACAATTTCTTGTACTTATACATTTGGTAGCTGTATAGTTTGGAGTGCAATATGGTAACCAATCTCTACATAAAGATTCAGTAATAGATCCTGAGTAATTATCACATGTTTTATATTCACAATCATAAGTTATGTATGTACATTGATTATTCCAATTATAACAATTAGTTGATGACAATCCCATAGATTGATAATTTGTACATGTCTTATAGTTACATGTACTTTCACCTGTTTAAAATGTACATGATGTTAACCAAGATTAACAATTTGAATGAGTTAAACTACTCACATTTGAACCATGATTTTAACATGTTTTATATTTACATGCTGTAGCACCATCATTAGTACAAATATCATACCAATTATAACAATTTATATGTGTAAATGTTGTTACTTCAGATCCATGATTAGTACATGTTTTATCAATACAACCAGTTTAAGATGCATTTGGAGTACATGTAGTGAGCCAATCTAAACAATAATATTAATCATATCTAATATTATATCCATTATAACTTTATAAGCATGTTCTTTAAGGTATACAAGCAGCATTTGTTACTGGATTATATGTACATTAATTGCCTAACCAATAAGGACAATAAGCACTATATGAACCTGTAATTGCACTACCATAATTAGTACAAGTCTTGAGTTCACATCCATTTGAACTTGCATTTGCTTTACAAATTGTTAACCATTATCCACATTTAGTTGTATTTGTAGATGTCATACCATGATTAAAACATGTTTTGTATATGCATCCATTATTTGTTCCGTTTACTGTACACAAAGGATTCCATTATTCACAATTAACATGATTAAAGATCTTGATATTGTTTCCATAATCACTACATGTTCTTTATGAATGACAGGCTCTTTAACTTTGACTTCTGGTACAATGTGGAACCCAACTTTAGCATTAGGATACAGAGGAGACAGATGTTGAACTTCCACATGTTTTATAATCACAATAAGAAAAATAGTAAACTGGTTTACAGGAATTTAGATAAGATGCACAACTGGACCAAGCACCTGAATCTGAACATTATCTATGTTTGCATCCAGTAGTACCATTATTAGTACATAAATAATTCCAAGATACACATTAAACATCTGTTATTTAACTTGGTGAAGTATATGCATTTTTAAGTTCAGTCGAGATACTTGAATTATAACATGTCTTTTCTGTACATCCAGTATTAGTATCATTAACAGTGCAACTTGATAGCCAATTCTCACAATTGATGTGTGTGAATGTAGTAACATTTGAACCATAATTAGAACATGTTCTATGTGTAATACAACCTTATTGACCAAGTAAACAATGTGAATATCTACTTTCACAATTTGCTTAAGTAGTATCTGCATAATCATAACAGGTTCTTATTCTACAACTATAACAAGATTCATAAAAACAATCAGATTTGTATGCATTACATCTAGAATTACTAACACAAACATTAATATTTTAGTAATGATTATTGCAGGTTTTATCAATACATTTAGAATTATCATACATTGCAGTACATGTTGATAACCAAGATTAACAATTAGAAAAATTAATTGTTCCTGTGAAATTAGCACAAGTTTTTGGAGCACAATTTGTATTATTAGAATTAACTGTACATTAGGGATCCCATGCTTCACAATTTGCATGATTGAAAACTGAGAAGTGTTATCCATTATTATAACAATTAGTTATACATTGATCATTTGTAGATTTCAAAGACCAAGCTTCAGACCATTTCTTACAATTACTCTCTGTATATATTAAAGAAGTGATGGCATTTGAACTAGTCTTAAATGTACAACCATTATATGAAGTATTGATGGTACATCTACTAGACCAAGCTTCACAATTAGCTTAATTTACTGTATCTGAAAAATTTGTACAAGTCTTTTCAACACATATTCCATTTGAACTATCATATTTACAATTTGAAAGATATGACTCACAATTAGATTAAGAATATGGAGTTCCAATAACAGTTGTATACATTTCACATAATTTATATGTACAACCTGTATTGTCAGTTTTTCTTGTGCATGTTGATAACCATGCTTCACAATTATTATGTGAAACACTACCTACAAAATTTTAGCATGTTCTAATGGTTTCACAATCTGAACTATTTGAATAGAATGAACAAGTACTAAGCCAACTTGAACAATTTGATGCATTTAGAGTGAATACACCATGATTTGTACAAGTTCTATTTTCACACAATTAAGTTGACGAATTGTAAGTACATAAAGAACTCCAAGATTAGCAATTTGAAGTATTCTTAGTAATATATGAAGGTATATTACTACATGTTCGAGTAATACAACCATTAAAGGTTGAATTGACAGTACAAGTTGATAACCAAGTATTACATGTTGAATCATTATAAGGTCCAAATGATAATAAAGTTGGAGAAGCATTTGAACAAGATTTCTCTTCACATGAAGTACCTGCACTATTAATAGTACAAGAAGATAACCAATTATTACAATTAGTATGATTTAATATTTTAATATTAGTTCCATAATTAGTACATGTTTTAGTACTTACACAAGCTGTTTAAGTATCATTACCTGTACAATAAGATAACCATGTAGAACAACTAACTGAAGTATATGTAGCAGGTGTTATATTACTACAAGTTTTATCTTAACATCCTGTATTAGAGAGATTAGTACAAGAAGATAACCAATTATTGCAATTAGCATGTGTGAAACTAGATATACTTTATCCATAATTATAACAAGTTTTATCTATACAACCATCAAAAGTAGAATTTACAGTACAAGTAGATAACCAAGAATTACAATTTGTATTATTATATGAACTAACTACTGCATTACTACATGTTTTATTTTCTATACAACCTGAATTAGTAGAATTGGCAACACAATATGATAACCATGCACTACAATTAGCATTAGTAAATGTAGTGACTTAATCTCCATGATTGTAACATGTTTTATTAATACATGCACTTTAAGCAACATTGCTAGTACATGTATTCATCCAAAATTCACATGAAATAGGATCAAATGCTATCAAATTATTATTAGTAGAAGCTAAAGCACAAGTTTTATCTTAACAACTTGTTGTATTCAAATATGTGCATGAAGATAACCAATTTTCACAATATTAATGTGTATAAGTTGTTAATGAAGCATTAGAACAAGTACGAATATTAATACAAGCAGTACCAGAAGAATTAGCAATACAAGCATTCCACCAAGTTTAACAATTTACATTATTGAATACTGTTACATTAGATCCATGATTTGTACAAGATTTAGGAATGCATGTTCTAGAAATTCCTGTATAAGTACAATTAAATAACCAATTCTAACAATTAGTATGACTCAATTAACTAACTTCGATACTATGATTATAACAACTCTTTTATTCACATCCATTGAATTGAGATTTTACTGTGCAATCAGATAAATATGCTTAACAAAATTCATGTGTATAAGTAGCAAGTTAAGTATCAGTACAAGATTTTAATTTACATGATCCTGAACCATTATTAGTACATTGATAATTGTAACTCTCACATGTGATATGAGTATACGTTTACAATGATGGTGAACATCCTCTAGTATTCTCACATGCTGTTCCACTTATATTTACTTAACAATAACTCAACCATTAACTGCAATTAGAATGATTGAATACTGTTACATTACTTCCATGATTGGTACAAGTTTTAGGTTCACAAGTTTTCCCATTAGATGTACACATTTCCAACCAATTATTACAATTAGCATAATCTTATTAATAAACAAAATCATTGTAATTATAACAAGTTTTATCTGAACATTATGAACCTGAAACATAAGTACATCTCTATAACCATGCTTCACAATTTACATGAGATTTAACATTCACATAAGAACTATGATTTGTACAAGTTTTATCATTACATTATCCTGAAGTTGTGTAGGTACATTCATTAAACCAACCAACACAATTATTATAATTAAAAGTTGTTAAATCAGTTAAATCACATGTTCTTTTGGATTTACATCCAGTATTATCAGAATTAACAGTACAAGTATTTAACCATTAATAACAAGTATTTGCAGTATAAGATACTAATTTAGCATTAGCACAAGTCTTTGGTTAACAACTTAATTCATCAGCAGATACAGTACATAAATAATACCAATCATTACAATTAGTATGATTAAATACTGTTATTGAATGATTATAACATGTCTTTTAAGTACAACTAGTTCCTGATACTGTACATTCATCCCACCAAGCATTACAATTATTATGACTGAATACTGTTACTGCTGAACCATGATTACTACATGTTCTACTACTTATACAAGCAGTATGATCATCATTTGAACCACACTTGAATAACCAATTACTACAATTACTATCAGTGAAATCAGTAACATTAGATCCATAATTTTTACAAGTTCTTTCTATACATGCATCATTAGTAGAATTTACTGTACAAAGAGGAGACCAATTAGAACAATCATTATGTGTAAATGTAGTCACATTTGAACCATGATTAGTACATGTTCTTGTAATCTCACAAGCAGTTTAGTCAGGAGTACCAGAACATCCTGGCATCCATCCTGAACAATTGATATCATTAAATTCAGTAACAGCATATCCATGATTATTACATGTTCTATCTACACATGAAGTACCAACCCAAGCACATAATTAATCTGATATATTTTTATAACATTGATCATAATTTATAGCATCAGAACAATTAGTAGGTTTATCTGCACAAGTTGTTGGTTTATTTACTGTACATGAATTCATCCATCCATAACAAGATGAATGATCAAAATCTGTTATTCCTTATGTAGTTGTACAACTTCTATTTACACAACTAGATCCATTCCAATAACATTAAACATTTGAAGATGTATATGTACAATTTGCTGAATAATAATAATATGAACATGATGATTATAATGCCATACAACCAGTAGGAACTGATACATTATTCACTACACATGTAGATAACCAATTAGCACAATTTGTAGGAGTAAAATTAGTAATTCCAATAGTCAAACTACAAGTTCTATTCAAACAATAAGGAGGATCTGCAGTTGTATTCCAAGTACAAATAGTACCAGCACTATCCTTCACACATTAATGTTATGATAATTCATTACAAGTTGCTTTTCTTATTGTACAACCATTACCACCTATTCTACGTACTACATTACATCTATTATCATAACTATGACATTCATTTTTATCATCATAACTACTTGTATCTGGTGAATATATACATTATCTATCTAAACAAGAGGTTAAATACCATGAACATTTATTTCCATTCAAAATTTATTCACATTATCTTTAAGATGTGTATGAACTACAACTTGTTGACATTGTCATACATCCTCCTGTACCTGTAGCAACAACAGTACAAGTATTTAAGAAATTATTGCATTTTGTAAATGTATTATAATCTGTGCTTGCAGGTGCATTACTGCATGTTCTATCAACACAAGATCCAATCCAAGCACAAGGACCACCAGATGAATTTGTAGAAGTAGCAGTACATTAAGTTGCAGTAGTCATTTCTGAACAATTTGCTGGTTTTGGAATACAACCAGCTCCAGCATTATTAACAATACAACCTGAGAGATAAGTATTACATAAATCATTTGTTGTATGTGTATTATTAGCAGTTTAACAACTCTTATTTGCACATACTCCATTATTCCACTAACAAATATTATTATTGATATCAAATCTACAACTATTTGAATTTTAATATTAATCACAAGTATTTAATGGTTAACAACCATTTCCAGTTGTAGTACAACCAATTAAATATGAATTACAATTTTCATATGTTGTAAGTGAACTTGAAGCAGTATAACATTCTTTCTTTCTACAAGAATCTCCATACCATTCACAATCAACATTATAAGAATTTGTAATACATTATTATGGTATTTTCATTTCACTACATTAATATGGTCTATCCATACATCCCATTCCTGTATTTCTGACTGTACATTTACTTAAATATGCTCTACATTAAGCATCCGTAACAAAATTGTTATTCACTGGAGCATTTTCACATGTCTTATCAAAACATAATCCAGTCCAATTACAATTATTACCTAATGAGTCTTCTTTACAATTCTCCTTCTAAAATATCACCTCACAAGTCATATCAATACATCCATTTAAAGTTCTCTTTACAGTACATAATTTAGAATAAGTTTGACATTGCTCATGTGTATTATATACATTTGGAGCATTACTGCATGTTTTTAATCTACATTAACTTTGATACCAAAAGCACTCTCTACCTTATTAATCTAATAAACAAGCCTCCTTTATCATAATATTGGTACATTCCTAATTCTGAACACATCCACCATTTAATTTAGTTATACAACCAGATTTATATTATTCACAATCATAATTAGTATTTATTTCTTTTGGAGCATTATCACATGTTCTATCTTCACAACCATTTTTTAATGCATTAACTGTACAATCTGATTTGTATTCTGAACATTTCTAATGAGTATTATACTTTTTGCCTGCATTACTACAACTATACTAAACACATTATTTAATATTCCAAGAGCAATTTAATAATCCACTCTGACAACTAGTTTCATCTATAAAATCTTCACATTTACTATAACTATGACAACCACCATTTAAATTAGGTACACAATCACTTAAAAATTATTAACATTCTTCAAATGTTCTTAATAATTCAGATGCATTACTGCAAACTCTTTCTACACATTACTAATTCTTCCAATAACATTCTTTGCCATTCTTATCAATAGTACATGCTTCACTAGTTGGGATATCCACACAATTTCCAAGTTCAATACAACCTCCACCACTTGATAAGATACATCCTTATAAATAAGAATTACATTCTTCATTATTCTTTATACTGATTGGAGCAGATTAACACGATCTATCAGTACAAGATAACCCATTCCAATTACATCTAACTTGCATAAATCTATCCCAAAAACACTATTATTCACCTTCCTAATTTTAACAACCCCATCCACTCAATTAACATCCACCTTAATTTGATACTGTGCAATCACTATTCACTGCTCTACACTCTGCATCACTTTTCAATGTTTTTGGCAATTATCCACAATCCACACTCTTTTAACAGTTCTCATTCTCCCAAAAACAATAGTTCCCTTGTGTATCTTGTCCACATGATATTACTGTCTTATAATCTGAACATTCCCCTAATTCTATACATTTTTCTCCATCTGTTATACACTTTCGAGATATAGCTTAACACAATTCATTTGTGCTCTGTAAATAAACACTGCATGCACTAAACTCAATACATTTGTCAACCAAAAATGCACATCCTGATTAATTACTGCAATTCTGCTAATCAAATTGAGAACAAAAAGTTTCACTATCTTCTTCATTTATTATTTCTTATTTTAACTTCACTTAACATTCACCATTCTTCCACTTACAACCAGATTTTATGCAATCATCCTACACCATCAACTATTAGCATCCACATTCATAATCGCTTCCAACATTGATCTCTTTCCCAATTAATACACCACTTTAAAGAAGCAAAACCAATATCAATATCAAATGTTTCATATATTATATATATAATTACTCCTATACTCAATAATATCAATAAACTATAATTCAATTCAAATTTTTCCATCTCTCTATTCTTTTTTGATTATTTGACCAATACAAAAAAAAATCTTATTTTTATTCAATCTCTAAACAAATTCTAGCCTTAGTACTTAATGAGAATATCTTTATAAACTTAGTATTCATAATAAATTTTACTCCTAACATATTTTTGAATATAAACATCAACAAATCATTCTCTCTTGAATTAAAAGTATAAACCGATAGTTATTTGTTATACTATGAATTCTATGGTACTATTTCTAATTCTACCGCTAAAATAAAGGAGTATTCAGTTTCAATATTTTATAAACTCAAAAATATTATATTATATAAAAAACGAATTCATCTATGGTTCATCAAAAGATTGTTCTCTTAGCCCTGATTTGTTTNAAGATCAAATGGTTGTATTGTTTATCACCATATAGAAATGTTTAATCATTTTTTGTCATTCATAAAAATTTCAAAGATATTCAAATATAAGTGATGATGGAAAATATGATATTTTATACAAGGGGAACACATAGTTGAAAGGATTTTAATGGTGCAATGTAAAGTCCTAATTTGGAGGCTTTAAATTCTATAGGGTAGGAAAACTTTCATAAATGCAATCTGTATCTTATAACATATTAGGAGTCTTTAATAGTGTTAAAAAGTGAATTATATTTATTTATTTTTATTTTTTTTGGTATTATACAATAATTTATTATTTTTTTAACAATTATGTTTTGTTTGAATATTAAATTAAAATATATTATATGATTAGTTACTTCTATCTTAAATTAATTTTAGATAATTTATAAATTTTTAAATTATAAATTTCTTACATTTATATAATTATTTGACAATAAAAATATCAATTCTCTTTTACATGATAATAATAATTAACTTATATTTTATTAAATCAAATGAATATGATACTAAATTAAAACATTTATATCATTAGAATAAATAAAATTAAATAACATATAAAAAATAAATTTTTTATGATAAAATGATTTCTTATGGTATTCGAAATTTGGTTTTGTGCCTCTATATGAATTTAATAAAATGAATATAATTTCATAATGATAATATTGACATTATTGAAGCTATTATGTAAAATAAAAATTAAAGATATATAAATAAGAAGAGATTATTTACTGATATCTTTTATATGGAAATTTAATAGTTATTTATAAGATAAAATTATACAATCTATATAAAATCATACAATTATTAATAATTCTATATTAATTAATAATCTTCTTTCTATTTGACTTCTTTAAGTCCAATATAAGTATTGGTATCAATTAAATTAGTCAATAGAGAATTCAAAGTGCAATTCAACTCAAAATACTACACTAAAACCATTCAGATCAATTATTTTACTAGGGATTTGAAATAAAGTAGAAGTTGTATTAATGAACATTTATTTTAATCATTAATTACAAAAACGAATTAAATGAAAAGATTATATAGTTTAGCAATGCTATTATTGTTAGTTTCAGCAACTACAGTTACAAAGTAAGATATTGAATAGTTAACTAATATAGTAATTAAGGTGTTATGGATTCATATGTTAATCCAGGACTGTAATCTTCAATAGATGAATTAACATAATCAAAAATTGGACATATGGTTATTGATTTAGCTGAAGTTACTATGAGAGTTACTGGAGCTGTTGATTCATTAGTAGAAGGAGTCAAAGCCTTTGGTCGTTAAATTGAAGAGAGATTGAATTTGGAAAATACACAATGGGAAGTTGTTGAAAGTGAACATAATGCTAAAGTTATTTCACTTAGTTCATAAGCTAATTAAGCTGAATTTGATATTAATAGAGAAAAGAAAGTATTAAATTCTGAATTGATTCCAAGACTTCATGAATTAGATGATGTATTTATTATAATCTTAAACAAATTAATAGATCTTATTAGGACTTAAAGCTAAATAAACAGATAATGCATAATCATTTAAAGAAGCTGAAGCTGCTAGAAATTCATAACATGATTCATTTGTATTAACAACAACTGAATTTACTGATGCATTAAGAAATATTGATGAAGCATTAGATTTATTAAGTGATTTATTTAAAAGTGGTGAAGTTAGAGCTGCATTCATTGAAATTACAGATGAATAAAAACATAAAGTTAATAAAGCATTAAGATAAGTCAAAGCTAATACTGAAAATTTTGGTCATTAATATTCTTCATTTATTTAAGCATTAACTAATTTAACTGAAGGATTCAATTTCAAAGATAGATAAGTTTTAAAGGAAATGTGTGATTTCTTAAATAGTTTAAGATTGAATATCTTTGATGCATTAACTAAAGCTTATAAAGATGAAGACAGTTAAAAATAATAAGATGAATTAAGAAGATAATAATTAACATCTGAAAAAGCAGTATTTGATTAATAATATGCTGATTTCTATTAAGAAAGAGAAGATAAAACTGTTAGAATATCTGATGTTCAAACTATGATATCAACTAGAGAAGCTGATCTTAAAGCTTATTAAGATAGATTAAGAACTGAAAATAATAATTATTCAGCCAATCTTAAAATACATGATGATATTGTGGTAATCTTATCAAATTTATATAGTCATCTGTCTAATAAGAATTAGCAGTCTTAGCTAAAGCATTGTAAGTGGTTTCAACTCCACCATTCTTAGATTTCTTAAATGGAAGAATTGCTAAAGCATGATTTTATAACATTTAATATAGGACTGTTTTAAAATAATTAATTAATTCAAGTCTGGACAATTTCATTCTGTTTTTAAGTCAATACTTTTTTAATTTTAAAATCTTGTATTTTAGGGATATATTATATTTAAAGCAAATTTATAATTATAGATTTCTGATGATTTTTATATCTTTTAAGAGAGTATTTTAAGAATCCAAACTCAATTTCTTAGCTGATAATTATTGATTATTGAGACTTAAATATTGTGAAACTTCTTTTAACATCATTGCATTATTGATTTCTTAATCTCAATATATATTCACATAAATAATTTTGGCTATTAATCAGTAAGCACATTTGAATTAAGTTTCTTATTTGCAAAATAAATATTCTGATCCGATTTCATTTTATTGCTACATATTTTTGCATTAATAATAATATCTTTTTCTTTCTTCTTTATCCAGAATGATTTAGCAATTATGATCGAAAAGTTCTATAAGTGTTCCCTATCCATAATCCAAATGTTCTAATTTTTTGATATTGGTTTAAAATTTCACAAGATTGCACACCTAATAATTGACCTTTCTTTCCTTATAAATAATTTTGAGAGTATTCTTAATTTACTTGTTTTAGAGTAGAGATTTATCTAAATTAAATTATTTTTATTGATGTTTCCCATATTTTTATTATTATTTATATTATTATAAATGAATAAGTCCTTGTTTTTAAATAATTTTATCAATAAGCAACAAATTTGTGAATACTTTGGAAATGTGTTATATATACTTTATTATAGGTGTTATTAGCAACTGATTATTCAGGTCAGATTGTATTAATATTATGCAATGGAGAAATAATAACCTTTTAATTGATTTAATAGAAATAATGGTTGAAGACATCATAATTGAGAGTGATTCCTTAAACAGAAATAATATAACTAAATGATTACAATTTATAATTAAATGGAAATGGACGTAAGTTCTTCCTTTTGCAAGTTGATGAGCGATACGAGTTCAAAGTATCAATTTGGAAAAGAGGTCACAAAGCCAACTGGATATTCCAACAAAGTTTAAAACTCTATTCACATAGTGATTTCTTGTCAATTAATTTAAATGGAAATATTCTTATGGTTAATCATCTTAAAATGATTATACTTTGGGAGTTCAATCAAACATAAACAAAACTCACTCGAGTATAATCTTTATCTTTAGAATCTAATTTAGCTTGCTTTAATGAGAATTATAATGTAATTGCTGCTAAATTATAATATCGTATAGTATTACTAAAAAGAGTCAATTAGATGTGGGTTAAGTATTAGAATATAAAGACTGAATAGGTTGTATTTATGCAATTCTTCAAGAATAGATTAATATTAATGACTAAGTATTTATATATGTACAAGATGGATGAATAGTTTCAGTTCTAATTAGAAAAAAAGATACAATCAAACTTTTTTTAGAATGAACCATAGTTCTGTTTATTTATGGGATCTATTGTTATAGCTTAATTGCCTTCTTTAGAATTAGAGTGTCATAAATATGAAAATAATGTTTGGTCACAGGATGAAGGATATTTTACTGGAAAATTTGAGGCACATCAAATATTATAATCTAAAGACTATAAGAAATTATTTATTTATAGAAAGAGATATGGTGGAATGGTTTTCGAGAAGAAAAAGGAAATTAATGAGAAAATTTAATAATGAATTATTAATAATCCTTTTTGGTTATATTTCTTCACCACAAATAATTTTAATTTATGAAAAAAGGACTCATTCGTCTCTCTTCTAATTATTTATTAAGACAATCCAAGTTATTTAGCACAAACAATCGATTAGTCTTTAGATTTTGTTCAACCAAACAAGAAAAACATGAATTCAAAGCAGAAACCAAGAAATTACTTGACATAGTTGCTAAATCTATATACACTGATAAAGATGTTTTCTTAAGAGAATTGCTCTCCAATGCCTCAGATGCTTTGGAAAAACAAAGATTTTTGGCAACTTAAAAAGGTGAATAAGTTCCATCAGATCTGGAAATAAAAATTGAATTAGATGAATAAAAGAGAACAATTACTATAGAAGTAAATAAGTATATTCTATTTAAAAGGATTCAGGTATAGGTATGACAAAATAAGAAATGATTGATAATCTTGGTACTATTGCAAGAAGTGGGTCTAAATAATTCTTAGAATAAGTGGGAACATAAATGAATGATAAAATTATTGGTTAATTTGGTGTTGGATTCTATTCTTCATTTATTGTTGGAGATACTGTAGAAGTAGTGAGTAAAAGTGAAAGATCAGATAAGACTTATGTTTGGATATCAGATGGAACAGGAACATTTGAAATTTCAGAAGCAAAAGATTATTTCCAAGGAAGAGGAACTAAAATAACTATTCATCTTAAACCAGATTAAGCTATTTTCAGTAAGAAAACTGAAGTACTTAAAACTATCTAGAGATATTCAAATTTTATTAATTATCCTATTATTGTGAATGGAGAAAGACAAAATATTGTGTCAGCTATTTGGGTGAGAAGCAAAAATGAAATCACTCCAGAAGATTATAATAAATTCTATGAGTATATTTCAAATTCTAAACTTGCATACAAATATAAACTTCATTATTCTACAGATGCTCCCCTATCAATTAAAGCCTTATTGTACATTCCATAAACACACATGGAAAAGTATATTATTTAATTATTATATCTAGATATGGTATGTAAATGGAGGAATTTGATATCAGTCTATATTGTAAAAAGATATTGATAAAGAAAAACTGTAGAGAACTTCTACCACATTTCCTTAGATTTGTTAAAGGAGTTGTAGATTGTGAAGATCTCCCTTTAAATATTTCAAGAGAAGGCTATTAAGATTCAGCTTTGATTGCTAAACTCAAATCTGTAGTTGCCAAAAGAATTATCAAAGAAATTGAATCAGAAGCTCTTAGAGATCCTGCCAATTACCTTTCTTGGTATTAGGACTTTTAAAATTTTATTAAAGAAGGAGTTGCTATGGATGATGAACATAGAAACTCTATGACTAAATTATTAAGATTTTAAACAAATAAATCTGAAGATTTCATTTCTTTAGATGATTACATTTCCAAATTACCTTAAGGCATCAACAATATATATTATTATCTTGCTCCAACAAGACAATAAGCTTTAACATCACCATATATGGAACCTTTTACTAATTCAGAAATTCCTGTTATTTTGACTATGAATCATATGGATGAAGTAGTATTTAAATAAATAAATGAATATTCATCAAAAAAATTTGTTAATATTGAAAGTGATTAAGCTGAAGTTGATAAGGTTGCTTAGAAATCAACTGAAGAAAATGAAAAAAAAGAAGAAACCAATGTTGAAACAAACATTCCTAATGATGAAATTACACCTTTCTGTTTATGGTTAAAGAATGAATTGAATCCAATAATTTCTTAAGTTTAAATATCAAAAAGATTAAAGACTTCTCCTGCAATCATCGTATCTGCAATTTCATCAGGTATGAGACAAGTTATGCATGCTATGGGATAATCTACTGTATTTATAAATAAATATATTTTAGGATGACTTAAAAAACTTAACTCTAGAAATAAATGTAAATAATCCAATAATTGTTAATTTAAATAAAGTCAGAAAATCAAATAGAATTATTGCATCATTAGCAAGCAAATAGATTTTAGATGGTTGTCTCTTATCTTCTGGATTGTTAAGAGATCCAAAGGAAGTTGTAGAAAGATAACACAAAATTTTGAATGTCTTATTAACATCTGAAATGTATTTATTTTTATTATCCAATATTAGTAATACACCTATTATTGAAGAAGTGGGAGCATATAGAGAGGAAGCAGTTAAGTAGAATGATTAAAAGAAAGATGATTTGGATACAGAAATTATTATTGATAGTGATGGCAATCCTTAAGTTGTTAAAAAGAATAAAAAATGAATAATAATATTGTATATTACATATATTATGTTTATTATGTATATTAGTGTTACTTTTATTTATATTTCAGATTAAATTAGATTAAATCATAATATCTACTATATAATTTAATTGAATTTTTTTAATATTTCTCTATTTCTATTTATTTTTGATTCTTCTTTTGTGATTTTCTCTTCCATTTTTTTAGCATTTTAAATTACTTCATTTGGAATGCCTGCTATCTTAGCTACATTAGTAGCAAAACTCTTTTCAGCTACTCCACTTATTAATTTATATTCAAAGATCACTCTATCCATTTCCTAATAATGTTTCATTACACTTTATTGTATATTCTTACATAAAGCAAATTCGTCTAATAGAATATGATAATGAGTTGCAAATACTGTTTTAGGTTTAATCTTTTAAGATAAATATCTTAAAACTGCAGATGCCAATGCTACTCCATCATAAGTTGAAGTACCTCTTCCTAATTCATCTATTATCACTAAGCTTCTAGAAGTACAATGTTCTAATATAGTCTTTGTCTCTTCAAGTTCTATAAAGAAAGTTGATTTTCCTTCCAACATTCTATCAGATGCACCTAATCGACAAAAAATACGATCAAAAGGTACTAATTTGAATGACTTAGCAGGTACTGCACATCCAATTTAAGCTAAGATGATTTAGATCCCAATCAATCTCAATAGAGTAGATTTACCACTCATATTAGGACCTGTTAATAGGAGAGTATCAACAGAATTGATAAATTTTATTGTATTAGGAACCCAATTAATATCTCTATTTTACAATAAGCAAGGATGATATGCTTCTTATAAAATAAATTCCTAATCTTCATCTTCGTCAGGAGAATATTCAAGGATTTGTGGAAATGTATTAAATTGATATTGTTTGGATACTAATGCCAAAGAAATTCTAAATTTATAATAATATTTACAAACAATCTGCTTCTGAGAGTGTTGAAATAAGTTGCAAAAATTCTTTTCTATAAGAATAGAACTTAGTGAAGTAGTCATTAATAAATGGTATTAATTTTTGAGATAACTCATCTTCAACAACTTTTAAATTGAAAATCTATTATTCAATAAAATCTGTTTAGAATCGTTAAAATCCTTTCTTTTTGGATGTAATTACTAGTTCTTTCGGTTTTTAACCTGATTCTAAAAATTTATCAGGAATTTCAATTTAATATCGTATTTTACCATGGTGATATGAAATTTGAGGACATTTAAACTTATTCTGCCATTTCTTTAATTCTTATTCCAATGAATCTATAATATCAGTCATTTTATCAAATGCTCTATCATATTCTAGAGAGACACCCTTGAGTGGTTATGGTTCTCCATCTTGGATTGAAATGCATTTTTCTAATTCCTTTAAGGCACTATTAAGAATGGATGCATTTTCTTTATAACTTAAAATTTTCTTTAATTTGTTTGATTTGAATTTATTTAAATAATTTTCAAAGACTTTTAATGTCTCTGAAGCAGCTTTGATATGTTTAATCACTTGAGTAATTTCTTTTAACTTAATCTTCCCAAAACTTTCTCCTCCAGAAATAGGAACAGCCTTAAGCTTATGTGAATGGATAGTATTAAAACATCTGATTATGTTTCTCTCTAGATCTGGAATAGATTTTATTCTTCTTTGAAATTCATCACAAGGTTCAATAAAATCCATAAGATCTCTAACACAATCCTGTCTCTCTCTAATATGTTTGTGATTTAAGAGAGGACTCTAAACCCATTTGATTAATAATCTCTTCCCAAAAGGTGTTACACATTTATTTAAGTATTCGAAAAGACTTCCCTTTGAAGAAACTTTAGTTTAGAGATTTACATCAAAAATCTCCAAACTTTCTAATGCTTGAGAATCGAGATATAGATTTAGTTTTTGATTAAAGTTTGAATCAAGAAATTAAAACTTCCCTCTTCTATAAACAGAAGTGTGGATTAGTAATTGTCTCATATAGCATAATTAGATATAAAAGGATTAAAGAGTGAAATAATAAGAATAGTAAGTAGATTCATCTTCATCTTAAGCCAATTTCTTTTCAAAATAATATTGCTTCTCCAATTCTACAAATAAAGATGGATACTCATCACTTAAAACATAATCTCCATTTATGTTACTTTGTTCAATTATAATATCATCTGCTTAATCTTTATAAAGACCTTGATTGATATTAGTTTCTATCTGATTTTCAGGTTCGATTTTATCGGATGGTAGAATGATACCCTCAAAACTACTATTTATTGATTATTTATTCTTTTTATCTTAAGTCTTTCTCATTTCTAAATATTCAACTTTAAGTTATTCAAAAATGTATTCACACTCTTTAAATTCTTTTTTGGAGGTAATAATGATTGGATTACAAATAGTCCTATTAATTTATTAATTGGATATATTACTTCATCATTTTTTCAATTTCTGGAGTTGCCTTAGAGAGGATAACTTCAAGAGGTTTAGTTTTATATATAATAGATCTTAATTAATTTGATTATTCATCATCAAAGAATTGATCTAGATAAAAATTATTTGTTGTGCAATCTACTATAGATACTCCATAAACATATTTATGTCCTTTAAGATTGACAGGTGCATTTGAACAAACTAAAACTAAGAGGTTTCTAGATTCATATGAATCCATATCATTTAAATCTTACAATGTACCTCTACTAATTAATTAAGTAATTTCTCTTTTAACTATTTCTCCATCTTCTTTATTTGCAACATCTGCTTTTTCTAATTACTCGACCAACATAATTTTATGACCTTTTTCTAATAAAGTCCTTTGATATATGGGCAATTGACTATCATACACTGTCAAACAAGGTCGATCTCTTCCCCAAAAGCCTAAATGACGATTAAACATTCTGGCAATGATGATTGCATCATTATACATTACATTGATCCATCTACCACATCTAAAAAATACTAAAGAATCATAATGTGCTTTTTTGGCATTCCAATATTGTCTAAACATAGGTGATAATTTTTAATATTATGCAATAGGAATGTCTAATGTTGATGGATCATAATTTGGATCATAAGGTCTTCTACCTTCAGCATCTCTTATGAATTCAGGTTGAACAAAGGATGGCAACAAAAGTTCAGCTGTCTTAAAAAATTCTTCAGCATCTTTGGCTAATGGCTATTCAACCGGTTCGTAATTATTATTATTATCTTCCTCTTCTACTTGTTCAAATTATTTCAATTTTTATTTGCTTTTTGGTTTATCCTTCTTAACAGTAATAGATTTAGATTAATGAGGTTTTTTCTTATTATACTTATCATCATCAGAACTTGGTTGTAATTCAGATTCTGATGATACCTTCTCTTACTCAGGTTGATATTCCTCATCTAATCTCTTAAGTTTACCTGGTTTTTTAGTTTCTTTTTTAGTGGATTTCTTTTTTTGGTTCTTTGTAATCACAAACATATCATCATTCTCATCCTTCTAAATTTTCCGCATTTTTTTTTAATTTCTTTAATTTAAGTTTAATTTTTTAATTTAATCAATTCTCTTGCATTTCTCTTATACTTTATTTTAGAATTATTATTACATTCATATAGGATAGAATAGATTAATTGAAAAAGTGAACATTTCTATAAATTGAGTCTGTATAATTAAAATAATTATAAATATAATTTTCCAATGAGTACACATACAAAACTTGGTTTTAGTAGATCATTAAAGGAAGTATCACCACCTTAAAAAGAAAACCTATCTATTCAATAAGTGTTGGAAATGTTTCATTCCCCTTATACTGAACAATTAACTGATCGAAAGAGTGAAGCCATTGTAAGATTCTGTAGATAAAGATCAGGAGGGTTCTTATTGGAAGAGATGCAAGAATTAATTGAAATATTGAGATTGTCTATAGCTGAAAACAATGAATTAATGTAACCAGCCATATAAAAAATTTGCGAAACTGCTTCTGTTCCATTCATCAAATTAAGGACATCTGATTAATTGAAATTTGTTCCAAAATTAAGTGAATTCTTAGATACTTTGAAGCCTATACTCTATAGTCCATAACAGGAATCAAGTAGTCAATAGCCTGAATTACGAATGCCAGTTATTAAGTTTTTGAAATGTTTTGCAGAAGAAGGAATTAGTGAAATAATGAAAGAAGAAGCATCATTTGAACAATAAAAGAAATAAACTGAATTATCTCCCTTGTAACATCTCTTAAAGAATGGAACAAGAGTATTTATCTATATATGAAATTCATTAGAATCTAAGAGCATTAAACTAATCCAATTTGATTGAGAATATCATCTTTACTATGTAACATTATTCAAAATAATATGAATATTTATTACCTTTGCTTGAATTGATTTCTAGTTGTATCCTCTATAGAGATTTAGCAGCTAAATTTTCAAATTTTGGCATATTAAAGGATATTGTGTATGTGATTTTTGAATGCGAAGATTTCAGATCCTACATAGTAAAATCATGTTTTGAGATTATATGGAATACTATTGAAGTAAGAAGGATAATATAAATAATAGGCTGTAGGAGTTGCATCAATTAAGTTATTTGCAGTTGAAGATATCATATCTGGTTTGAAGAAACTATTTGAAAATATAATGAAATAGGGATATAAATTAGAAGACAAATGTTTGAGAAATGAAATCTTAATTTTATTAAATTATCTTATGAGAGATGAAAAAGTAAATTTTATAATTTTTCTATTTTAGGCTTTATAATATTTTGTTGATAAGCCTTAAGCACATTCAATTTAATAATAGACTAATTTCTTAGAAGTGTTATTATTTTATGCTACAATTGATGAAGTCACTTTCTATAATGAGCCAATTAGAACTAATTAATTAAAAGCATTCTTTGGTACTACTAGTGAAGACTTAGAATTTAAGAAATTAATTTGGAGTGGAATTTTGACTGCAGTCTAATCTGGCAATTAAGCTGTTTTAGAAGCAGTTAAAGAGTCTCCTTTCATTGTCACTTTGTTATTATATATAGATCCACTTGCAAATAGTTATGCTGTTAATAGATGGTCTCCTCCATAAAAAAAAGAAATATAATTACATTGTTTAGGAATATTGGGAAATGCAATTGTTTATTTAAAAGATGAGTAATAAATGAATATATTTTTCAACTAGTTTTTATGAAAAAAATGGTCTATTTTGTTTAACCAAGTTTCTTACTAACACATAAGAATTGGATCATAAAGAAAGATGTTTAAAGGCCTTCAATAATGCATCAGAATTTGAATAGAATTATAAAATCAAAATTTGTGATGAAGGTGTAATGGATAATCTTATAGAATTTTTGTAAAATGAAAATGATAATGATAATCCATTAAAAATTAAAGAATTGTGTTTTTCCATTATTTCCAATTTGTGTAAAGAGTGCAATAAAAATAAAAAATTATTTAGATAAAAAGGTGCTGTTGAATTAATGGTTAATGCATTAAAGAATCCTAATTTAGGTACAAGTGCAAGATATGCTCTATATGCAGTAAGTGTTCTTGATTGTTTATGGAACACTATTTTAGGCAATAGAAAATCTGAAGCTATCTTTTTGGATTCGGAAGGACTCTATGTATTATTGGAATTTTTGGAAACTTGTGATGATATGCATAAGAAACTTACTCTATCTTGTTTAAGTTATTTGATGGAAAATCCTAAAGCTATTCCATACTTTTGTGATTGGAATTCCCCAAAAACAATGATTAATAGTACATAATTACTTGTCAAAATTTATGTTGCAGAAGATTAAAGGTTTGGAGTCAAATATTCTGATGGCATTGTTATGAATAAACTCAGACCATTGAATCCATAAAATGATCCAAGTCTTAGATCAACCAATTAATAAGGAGATCATAAAACAAAGCATTTGAAATCACTTAGAATCTAATAGGAGGATTTGGAATCAGATGTGGGTAGTGAAGCATATTTAGTGAGAAGAATAACTGAAAAATCAGCTGAATACGATTTAAGAGCAATTGTATTTGCTATCTTATATAGAACAGGATTTGATAAAAATGAATTATTACCAAATGAGAAATAGATGGTAGAAGTTATACAATTATATCCTCATTTTAAAATAGGAGAAATATGGAGAGAAATCAAATATGATTTAGAATAAGATAAAATTAAACCTACTTCAGATGATTATCATTGGTTAATGACCTCAATTGAAGAATCTGAAGAACTTGTAATGAATTGCATGAATACTTAAGGACTTGTATCATTATTGATTAATATTTTAGATTGCAAGAGAGTTTAGAAAAGTCTAAGAGGAAGAACTTACCAAATTTTACGATATTATTAGAAGTAACAAGTTAACTAAATGAATAATATTCATATTAAATGTTATTTATATAGATTCCAATCTCTTCAACTAAATAACAGTATTCATTTATATTTATATGACTAATTCACAATATTCAAGATTAAGTGATTTATTGCACAGTATCATGATTTTTACTTGGACTTTATGCTTATCTTTTAAAATATAAAGTGTTCTAAGTTGCTGGATTCAGAACTGGTACTTAAACTATCTTATTTTGATTATAGTCAAACAATTTAACAGTTTTAGATAGTTAGTATTAGAGTCCATTCTTCTCCTTGTTCTGTTCAATTATATTGTCACTAGGATGTGATTTTAGTGATGAGTTTCCACAAATTCCCATAGCTTTCCCTGAGTTAACTATAAAGTTTTATTTATAATATATATTTATATAATTATTGTCAGAAACTAAAGTAATATTGTTTATTTCAACTGGTTACAAGTGAATTTGATCTAAATCGTTTATATGTATTATTTTTATTGTAGTCTTAAATAACACTTTTAAATCTCTATCTACTGAATTAACAATACGAAATTCTTTTAATTGGGCTTGTGGATGTTATATTAAGGGGTGATTCCTATTCTAAAAATATTAAATCAAAGATATGACCTCTTAACATTTCCATAATTCTATCCTATAAACTAAACTAACTATCGCATTCCTTAATACAAGATAAAAACATAGCATCTTTGCTTATTAACATATCTCAACCTTCTAATTATTTAAATTACCTTTGATCAAGCCTTTCTAAGCATATGAAATTAAATCCCTTTTATACAATTCATATAAAGTTTACAATACTTCACTTTCGATTACCATTATAAATAAATTTATATAACACTTGAATTGATACAATTTTATTTTAAACTTTAGAAAAATGCTTTTTATTTTTATTATTCAATTATATTAATTTCATATACTCTTGATTTTATACTAAATTGTTGAAATAAAACATAATTTATTTAAACTTTTCTATTACTTTGAAAAGCCCTTAATCTAATTTAATAGACAAAAGCAAACTCTTTTTAATAAATTTCTAATTTGATATTTTTCAGAAAAGAAGATTTTATAAATTATATTTTTATCTAAAAATTATTTCATAATTATTTTTCCTCTTTAATTATTATAAATATCCATTAATTAATGTTTCATATTTTCTTAATTAATTTCCTATACCATCTGCAGAGGACTAGTTAGAAAATATTATTTATTCATCAAGTAATTCATTAGAATGATACTTAATCTCAAAATAATAAATAATAGTTTTACTTTTTTACTTTTTATATTAAAAATTTGATTATATTCTGATGACTTAAGATATGTTTTATATATAGCTTAATGTATTGATGAACTGATTCATTAAATTTAATTTTGAGAAAATTAGTACATATTATGTAAACTATTAATTTAATCATGGTTTTTTGACATCATTATATGATAAGGAGAAATCTCTTAATCCCCAAAATTCACCAGCATTCATATCTTCGATTTAGACTAGTAAGAAGATTTCCTCATCCTAATTATCCAAAATATAATCAAATTTAAACAGATGAGTGTATTCTGTACCTCCACAAAATTTGCGATCTTAAATTAGAATATAATCTTATTTTTATAAATCGTTAATTTTTTATGTTAAAATAAATTAAGTCTGCCTAAGCGAAGTTTAAATTATCAAAATAGAAAAACTTATTCTTATTTGAACATGTGAAGGTAAATTTTGAAACTTTTTCAATAAATATGAATCTTTATCTAATGCATTTGATCCTCCAATGAATGACTTAGAACCACATTACCAAATTGGTGAATTTTTTAAAATTATCTTCCAAGGTGATATGTTATTATTGGAAAACTTTACATCATTCAAATTTTTCAGGTAAGGAAATCCATTTACTGTTAATATGAATTCTCTTATACCCCAATAAGCTAAGATTATTTAAATTAAATTTACCAGTTGATGTATCTGGTTAATTTGTATAAATTTGTATGATTACTTAAGATCTTGTATGGGGAATAGATACAATACTGATCTTCATTACTTAATCAATTTGAGCATACACACCACAATATGGCATATCTTTTCTTGAATCAACTGTTGAAGGTATTGCATATTAATACACAATCTTTCCATCTACACTTACAAACAAAATATCATTATTGAATTAATCAATGTAGTAGATTTTAAATGATACACCTATTTTAATATGTGTTTTCAAATCATATACACTTTAAAGCAAATGTTTACCTTATAAATTGTTATATCCGCCAAGTAAAGCTTAATTATTACATTCATTTGGTTAAGAAAATTGAAATGTTGACACTACCTACCAATCCTCATCATCACTGAATGTAATTAATTTCAGATTGTTGGCAATTAAAGTAAATTTAGGATACTTAATATTTTGACATTAGCTCTCTTTAGGACCTGTACAAGAATATTAGCAATTTGGATGGCATTTTTTAATCAACACCTAAAAGTTACGAATACCCCACTTAGTTTTCCATCCCTTAAATGATTAATTGGGAAATGATGAAAACTCAAATATGGTGTCTTGATGAAAAGATTCAAATTCAACTTATGAAATAAGATCCCCTCGAGTTCTATCAATAAGTCTGGAGCAATATGAAGGACTTTTGTCATAGGTTGTATATCCGATTAAATATTCTGTCTTGCCATTTAACTACCCTTACCAAAATGTTGAAGGGGCGAATGCTTATTAAAGTACTATATGCAAATATTATATTTTAATTCTGTAATGGGGTTCTAAGATAAAAGTTTTTCTGGCTTAGTCTCCCATTTCCAAGTATCCAAGAATTTGCATTGAATTTATGTCTTTATATAAATGAATATTACTTTCACTACTACAATCAGTTGATTTGTGAATTTTGATGCTTGGAGATGCTTAAATGATTGTCCAGCCATCACTATTAAATAGATTTCTGTCTATTTCTACCAAAGATTCTGAAGAGAGCTACCAATCTATACATTCATATTCTTGTGTATCGGTTACTTTACAATGTATACAATTATTTGGACATGGGATTGAATATAAATAAAAATCCCTTATACCAAAAGTTACTTTCTAATTTTTTAGTCGAATACATACATCAGTATCAATTGCTTTACTAGAAAATTAAATAAATATAGACGAAGCAGTATGCCTTATTGTCAATTCCAAATTTTATTTTATTTCCTTTTAAGATTGACTAAATATAGGCCAAACTTAGAATTTTCTTTATCCATCTATAAACAAATTAATAGAGCAATTTCCAGTAGGGCTAATTTGTGTATTGAGTCTATTTTTTTAGTTCTTAATATACATATAAATCGAAAAAGTAACAAACAATGCTTTATGAGGCTTGAGATTATTATAATATCTAATCATTCCTTAAAATACAGAATCACTTGAATATTGATCAAAAATATTCTTAGAGCGATCCCAAAATACTGAATTAAACCCAAAATAACTTTAAGTTAATGAAGGAGGCTTATCAATTCCAGATCCTTATTATTAAACAACAATTAAATTCCAACCTCATTTCTAGTAATTAAAATACCATCAAAATTTGTGAATGTATCATCTGTAAATGAAGAGAATTCCAATACTTTTTGGGATTCAATTAATTTTAGTAGCATTATGATAAGTAAAGGAAGTTGAACAATCATTTTTGGTAAATAAATAATAAAAATTTTATCCACTTTATTAATGAAGATAAGCAATTATTATATATAACTAATATTTTCAAATAGAAAGATAGAGAGAAAATCTATTTTAATATAGGAAATTAGAAATAGCTTGACATCATTTTAATCTGATGCAAAATATTGTCAATTAATTCATTCATTCTTGATAGTGTAACAATTTAAATACATTAAAAAAGGAGGAATTTATGGTTGTCTTTTGTTAGTTTATGATAAAGACATCAAGAAACAAGGATAAGTTAATTTAATAAATTATTTATAAATTTATGCTGAAATTTCTTAAAATAACGGATACTAAAATGAAAGTCAAAATACCTGTTTATAGAATTGGGTAAACTCTAAAAACTTTTTAAATATCAAAAAACGCAATTTTATAAATTGTGATAAACTATTTTATCTTATATTTTATATGAGATGTTTTTTTGAAAATATAACCGCATAGAAACTTTAATTGTAGTATGTTATGAATTATATCGAATATCAACAATATAGGCTTTATTCTCAAAGGCTATTTTTCAAGAGAATCTATATCAGCTAAAATTCAAAATACTAGTTCATAATCGAACATGTAATCATTTTTTTACAAGTTCCAGTTTTAGCTGTTGTTATTTTAATTTAGGTTTGTTAAGTGAATACAATCACAATTAATCTATTTGAGGAAAATTAATTAAATTAAATAAAATAGGTATTTTCCTTACATTACTCTACCTTTATGTTCTAATTTAATAAACTAAAAATATATATATTTGGAAAATAATAAAATAAAAAATTTCTCTTATTTTGAAATAATCACTAATTATACATAGAAATAATTGCCTCAACAATAATTTAAATTTGTCTGATTTCGATTTTTACTATTTTTTATAATTATATTTTTTAAATCCTAGGAAATAATGGATAGTAGATGGATGATGTCCAGCAATTCATAGTTTAGAATCTAACCAAAAGAAAATCCAGTGTTTATATATTTGAAATTTAACCCTATAGTGTTGCTAATTGAAGTTTAATTCATAGAGAAACTTTTATTTCTTATATTTCTTCTTTTATTAATCCCTAATATCAAGTGAAAACTATTAATTTATTTAGATAAAATTGGAGATGACATAAAATATTAATTATCTCCATTATTTAAACCTTAATTAATAAACTTAAGGGGAGAGAAGGATGATGAAATTTGATATAATTGAAATGAATTATATTTTAGTATTTTACTAAATTAATTTGCAAATTATCAAACTAATTAAAATATTATAGTTAAAGTTAATATAATTTGAAAGAGTGAACTCTGATATGTAAGTTAAATAGTGACTGCTTATTTCAGATAATATTTCACAAAACTTTATTTAAATTCATCATTTACAAACTCAATATGAAGGTTTTAATAAATATTCTTTAGTAATTTGCAATGTTGTATATAAAAATGGTAAGAAAGTAGGTAGATGGGATATTTAGTTTAGGCCTGATGGGATAAACCATTTACAAAAATTGAATATATATTTGAGAACAGTTGTGATTGTTAATATGATGAAGCAGGTTATTTGTTGACTTAAGGTAGATAATTGGGGGGAAATATCGGATACTTATAACACTCTATCTTAAATTACTGCAAATGGGGAATATAATAATGGTAAGAAAGTTGGTGAACGGGTAGAAATGACTGTAAAATGATATTGAAAACATATAAAAAAAAAATTCTTTTTGATTATTAACATATCACAATAAGTTAAATATACATTTAAAAAAAAATATCATAATTAAAGTATTGATATATTAATGTGTGACTTTATGAACAATTTACATTTTTATTTTTAAGGAAATATTTGTCTTATAATTTTGACTTATAGAATATGTTAATTTTTTTATGGTTTTATTTAAAATTTCTTCATTTTTTAATTATATATTTTTGTTCTTTATACTTAATTTTTATTTTAAATCTTCAATTTTTAAAATTTGCTTTTTATTAATCGTTTTTATAATTATTATTAAATTTACTTTTTCGTATATTCTTAAATATTTATACAATTCTATTTTATTTTTGAGATTCAATCATCATAGTAGTACTTTATTTCATTTTCATTTATTTCCTTTTAATATAAATACATCTTCAACTATCTCAATGCGATATTTCACAATCAAATTCTGTTTATATTTGATTGTAAATTATTTAATGTTGTTGTTCTGATTAATTAGGGCTAATTTATAACCTGCTTATTTTACTGTATTAATTTATTTAAAAGCTTTGAATATTTTATTAGAACATCTCAAAAAAATTATCAAAATACAATTTTTTTTTTAATTAAGTAAATGCAATAATAAAATTAAGATAATATAATGATATTATTTATTTGGTTTTAGTAAAGAGACATTTCTTCTTTCTAAAAACATTTGATATTGTAGTAAGTCTTGTAAGTCCTTTTAAAATGAATGGAAAGTTTCTTAAATGCTATTAAAAGAGGACTTTTTGGCTCTAAATTATAGAGCCATTATTTCGCCAGAATTTCTTTATCAAGGGGAAACATGGAAAGAGCATATATCTAAAGGATAGTATTAACAGGATTGTAACAAAAAAGGAAATATTTAGAAGAGAATGATATAATACCTCAAAAAAAGAGTAATAACAGGATAAAATAAGGAAATATAATATGTTTTTGAGTATAAAAACTGATAGAGGTTCTTTTTTTGATTGAGTTGCATATTTCAAGTGATATTAAATAAATAAATAAATTATTAGTAGTTAACAAATTCTATTAGCCAAAAGTGTGTAAAAGTTGAGGAGATTTTTCAGTTGATTATAGAGGCATTTGATAATATACATCCAGTGTGCAATAGATTAGAAAGTTTATAGCAGGGATTTAGATATATATTCATCAATCTCATAAACATATAATTTAAAAATAAATTAATTTTATATTGATTAATCATATTTGAGACAACTAATGGGGAAAATTCAATAATTTTCAATATCTAATTACTAAAGTTCAGGTTCACTTTTCTTTCAAACAGAAGAGTTTAGATCATAACTAATCTATAATCCTTTCATCAATTTAGACTAGGATAGACTCAAAACTTAATAATCGTTGGACCTTTTCTTCACAATTGAGTCAAATTTATATATTTTTAAATTTGAATGATTGAACAAAATTCAATACAGGATGTTTAATATATAAATCAGATACACTTTATTGAATAATCTATAAAAAATTAGAAGCCAGATAGAAAAATAGATATTGCTACAAGAGGTATTGATTTAGCAGCCAGAATCGATTCAATCTAAGATCAATCTTAAAAATAACTAATATAAAATATGCTTGAATTAATAAATAAGGTCATAATCTAATGGAAAGAATTTTTATCCCAATATTAAAAGGAATTAACAAAAATGAATTTTTATATGAATTCTATTCAGCTCTAATAATAAAATTATGGCAATTCCAATTAAATGTATAAACCCTTCAATAAGACTAATATTTTTAATGATTTTATAAGAATCTTTCGAATTATAGGAGTGTGATATAATTATTAAATAAGCTACAAATGATAATAATGATGATAATTAATAAATCTTATTCACATCGAAAGTGTCAAGAAAAAAATTAAGCAATAATAACAATTTTTACTACATCAGCATTCAGCTTGTTTACATGATCATAACCATATTACTGGCATCCTATAGGATGCAGCAATATACCTCTTAAATAAAATAATTTTCAGCTTCTGAGCATTCTTTATCAATTTTTATATATTATTTTTAAGAATCAACTATAAATAATGTATGTGCCGCTTAAATAAAAATTTATTATTTCAAGATGATTGCTCTTCCTAAAAAAGAATTTTTAACTAATAAATTTTACTTTAAACCCTATACTCTATCGAATAATATTCCATATAAAAGAGATATAAGAAGCTTAGCTAGATTTAGCTTTCATTTTCTGGGTACAATTATTAAATAAATAAAATATGTATAAGGATTAACAAGAAAACAAAAAAAAAATGGTTAATAATCTTTTAAAAAAACCTAACAAAATCATTATTCATAATTTCAATTACTAAGAATAGTGATTTATTCCATATTCTTTAAGAATCAAGCTATGCAAAGATTTATTTGATTTCTCATTATGCTATTTAATAACAATTACAATAAACTGAAAATCTTTACAATTTCAGTTTTTCTCTACAAAATAATATATAATATCCTTTTTGATTCAAAGTATAAAACAGAAAAAAAAAGTATGAGAAATTTATTATTTTTTAAAAAAACAAAGATGATGAAAAGCACTTTAGAATAGATTTAAGATTTATAGGAGGTTTTAGCTACCCTAAAAGATATTGATATATAAGTATTCAGCATGATAATTGAAATTTTCAGAAATGAAAAAATTTCAGATTGTCTTGATTTTCTTTAAAATGATGAAAATCATAGGCATTGCGAAAGATAAATGTTATAAGTAGAGAATTTATAATTAGTTGATAAAAAATAAAAGTTAAATGTTATAAGAAATAATATTAAGTTAATTACTAAAGCTCTCAAAAAAATTAAAGATCATGATTTTAATGAAAATGACTATTCCACTTAAAAATACCTTGAAACTAAACAGGAATTAATTAAGAAAATAGAAAAAGAATAGATGAAAGTCTAATTTTTAAAATTCTTAGTTCACCTAACAGCTCTTGATAACAAATTCATATAATGTGGATCTAATTCACTTTTTTTATTAGTATAAATGAAGATTGATCTGAGATAATAATGTTTTTAAGGCATTAAGATTAAAAATACTAATTTGATGGGAGCTAATTTTGTTAGATGTAATTTGAGTGGTTCTGAATTTTATAATGTGGATATTAGCGGAGTGAATTTAAACGGAGCTAAATTGTTTAATTGTAAATGGAAACACTTAAGTATCCATGAATTACATAAATTAATTGGACATACAAATTATGTCAATTCAGTATGCTTTTCTCCTGATGGTACTCTAATAGCATCAGGTAGTGGAGATCAGTCTGTAAGAATATGGGATGTGAAGACTGGATAACAAAAAATCTAATTAGATAGTCATAGTAGTTGTGTCTAATCAGTATCCTTCTCTCCTGATGGTATGATTTTAGCATCTGGTAGTGGAGATCAATCTATCAGAATATGGGATGTTAAGACCGGATAATAAATAATCTAATTAGATGGTCATACTAGTTCTGTCCTATCAATAAGCTTCTCTCCTGATGGCACGATATTAGCATCTGGTAGTGATGATAATTCTATCCGTTTATGGGATGTTAAGACAGGACAATAAAAATAAAAACTAGATGGTCATAGTAATAGAGTCCTATCAGTTTGTTTTTCTCCTGATGGTAATACATTAGCATCTGGTAGTGATGATAACTCTATCATTTTATGGGATTTTATAACAAGAAAAACATAAGCAAAATTTTATGGTCATGAAGGTGAAATCTTATCAGTATGCTTCTCTCCTGATGGTACTATATTAGCATCTGGTAGTGGAGATCAGTCCATCCGAATATGGGATGTTAAGACAGGACATTAAAAAGCGAATTTAAATGGTCATACTAGTTATGTCAATTAAGTATGTTTCTCTCATGATGGTACAACACTAGCATCTGGTAGCAGCGATAACTCTATCAGGTTATGGGATGTTAAGACAGGACTATAAAAATTAAAATTAGATGGACATAGTGAATGGGTTTCGTAAGTATGTTTCTCACCTGATGGAGCTATTTTAGCATCTGGTAGTGGAGATAAGTCTATCCGTTTATGGAATATGAAGTAAGGACAATAAGAATATAAATTAGAAGGCCATAATGAATGGATTTCTTAAGTATGTTTCTCTCCTGATGGTAATACTTTAGCCTCTGGTAGTCATGATAACACTATCCGTTTATGGAATATTAAGACAGGACAATAAAAAGGCAAACTAGATGGTCATACTGGTTATGTCCAATCGATAACCTTCTCTCCTGATGGTGCTACATTAGCATCTGGTAGTGCAGATAAGTCTATCCGTTTATGGGATGTTAAGACAGGATAATAAAAAAGCAAAATTGATGGTCATACTAGTAATGTCTACTCTGTATGCTTCTCTGCTGATGGTAATACTTTAGCATCTGGTAGTGCAGATTAGTCCGTCAGAATATGGGATGTTAAGTCAGGATAATAAAAGGCAAAATTGGATGGTCATTTTGGTTATGTCCAATCAGTAAGTTTCTCTCCTGATAATAATACATTAGCATCTGGTAGTTATGATAACTCAGTACGTTTATGGGATGTTAAGACCGGGAAATAATAAGGAAAATTTGATGGCCATAGTAATTGGGTCTCATAAGTATGTTTCTCTCCTGAGGGTACGATATTAGCATCTAGTAGCTTTGATAACTCAATTTGTTTATGGGATGTTCAGGCAGGATAATAAAAAGCAAAATTAGATGGCCATGTTGGTTACGTCGAATCAATAAGCTTCTCACCTGATGGTACTAAATTAGCATCTGGTAGTGCAGATAAGTCTATCTTTATATGGGATATTGAGACTGGATAATAAGAAGCAAAATTTGATGGTCATAATGATCGGGTTTCATAAGTTTGTTTCTCTTCTGATGGTAGTATATTAGCATCTGGTAGTGGAGATAAGTCTATTCGTTTATGGAGTATTAAAGCAGGAAAAGAAATAGAAAACTTGTATTAAAGTTATTAAGATATTTTGGCATAATTTAAAACAGCCTTAGTTAATAACAATTGTCTTCCAAAATATGGTATTTATTTTGAATATTATTCAGTTTCCACTAATATCACAATTCTCATAATATCCCAATAACCAATTTTTACAGCAGAAGGAGCCTTAATTTTTTAAGGAGAATTTCTAAATTATTAAGGTATAGATTTAAAAACCTTGTTTCAATAAAAAGGAGGTTGCATTTTGGATGGCTAAAAAGAATTTTCACAAGATGAAATTAAAAAATGAATATTATAAAGAAAAATTATATATTTGCATAATTATTTCAGTTAGCTTTTTAAGAAATTATTTAACAATCCTGCATTCTATTATATTGCTATTTATAAATAATTTTTTGTTAAATATCAATTCATTTAGCCTTTGTCTTTACTCGAAATATACTTTATACTTTTGATTTTTATAAATTTCATATTGATTAATGTGAAGTGATGTAAAAAGAAAATAATACTGATTGAAAATTAGATATTAAAAATAAATCAATTAATGAGTAAATTAAAATAAATTAAATGAAAAAAAGTTTGTTTTTTATCATCTATTTAATTTCGCTATCAAATGAGAATGCCTATGCGTATAATTCAATGGCTGGCTTTATTTTTTTTCATAAAAAAGAATAAAAGAGATCAATTTAATTAAATTCTTTTTGGGTAATATATAAAGAGCATAATATGTTTTACTAAAGAACTAGAGGGGAAGCCCAAATATTAAATTTTTTTAGAAATGAGCTTCCTATATCAATTAGATGTTATAACTCTCAAACTATAATCATAACCATAAATCTAAGTTTATGGACTGAAATTTTGAGTGTTTTTGGACGCGCCTTTGAATATTGAAATTTTTTATTATTTTAGATTACCTCTTAAAAAACTATACTAATATTTGGGAAATAAGCTACTGATAAATTGAATCCTTATTATTGTTAATTTAACTCTAATATCCGTATGACTCTTTTTTTTGTAGTAGCTAATGGATAAGAATTAATTTGATCATTTATATTTATTCCAAAAGCTAACGATAGGTTATTCAATAATCAAGTATTGTGAAGATAAATAAATACTAATTTACTACTTTAAATCTTGATAAAACTTTTGGAGATTTTTGAATAAATATAACATTTTTTATGCGTTATATAATCAAGATAAATTTATTTAGATTGAAGAATGATTGATTTTCTATAAATTTTAGTTTCAATTTGTTTCTATCATAAATATTTGGTTTTCTAAATCTAAAAATTAAATAGTTGCCCTCTTATGATTAGGAAAATTTAATTTTACTTTATAGGCTCAAATAAGTTATTATTATGATTTATTAATTGTAATTTATTTGTTTCCATCTATATTGAAGAACAAATTAAAATAGTTGTGCTGAAAATACATCAAATCAAAACTTTTAATGGTAAAGCATATATGATTAACCTATGTTTATTTTTCCCTCAAATTTAGTTCCCTACAATCTATAATTCATCATAGATTTTGGTGTCTTTAAATTATAAAAGAAAATAAATGATCACTGATAAATATTATAACCTGAGACAATTCATATTCTAATTGGCCCAAATTATTTAAAGATTGGTAAAGCAGATGTAGAATTAACAATTAACTCATTTTTGATAAAGATTTAAGAATAATATGAAGATGAAAGAAAATAGTTGATCATAATTAATTTGATTATTATAGTTTATATTTAAATTTAATCTATTTTTAAAATATGTTATTATATAAAATTTATTCTGTTTATATAACTCATTTTTGTAATTGAAATTTATGGTTTTTTATAATTATTTCATAGAGTAATGATAATTAAAAATTATTTACAAGAAAAGAGAGAAACCACTGTTGACCAACAGAGATCCCTTTAATGATAATTATTATTTAATTTGCAAAAATTTAATCATTCTTTAATATTAATTTTTAAAAGGAAACAACCATTCGCTCTAAGCAGTCATTTAATTAAATATATGATAATAGTTGATAATCCTCAATTAGTATTTAGGCTTAAGAGCATTTAAGACGATTTATTTAGGAAAAATCTATTGGGCTATTTTTAGTCTTATTTTAATAATTCAGAAGGACTGATGCCATTTTCTGAATCTTCTTCATCTGATATTTTTAGGCATTTTTTTTCTTATCAACACTTCAGAATTACTTCTATTCTTTCTATCCTCTTAACAAATTACTCATAGCAAACAATCAGCATTTGTTTAGATTTTTTTATACAGTACTTCTTTGTATTAGCCTTACTTTCTAAAGTTTCATCATCTTCCCCCACTGATTTTCTATTACTAGCTTTTTTATAATGCTTAAAGGTTATTTTCATTTAAAAGAATTCACAAATAAATGCTATTTAGAACAATGAATGAAAAATTTATAATATCCATTTATTTTGAATCAGGAATAATCTATGAAACATTTTCAACAATCTTTTAAATAAGTAAGGGAATCTGCTAATAAATTAATTACTTCATAATTAATATATTTTAATTATCTCCTATTAATTAACATTTCCCAATTCGAATTGCAGCTAATCTAAAGACTAAATATCCACTATAATTATTTTGAATTTATAATGTATAAATTCAGCTTTCAGGTCTTTGATTGTAATTTATTAGCTTAATGATATTTTCTGGAGAATCCTCCCCATTTTTTAATAAAAAATATACAAAGGTTTTGGACTATATTTCCTTTTTGAATGATTTTTTATCATAAATACTTTAGCCGATGCTTAAAAATAACATTTTCACTCAATCTGCACCCATTTCTTGAACTTACTTTATTACCTAATTTAATGTTCGCTAATTATATGCTTGCATAATATCAACATTTCTCTAACATCACTATTACATGAAATTATGTTAAAGGAAAAATCTCTGGAAGAATCTTCAAAAATGTATCAAAAATTGTTTATTACATAAGTTTTAATAAAATCGACAGAGGAAAATAATAATTCGAAGATTTTATTTGGTGCCATATTATCTAAATCACTCATATCTAAAGTAACAATTAATTAGATCTATGAAGTTTATAATTCAATTTATTTCTCCTTTATTTTGTTCAAGACTTAACACATATAATAGATTTTTACGCATCAATTATTGCAGTAATATTTTACTTTTAATTTAATTTGATTGCTTAAATGTCGTTAGGCAATTCTAATTTTCAAAATATTTCAGAAATACCTCTAAAGGTTAGATGTATACAAATTAAATTTTAATGGTTTCCAGGACTTAAACTACCCATTTTTACATTTTTTATGTTTGATATTTTTCATTCATCTCCACCTAACCCAATTTTCTCACACTCTTACATTCTTTTCTTCTCTTTTTATATTTTTTTTTTGCCTCTTCCTTTATTACTCCATAAACCTCCATTCTCCAAATTCACAACCATCTTGGGCAAAGCAGAATTTTTGTCTATTTTGAATAAGTATTCTAATTCACATTAATCTTTGTTTTATTTTTTTCAAATAGATTAAGAATATTTCAAACCTCAGCTAAATTACTTAATTTTGTCTTACTATCATAACAAATTACTATAGGATGACTCTATTTTTTATTTCTCCTTTTTAGTACTATTTTATACTTANTTGCAGCTAATCTAAAGACTAAATATCCACTATAATTATTTTGAATTTATAATGTATAAATTCAGCTTTCAGGTCTTTGATTGTAATTTATTAGCTTAATGATATTTTCTGGAGAATCCTCCCCATTTTTTAATAAAAAATATACAAAGGTTTTGGACTATATTTCCTTTTTGAATGATTTTTTATCATAAATACTTTAGCCGATGCTTAAAAATAACATTTTCACTCAATCTGCACCCATTTCTTGAACTTACTTTATTACCTAATTTAATGTTCGCTAATTATATGCTTGCATAATATCAACATTTCTCTAACATCACTATTACATGAAATTATGTTAAAGGAAAAATCTCTGGAAGAATCTTCAAAAATGTATCAAAAATTGTTTATTACATAAGTTTTAATAAAATCGACAGAGGAAAATAATAATTCGAAGATTTTATTTGGTGCCATATTATCTAAATCACTCATATCTAAAGTAACAATTAATTAGATCTATGAAGTTTATAATTCAATTTATTTCTCCTTTATTTTGTTCAAGACTTAACACATATAATAGATTTTTACGCATCAATTATTGCAGTAATATTTTACTTTTAATTTAATTTGATTGCTTAAATGTCGTTAGGCAATTCTAATTTTCAAAATATTTCAGAAATACCTCTAAAGGTTAGATGTATACAAATTAAATTTTAATGGTTTCCAGGACTTAAACTACCCATTTTTACATTTTTTATGTTTGATATTTTTCATTCATCTCCACCTAACCCAATTTTCTCACACTCTTACATTCTTTTCTTCTCTTTTTATATTTTTTTTTTGCCTCTTCCTTTATTACTCCATAAACCTCCATTCTCCAAATTCACAACCATCTTGGGCAAAGCAGAATTTTTGTCTATTTTGAATAAGTATTCTAATTCACATTAATCTTTGTTTTATTTTTTTCAAATAGATTAAGAATATTTCAAACCTCAGCTAAATTACTTAATTTTGTCTTACTATCATAACAAATTACTATAGGATGACTCTATTTTTTATTTCTCCTTTTTAGTACTATTTTATACTTATACGATAAAATATTCTTGAAGAATATCACAAAATATTCTTAATACTTTAAAATCAAACTTTGTTTAACATGCTTCTAAGAATTAATATTCACCTGAATCTTCCAAAAGCTCCCCTTGGTGGGTCGAAGAAGAGGAATTCCTCATTTAATTATAAATTAAATGGTTTAACATAAGGCCATTGATAAGTGGCTTTAATTCAATGTTAGAAGCTTCATTTTATTAAAAGAAGTTTCTTAAATAATTGGTGTCTGAGAGATAGCTTGAGAAATCCAATTCATATACAGTTTATGCTTGAAGTTAATTGCAGAATAGTTCTGGTTAATAACAATAACCCAGTAGCTTACTTTAAGACTTCATATTTAGGCTTAAAGACCAAATCTAATTACGTTTGTTTATTATTATCTTGTTATTTTAAATAGTTATAAAAATCTTGAGGTAATTAAATTTTATAATTGCTCTTATTCAACAACTATTTCTTACTTTAATCATCAATCCAAAACTCTTACTATTAGCAATTTAATATAAAATTTGAAAAATCTAAAAAGCATATGAATGAATATTATCCATTACCTAATTAATTAC